GCTATTATCAATGAACTAATAATTTTCACCTTTCTGTAGTGCATCCAGTCGATCACAGCTATTCTGCTCTACAGCATTGTTCCTCAAGATTCTGAGCTTTCTGTTTGTCTTTCTCTTTATCATCATCCTGAATGGCACAAGTGAAGTAGGCATCCCCGCTTACATCGCGATAGCGCTTAATAATAATATTCTCTTTACTCGACAGAAACTGCAAAAAACTGCCCATTGATCCTGAAACCACCAGTACATTGCCACGGGCAAGAACTTTAGCCAAACGCCACCAAACTTGGACATGTGCTTGATTACGAGCTGGAGGGGGGGGGGGGGCACTATTCAAGAGAGGGCTTTATTTTTCCATTGGCAGTGGAACCCAGCTAATAAAGACAGGGCTCGTACACAGGGTACACCAGCACATGCAAGAGACAGTGTACACGCGCTTCGCCCGGCCAGTCGGGTGGCTTGTAAAATCCTGTTATGCGAGAAACAACGCTATTCTTGTCTGACTATAATTTTCCTTGTCAAGTAATCATGCCTCACGGTGACTAATCTTCACCATGACAGCCCATTTTCAACAAAGTCAGACCACTTGGTTTGTTATCACTTCAATAACCACTGTTTTGTAGGGAGCTGTCTGCTAAACCATCCTTGCCACATAACTGTAGTTGCATATATCTGACAAAGCTGAACAGCACCAGTGTGTAAGTTCACACTCTTCCTGCTGGCAGTTGCCTAACTATACTGATAGATTTGTGCGGGAGACATCCTATCTGGCAAAAAGGGAAGGCAGAACCAGCACACTTGGATGCGTACAATCCATGCTTTTACAGTGTAGCCACTATTGCTACCCTGCAGGTACAGTCAGACCTCGCTTATCCGGTCCTCGTTTATCCGGATCCCTCGCCATCCGGTAGAAAATCGCTGGTTACCGATTTACAGCATATGTCATGTACACATACAGTATGTGTGTTCGATTATCCGGTTCCCTCGCCTATCCGGATATATTTCTGGAAGACGGATGTGTGCGGTTATGCGAGGTCTGACTGTAAAAGGTTCACGAACAACTTGTCGCTATCTATCATGCACTGTTGACAATCCCAACTTGGGCATTTTCCCTCTGCCCTTATTTTTCAGTTGCCTGCAAATAACTGTTAGCATGTCACAGACACACCGTGTTATTTACTGATTTACAAACTATTTGTTTTTGCACAAACTATAGCATGTAACGTCACCACCACCACATTACACTCTTGACTGGCAGGTCTCGGCAGCACCACAGTGAAAACACTCCTGATGATCGGTGACACTGATCCGCAGTATTACGATCCTCTAGAGCTCTGCAGACCGTTGTTTTGATCCTGCATGTTGAGCTGCTCAGTATCACCGGCGTGGCAAGTCTTAGTGCCTTCGGAATGGTGGGCGTCACGCTCACTGTGCTCGCAAAGATGGGTCAGTCAAGAGCACAGTGACAATATCACAGTGGGTGTGCTTTCATAATCCCCTTATAGCCCTGAGCTCTGCCACACCACCTCCAATTATAACATGGCTGTAGGTAATATCAATGGCAGTTCCTTTCATTGCAATTTCGTGCTCATATCTTGTCTTCCTTGCTTTCAGTCATGTCCGGATCATGCATACATGTGCTGGAATACTGATGTTGCGATCAAAACAGGATTTCACGCCACGCTAGATGTGATTGAGCCACTGAATACGAGACACAAATTCCGATTCACGGATAACTTCCCACAACAGCTGAGCACGTACAGCAAAACTAAGACAACTGTTCACTGCATGTACTGCACTCCGCAACACAGAGTCATACAATGCTTTTTATGCACACCACCCCTAGCCATCTGCAGCTGGCTTCCTGACATCCACAAATGTACATAATGTCATTGTACATGCATGGCACCATAGAGAAGCCAAACTAAACCGAACCAGTTCCACTGAGCTACTGGCAGTGCAGTGCCCCCCTCCCAGCCCATATCAGATGAACTCAGGAAGCTATTTTACGACTTGCCACAACTGCCCAACTCAAGTCAAGGCAAATCTTTCTTGTATTGTAATTTGTATTTGGCTAGCGCTGACCTCCCTCCAAGTACAATATTGCCAGTAAGTGAAAGCTTTTCATCTCAGTGCTCACACTGTCATTATAAGACAACCCCTCACCCACTGTAGCACTGGCTTACCTTGCAATAATTATATGTGTGGCCCCATATAAGGATGTCGTCACATGGTATGGATGCTCTTGAATGTTCGCACTTGGATGCACGCTCACATGGCCATGGGTAAGGCAATGAACAATGACGTATGTGCTCATCCAGATCAGTGGTATAGGATGATAGTATTGATAGGAGGACTGGTCTAGGGGGCCCAGCTTGCCCTGACTGCCTGAGCTCAGGCAATGCACTAACACTGGCAGTCTCCCATTGCCAGTGGATCATACTTGATAGTAGTGTAGATCTACTGAGTCGTACTGGAATGTGGAGTCCGTTTATAGTGTTACAGTGTTTTCAGGCCCTCTGTCAATGATTTATTATGTGCTGGCAGTGTGACGTATTAGATAGGGTGTGCTGCTGCCGGCAGTATAGTACATAATGGCAGTGTATTGTACTGTGTATTGCAGCTGCTACTTCTACTACTAGGGATCTGATTGTGTTCCTTCCAGTGTTTCTGTGTTAGTGCTGTACGCCATGGTACACTGTCTGTAGTAGTCAAACTGCTATTACTGGGAAGTGAGCAGGGAGGGAGGAATCTACTGCAATGAGCTGCCAGGGTGGCTTCATGCTGCACCTGCAAGCTTCAGATCAGCTCAGACCACACCAACCAGTTACCTGACCGCCTCCTGGCCCAGCGCGTGACGTCACAGTACTGTACATCGCAATGCTGACCAGTGCAGTGGCAGTGTGGAGTAACGACTGTTACGTAGACCATGGTAGACCCAACTCCGGCAACACGTGCATGCCTGGCATTGTAGAAGCAAATACTTGAAATAGGGCATTTTGCTGCCTGACGGGTGCGGCGCTCTCCGCTTCTCCTCCGTGCATGCTCCTCTCTAGTGATCGTGAGCAGAATGAGGAAGTGACCGCAGTGCAGCATTGAGCACATGCACAGTCGCTATCCTCATCATCAATATCCTGCTTCACAGCTGACGGCAGCGGAAGACCAGTCGCTAATCTGTTTGATGGATAGAAGTGAAGACAGGCAGAAGCAGAAGAGAACGATTGTGACCACTAAGCTATAGTACTTATGTAGAAGCTGAACAGACATCGACTGCTGTAGCGACACAAGTGTGCACGGTTTAGAATGTGACTGGTCGGAAGTGTGGCTCAGGAGCTGAAGAGACGATTGTTTTGACCTGTTGAAACACGGAGTTGTACACGATACGCACACGCTTACAAATCAGTGCTTCCCTGATCTGAGTCGACTGAGCTATTTTCTCGAGCATAATGGCGACACGCGCACGCGCGCGCGCACACACATACACATGCAGATGCACACACAGCCACAGCGACACAAACACACGTGCGCGGCACGCAGACACACGCGTACCTGCCTGGATATTAGGTCTTTTGGGTGTTCCCGATCCGTGTTCTGTTCCTGTGCTAGCTGGCAAACAGGCGATGTCCACTCTGCTCACATCAATAACCAGCACTACTTTGTAGTGAAGCTTGCCATCTAGTGTCCTAAGCACAGCGGAACTGGACGGGAAGTAGCTGCTTGAGAAGTGGCCTGACCCTCCGCTCAGGAACAAGGAAGCCTTTATGTCGACAAATCCAACCCAAACCCCTCCGTTAGCATGGTTAGCCAGCCTGCTAGTGCAGTGGCAGTAAACCATTGGTAAACTCACTGAACCTAGTGTACTAGTAGTAGTGAGCCGTGACAAAGAGGAAGATCGATGGATGCATGCTACACACTACTTGACTTCCATAAATTCCGCTCAGGAACACATCGCATTTTGCAGATCCTCGTGTTGAAAATCATGAAAAGCACGCAGGTGTGGCCGCTACATATGTACACGCGCGCGTTCACACTGTCACTGCATTCTGTGCATGACTGCATGTACATAATCAGGTAATGATTACTAATACATGTACTAGCAAGAGTACATAACTACTCAGTACTCTTGGTACTAGGCTTGTATGGAGACTCTACAGGACTGTACATCAACTGTTACCGACTCAGCGACTGTGGTAGCTACAATCCCCCTCCCTACATGTAGCTACACATTTACATAGACCATGGACTGGTAGACAGAGATTTCTTACTCAAAAGTATTACCGGTAGTTATCATTGCAATGCAAATGACCTGATGACCATGTAGATCATTCATTGTGGATTATTTGTGTGCCTGCCTGACTCTCTGATTTGCCTTGACTTGAGCTGAACTGAACAGGCAAGCCTAATAATAATAATAATAATACAGGTCGCATGTCTACCAAATAATGGGTTCCACGCATCTGTCAACTGTTTCATCATGAAATAGATCAAGCCTAGCTGTTGTGCAAACAGGAAGAACACGTTGTTGCGCTGCGGTTTTCGTATTTCTAGTAATGTTGTTCTTCTTCCTTTACTTGGTTTAGCCACCCATACTTGCCACCCATACTTACATATACGTCATGCTGGTTTGTAGCACTATTTTCCCTGGTTACCCTTACTGGCCTTAGTTCCGTATATTCCCCTGATGATCGGAACAAGAAATTCGATTCTGGAAACAATTATAATGCATCTACGCCTACATGTACGTAGTTCAGTGGAACATGTGTCATGTTGCGTGATGATGTCTGCACGCACCCTTCATTCTCTTTTTACACTTATAGCCTAAAATATCTAAAATATTGTCGTCTTGCAGATCAGTGCTTGTAAACCGGATTGACTGGCGCCACCACTGAAAAGGACCTTTGCTTTCAGCCCAGCGGGGATGCCATATTAATTTTATTGAAAGCAATGGACAATGGAGCCGCCCACCAGCACACCATGACAGCCACGTTGTTTGATTCATCTTGAGTATACTTTCTCGTTATATTATGTTAAACCAGCAGGAAGCGGCAAGGGAGCGTCATCTTCTCCAAACACAGCAACATGAGTGTACATGTAGTGTATTCAAGGGAAATGATTCTTTCGGCAAATATTTCTTCTCAGGCCATAGCATAGTTTGTGCAGTAGATTTAAATGTACATGTACATGTGTATGATACACAGGAAAGGTCAACGATAATAGAATATACATTACACGTGCACTGAACTATACCTCACTATCAGTGCCAATCGGTTACCAAGCCTAGGCAACTTGGCGTGCATGTTGGTTCATTTTCCACAGCAGCAACACTAAGAAAATACGTGATTACAAATATTTCATTCATAAATGCTGGAGTTGCACGCCAAGCAAACAAAGCGCTACCATTGGCGTGATATTCACAGGGAAGTGTGCAAGAGAAAGTGCTCAAATTGTTCATCATTCCTCAAGGTATGTACAGACATTGTGCCGCTTCAAGTACTGAATAATCCAGCAGACTCGGATAAATACAGCGGTCACATTCAAAAAAGGATGCTCACTGAGCAGCAAGTGGTGCAGAGCACGGTTCATCGTAGACCGTTCTCACGTGCTTGCGTGTCTCCACGTTGAGACAGACAGGGTAGTTTTCTCAGTGCTCACTGGGAGATGCAGCGAAGGTTGGTCATGAACGAGTTGACAGGAGCTGTCCAGGGAAAGCCTATCATGAAACAAAACCGAAATATTCCTAGTTAGCGCCTATTGGCAAATGGCTGTCACATAATCGTACAGGCAGCTCCTTTTCATTTGAAAAGCCAGATAGTGACATGTGCTGGAGTGTTTCATCTGAGGTTGTTCCTGAAAGAGCTTTTCTGGCAGAAATAGGGAAAATACTTGGGCCTGGTTCCTGGTCTGAATGTCACAAAACAATCTGTGATGACACACGATGAAGATGTAGGGTAGGGCGGTGGGTCATTACAGACAGTGACTCTCACCCAATACGCATGCTAGATTCTGCAAAACAACAAAAGTGGCATTAGCTCATTTTGGTACACAGTGATGAGGTGTGCCACAGGTAATTTATCTGCTAGCTTACCTATGCTTGTTAAGAATTGGAGAAAGTCTTGCCACATTCCAGGTGCTTGACACAACCATTGCAACTCCAGACTTTGCCACAATGTCCGCGAGGCGTGAAATCCAATCTGCAGGAACGGCATTAGTTGCATGTACATAAAGATCGTTGGGCAAACACGCCACAGTAACTGCCAGGTCTATACAGGCATGCCATGTGTCGTCAAAGCAACAACACAGAGAGGAATGGAGCAAAGCGGGTGTTGCAGAGCATGTACCACGTTGAAGAACACCTTGTCAATTTTATCCGGGTACTGGCTATCATAACCGAAGAGTTGAACCCATTTTGGTGTACTTAGCAAAGATACAATGCAATTGAGAATGGGTCAGTTGGTTGGACCTTCCACCAAGTGCTGTGTAATGAAGCTGTGTGGGGTAGCTTAGAATTTTGAGTGCGTCTCAAGCTAAGTTACTACTGACAACACTAACTGTTATCAGCTACTGTAAAAGCAGAAATTTTCGGTGGTGTTTTATTTTCGGTAACTTCGGTGCCGACAATTTTTACCGAAAATATAACGCACCGAAATTTTCGGTACAACCGATACTGTGTACATGTAGTACTAGTACACCTACCTGGAGAACGGGTTTCACCGAAAATTTCCCTCTACCGAACCGCCGATTTTGGCGAATACCGAAAATATTACACCACCGAAAATTTCTGCTTTTACAGTACATGCACCGTCAGCAATATCTAGATATTACAGTCATGATGGAGCGCTTCAACCCGGGACCGAAGCTGCATGGGATACTTTCACTTACATTCTGGACAGGTGGCTATGTCGAGAAGAGCCAGGACGACAAGGTCAAACTTGCCCATCTCCAGTGGTACCCACAAGAACTGGACAAGAAAGAAATGTAGAGGATAAAAAGTAAACTGTGTTTCCTACACTATAATTATTCGCATTCTACATTTTACAAGAACAATGGACATGCAGGAGAGGCGGAAAGGGTTCTTGATAGGTGTGGCCATACCACAGTCTTTGATACATTGTGTGTGATATGGCGGGGACACATGACCCCCTCAGCAGTAAGCGGCACTCATTGGTGGTCAAACAGTTGGTCCGGCAATGGCCTGACCAACTGTACCGGTTCCGCAGGCCCTGACATGGAAGATTTGTGGACAGGTCAGGTGTTCCAATCAGATCCCCATTACAAAGTACATGTACACCCGTGTCAATGGTGACAAGCACAGATCATGCGAATCTTATGGCGGGACTCGGTCAGAGCTCTGCGGATGTGATTACCTGCTTGAAGGTAACGTCCTTGAGCTTTTTCTCAGTCTCCGGTAGCACTAGCCCATCCAGACTGATGCCGTCGACTGCGGGACCTTTGGGAATTATTCCCTGCTGCAGCATCTCCGATATCTCAATAGCCCTGGCTACGGGATGAATGGCCAGAACCTGGGCACATAATACAACAGTACATTACGAAAGTACTCTTGTAAGCGATGCACCTTGGGATACTCAGAAGTATAACATCACCATCGGTGTACTCAGTGACTGCAGGCACTCCATTGGTAGAGTCTCCCGCAATAGAGTGAAGCCGTATATCGTATATCATTTCCAATTGTCATTAGGGTCGATATATCGCATGACCTTGACTAGAGAAAGACAGTTTGGGGAATGCCATCACAATGCACAACACTAGGCCGCTGAGTTGCACAGCACGGCCTTGCTTGACCATGTGACCTGGAAGTGTCCCAGTACATGTACTCTAGACACTAGTATAGGTCACTGAGCTGGGTATACCAGTAGTAATGCCATGGAAGAATGCAAAGCTGAGCTGCAGCATACCAGTCAGTTACCAACACTGCTGACTGGCACCAATTCCTATGAATACAGAACATTCAGTCTGACTGCCTCTCACGTGTACCATGAGGTTTACAGACTGTGGCTCAGAACATAATTATACACATTCTGATTGCATGCAAGTAATTACTTTTGTGCTAATCAACATGGTGTCATTTTTCGTTGAAAGCCAAGTTTTGTGACTCAGGAGGGGTTAGCAGTAGACCGGAGTGCCTGGATCTGGGGAGTCCGGATTAGGGGAGTTTCTTACTGCAGTGTGTATGTCATACAGCAGGATACTGGTACTCACATTGTTGTGGTGTTTGGCCACTTCCATTGCCATGCGCCCCGTTCCACTGCCAATGACTAACGCTCTGCCTTCGCACGACTTGACGAGCTTGGTTGCAGTACCCACTGTGCCGGAGAGTTCACCCCAGAAACTAGCTGTAGATGAGCTGCTCGTCTTGGTCGGCGACCTTATCACCACTGACCTGATGTCATCCTGGTCAAATTTGTCCATCGGCTCAAGAAGTGACTTGTGAGTCTGTGGAGAGGTAAGAGTAAACGCAGCAGCCAATGATCTGCTCAAGGTGATGCAGTGCACAGCAACGGTTCAGATTTGGAGTTGAGTTCTTGAAACAGTACGAGAACGGGTGGGAGTCAAAGCACTGTAAGCTGAGATTTGTCCACTAACTCGTAACGTATTCTAAATGAAGTAAGCAAACACAGCCTGGGATATTTCAGGGCCCTCGCAGTATGTATCATTGAGAGCTAGTTCACTAAGGTCCCCAACATATGTTTGCCAGGTAGTTTTTGCTTGTAGCTCACCTTGGTGGTCTTGACTTTGGGGGCAAAGTCCCAGTGCAGCTGTGCCTTGATCATGTCGGAGCTCTCCAGGTCAAACTCCGGCGTGAAGCTCTTCACCCTCTGTTCCGGCGAGAAGTTAGAAACTTGAAGTTCTGTGTCTGCATGTGTGACCACCAAGGAGAACAGAGCACCAATGCATTTATATAGCAAAGGCATGAGTGCTGGTTAGTTAAACAAAACAGAACGGGGAGTAGTCAACTATGGGTTTCAGAGCGTGAACATGTATTTTTACTCGCTTTCGGTGAATTGGATGTGTTGTGCTATCTATACTACAGGTACTCTGCAAACAGCCATTGCATTCAGTGTTCGGTTTTCAGATTGTATACTAGTACCTCTTAAACATGGTCAGCAGCAGCAGCAGCGCATGGCATCACATTGACTACACATCCTTACCCAGGAATCCTGCACCAGGCTGATAGACCTGTGTGGAAAGTAGCTGTACTGGCGGGGGATTAGTGGAGCGCACAACACGGAAACCCATGTGCTGGAAGAAGTGACGGCGGAACCAGAAGCGAGCAAATGACGACGCCGAGTCTCCAGTGGAAATCCATGACCCACCCTATGCGCATGGGATTAGAAAAATAGTCAAAATACCCATAAACACAACTGCGATCAAGTTGATGTAAGCTAACTTCACAATGGGCCTAGTCAAAAGACCATTGTGCCACACGTCCTGTTATCAGTGACTCATCACATGTGATACTTGCCATGCTCCCATGTCGGTTCATTCATCCAATCCATCCGTATTTGGGTAGCCTGTTAGGACCCACCCTATACTTGGAAAAGTTCGAAAGACCGTAAGTCAGTCAAATCTCTCTTAAAATTTTAAACGATCTAAATATCCACTTCAAAGGCAAACATCAAGATGTCAGTATTGACATACAATTAAGTTAATGGTGTACTAGCTGTGCTAGTACTTGTTAGCAACAATCCGAACTAGCGCACACACTGCACTGCATTGCTTTGTACTGCATTCAAGACTGACGTCATGCGCTTTGTTTTGCTGCGTAATCACAAATGGCACCAGCCCATTTTTGCGGAAAAGAAAAACAAATCTTGCTTGCCCTGTTGTGCTCTTCCAGACAACGGATCGTGCTTCAGCAGTGTTTCTTTTCCTTTCGTAGCTTTGCTGCCAGCCCGAGTGTCACCTCGACACTGTATTTCTTCAGTATGTCTGACCTTACTGTCGACACCGTCAAGGCAATGCCTTGCCAAGCCCTCCGCGGCGAGCCTTCTCAGCGCGGCTTGAATCCGAAAGGAAACTTAGTAAAAGTATTTTACAGGACCGTTTGCTGGCACAACTAGCCCTTGGTAGTGAGGTCTGCTCCGGCCAGGAGAACCAGCAACATGACAGTGCGGACACGGCTCGCGAGCCCAGAAGCCCGACGTGCACCAATGCCTCCTCCGCCAGCTCAGGCGACGCGGGCTCAACGGATCTCTGCGCTCCCGTACGGGACGAGGTGTAGTCGGCTTTGTCGGCCGCCATCTTATTATTATCGGAGAGCATTGCGCCGCTCCTCACCCAAGGCCAAGGCAATGCGGCAGCTGCCGCCACTACGCCAGGCCAAGCTCCTGTTACCCACCCGATCAGCCACCTGCACCAGCTGTGCCCAAGGCTGTGCAAGAACGTATCTTGCGAGGGGAGTTCGTAGATTTTTCAAGTTTGTTGCCTGAAATTCTTGCACACTTCCGGCCCAACACTGTGATTCCGGCTGGTGCACAGCCCGAATAACGATAGCCAGCTAAATATCGTTGAGTCGGATGACGCGAAGCAGGTGCGTCGCAAGGTTCACGATAATTACACATGTAGCTACCCGGCTCGAGGCATGGACCACATACATGTCTGTTATCACGGCTGCTGCCCTACACCGCACTGCTGAACTGATTGCGTACCAGCAGTTGATCCTGACTGCTAACTGCCAGTTCTTCCCAAGCGCGTGGCTAGAGTACGACCGCCAGCTGCGGATGCTCGTGGCCCAGTAACCAGGCACGAAGAGGTTGGACACCATCGACGTGAACCTATGGCAGATAGCTGTCATAGGCCATGCACACCCAAAATGCGCTCAATGTAAGACGGTCCATCCAGGGGCGGTTTGTGTCCTTTTCGTCCCGAAGCCAGCAGCATTTACCTCCAGTGGTCGCAACCATACCAGCGACGGCCAAGAAATCTGCCGCAACTTCAATGGAGGTCGCTGTTCTTCGTCGTCGTGCCGCTTCTCCCACACCTGCAGCCAGTGTGGCAAGGACCACCCATGCATCATGTGCAACCAGCAGCAGCGCAGAGCCAATCGGCCACCCCGCCGCTCCTAGCAGAATGGCTACTGAATCGCTTGACTCGGTACGTAGCTTCTTTCCTATACACTCTGCAGACACCACACTGCTAGCTGACCACTCTGCCCGCCTGTTACGTAACCACTCAGATCAATCATGTGTTGCGTATGTTCTCCATGGCCTGCGCCGTGGCTTTACTCTTGGATCTGCCGGCCAACACGACATTTGGTTTTCTCTAATAATCTACCATTGGCTTTCACTCACTCGGCATTTATATCCGAGCAATTAGCTGCTTCCTGCGCCCGCAGCGAGACCACAGGCCCATTTCCGTCACCTCCATTTCAGTTCATGCGCCGCTCTGGTATTGGTGCCATCCCCAAAAAGAACGGCAAGCCGCGAATGATCCACCATCTGTCTAGTCCGGAAGGCACCGGCGCGAACGACAGCATTCCTGCCGAGCCGCTCTCTCTGCACTACGCGAGCATTGACAACGCGATCAACATCATCATGTCATGCCCACAGCCTGTGTATTTGTCCAAGCTCGATGTACGCAGTGCATTTCGGCAGATCCCAGTCCGCCGTCAGGACTTCGCTGGGAAGGCTCCTACTACTACGAGCGCTTTCTGCCTTTCGGCCTCCGCTCCAGCCCAGCCGTCTTTGACTCAGTAGCCACAGTAGTCAACTGGATCATGCAGCACGAGTTTGCTATAGATCACCGGTTTCACTACCTCGATGACTTTCTCGATATCTCCACTGGTTTGGCTGCAGCCAACCAGCAACTCACCATCCCCCTCCGGGCGTTCACGTATCTCGGCACTCCTCTTTGCTCCATCCCAGCTCGAAGGGCCATCACCATCATTGACCTTCCTTGGTATTGTCCTAGACTGCGAGCGCCACGAAGCTCGGCTACCAGAGGACAAGCTGTCCGAGATCCGTGCGCCACTCATGGCTACTATCAGCGAGCGCAGCATCGGCCAGCGTCAACTCGAGTCCCTCCTGGGGAAGCTCACTTTTGCTGCCCGAGTCATCGTTCCTGGACACACATTCATGCGTGAACTATGATCAGCGTGCCCTGAACTGTATCTGTGTATGCGAGTGCGGTGCATAAAGCCCACCTTGAGAATGGGTTTGCCGGCCCCTTAGTAGATGCGTGGCTTCTGAAGAGGGCGTTGAAGGGCATCCAGCGATGCCATGGTACGGCTGCACTCACCCCTCGCCTTCCTATAACTATGCCAATCCTACGACACCTGACGGATGCACGCTGGAAAAGTAGTATCCTGAATGGCCATGACAAGCTGCTCTACCAAGCCGCCATGCTGCTTCTTTGGATTTCTTCGGTGCGCTGAATTCACTAATGGCATCACACGGGGCTGTACTAGCTCCCCTGGTGACGGACGCCTGCAACTCTTCCTGCTTTCATCCAAGACGGACCCATTCGGTAAAGGCGTTACTAGTGACATTGGCCCGTCTGTACCGCCGTACTGCCCGGCCCGTGCCATTGTTAGCTACCCATCTGTCACTCGTCGCGAGGGACCGGAGCAACTCTTGTTCGTATTCTCGAACAGACAGCAGCCGACCAGGCAGTCATTCACAGTAACAGTATGGTCTCTTGTCGCTGCGGCCGGTGTACCATCCCAGTCGAACTACTCCGGGCATTCGGTCCACATTGGTGCAGCCACCACCGCTGCTATGGCTAGTGCTCCCGACTCCTTCTTCCGAGTGGCAGGTCAGTGGAAAGAGCGATGCGTGTCTACGCTACATCCAGACTACAACAAGCGCATAGCGCCAGCTATCGTCCCGGCTTGCTGCCGTGCCATGGATGCCATGATCCCCAACTCGGGTGAGTAATGAGCTACTGAACTCTAGCTGCGCAATGCTTGCCTGTGCTGACATTAATTGACCCTTGCTGTGCGTCAATAGTGCTTAGCTAACGGAGTGCTGGTTTCATGGGTCCACTCTCACAACTGGTGTTATCTAGCTATTTGCTGCGGCTCTGCCTTGCGCTATATTACATCCATTTAGCATTGCAGCTCTACGTTGAGCTAACAGCAGCTCTACTTTGAGCTAACAGCAGCTCTACTTTGAGCTAACAGCAGCTCTACTTTGAGCTAACCGCAGCTCTACTTTGAGCTAACAGCAGCTCTACTTTGAGCTAACCGCAGCTCTACTTTGAGCTAACAGCAGCTCTACTTTGAGCTAACAGCAGCTCTACCTTGAGCTAACAGCAGCTCTACTTTGAGCTAACAGCAGCTCTACTTTGAGCTAATCGCAGCTCTACTTTGAGCTAACCGCAGCTCTACTTTGAGCTAACAGCAGCTCTACTTTGAGCTAACAGCAGCTCTGCTCTGAGCTAACAGCAGCTCTGCTCTGAGCTAACACCAGCTCTACTTTGAGCTTCAAACCAGTTGTTTCGAAACCAGCACTCCTCAATCCAAAGATGCCTCTTTGTTGACTTGTTTGTGTGAGGGATGGGGCTAATGGTGTACTAGCTGTGCTAGTACTTGTTAGCAACAATCCGAACTAGCGCACACACTGCACTGCATTGCTTTGTACTGCATTCAAGACTGACGTCATGCGCTTTGTTTTGCTGCGTAATCACAAATGGCACCAGCCCATTTTTGCGGAAAAGAAAAACAAATCTTGCTTGCCCTGTTGTGCTCTTCCAGACAACGGATCGTGCTTCAGCAGTGTTTCTTTTCCCACCATCCCTCCCTATCCAACTTATTCACACCATCATAATATTATCGTACCCACTAACCGGGTCCACTCTCACAACTGGTGTTATCTAGCTATTTGCTGCGGCTCTGCCTTGCGCTATATTACATCCATTTAGCATTGCAGCTCTACGTTGAGCTAACAGCAGCTCTACTTTGAGCTAACAGCAGCTCTACTTTGAGCTAACAGCAGCTCTACTTTGAGCTAACCGCAGCTCTACTTTGAGCTAACAGCAGCTCTACTTTGAGCTAACCGCAGCTCTACTTTGAGCTAACAGCAGCTCTACTTTGAGCTAACAGCAGCTCTACCTTGAGCTAACAGCAGCTCTACTTTGAGCTAACAGCAGCTCTACTTTGAGCTAATCGCAGCTCTACTTTGAGCTAACCGCAGCTCTACTTTGAGCTAACAGCAGCTCTACTTTGAGCTAACAGCAGCTCTGCTCTGAGCTAACAGCAGCTCTGCTCTGAGCTAACACCAGCTCTACTTTGAGCTTCAAACCAGTTGTTTCGAAACCAGCACTCCTCAATCCAAAGATGCCTCTTTGTTGACTTGTTTGTGTGAGGGATGGGGCTAATGGAACACTGGATATCTGCTTGAAGCTACCATTGCCCATGATAACCGTCCTAGTCCATGCCAGCCGCAAGAAGTTATCAAGTCGCAACTCCACCCCGCCACCCCCCCCCCCCTCCTCCTTAAATTTCCATGAAGTGAAATTAGTTCAGCGGATGAAAGCGGAGAGTTTGGTCATTGTGCTACCAACATAGCAACCAACACATGATACCACACTAGCAGCTACCGACAAGCTTTACTAACCAGAATAAGATTGTGCCAGCCATCGTAGTAGGGTGTCGAGAAGTCATGGTAGAGATAGTCAAACTTAGCTCCCGGAAGGCCGTTGAAATGATCCTCAGTCCATTGCCATACATTGCCCATGGTGTCGGAGAAACCAGCCGAGTTCTTTTTGTAGTAATCCACAGGCTGTGCAGTGCAAGAAAACAAATTCACGGATTCGCATGAGACTCAGTTAGACCGAGTTTTCCACATCCGTAGGAATGCCACCGCCTTCAGGGATCAAGGCACGGATGCAGCTCCTAAAGCAGTGGGAGGTGAGTAGATCAGACCTACCAACAAAGTGGTCAAAGGCCTAAAATGATCCCATTCACTGAATTCATAATTCCCTCGTGCCAGGCCACGGGTGCAAGCAAAAGCAGCTGGTGCCTTATAGTGTTTGTCATGAACACCAGGGCCATGTTAGCATTGTGAGAAAATGACAGCGGAAGGAATGGTGCGATGTGTTAGTGTGTGATGGGGCTTAGCGTTGACTGTAGCAGCCAAGTGAACACATTCAGTCGCTCACGGATTCAGATATGATTGTGGGCTTCAAGTACGCAGCATTCTAAGGGATCACATCTGGAGGACATGCTATTAAAGTTATTAGCGGAGGTTCCAGTGTTCAGCAACACCATTAACTAGGCACAACCCAGCTGATCAGTTACACTCATGTTTATGTGATTTCATGCACGTGCACATCGATATGTGTTGTCAGAACTCACAGTGCTGGAGCAAAACGACATGTTCAAGTTAAACTTCTCCGTTGCGTCCGGTTGGAAGATGACATCATGCTCTACGCCGTCCTCCGGGACACTCTGTGAAAGCCCAAGAGATAAAAAATAATACATATATAGTGGTGGTTTCCTTACTCCAGTACATCGGATGATGATTGGAAGACACGTTTGCAGGTAGGGGTCAGGATGATCGCGTGTCACATGATATGTCTAACCATGAAGACTTAGAAGAAAAGTTCGGACAGGCCGGAATCGGTCCGGTTGGTCAAGTTATCACTGCACCAACGGTTTTGGCCACACGCGGGTGTTTACTACTGGGGAGGGCATGTGTACTCGCCATATCGATACACAAACTGTATGAAAGGCCATGTTACCACCAGACCAATTACAACTGCTCCCGGCTGTCCTGGGCCGAACGCTAGTTGGAGATTACAGCACTAAAATAGAACACACTCGTTCTTGTCATGCTATCGATCGTTGAATTTTGCCTTTCCCCTTTCAGGGGGAATATGAACGTACCTGTCGATCCTGAATAGCGAGGAACTCGGCCTCAGTGATGATGCGGCAGTTGTCACCGAGCCACTTGCAGTATGCACGTGCTTCATGATAGTTAGTCTCCGCTGGCCATGACCAAGGCATGTCGATCACGTCGAACATGGCACGATACCTGTAAAGGGAGCAGGAGTGCATATGGGTCACTCATTGGTACTCATAGGAATGAGCACGAACACGTCACCGTGCAGGCCCAACGGAACCGATCCGGTTGGCCGGGCCATGGCCGGACCAACTTTTTGGCGAACAATGTGTGTTTACTGCTGAGAGGTCATGTGTATACTCACTACATCATACACAAACTGTATGAAGGGCTAGAGTATGGCCGGACCCATCAAAAACTGCTTCCGCCGGTCCTGAGTCGTGTGAGTAGAGAGAAGAACGTACTGTGACCGGATTTAAAACCATGACTTTCGAGTGTAGTAGCTACGGCAGATATGGGGTATCACTACCTGTTGTATACACAGTGATATCCTGATCAGGAGTTAGGAACCTTACATTCCTGCTTGTTGCGGAAAGTATATATTGTACATGTAGAGAAAAACAATACTCAAGTGCATGTATCTAGGCATGCCAGATAGCAGTCCACACGTATACCACTTATAGATCTATGGATCCACCATACTCGGTTCAGACGAGTATTCTGAAGGAGTTGCTTACATCCACAACGAACCTGGATCTCTGGACACTTCACATGTACTGGGAATCTGTATGACGGTCTTAAAACCAACCTGAATGCTCCGTCTTGTCCTCCACCGGTCTTGGTGCAGTGTGAATGTTCATTCAGGTCACCGTCACATCCAGCCTGGCAACCTGTCAGGTAACACAGGGTATACAGTCCGTATCGCCTATAAGGTTGGCGGCTATAGTAATATACCGGATATAGTGATCAATTTCTCAAATTCATTTTCATTTACCATAACTAAGTATACACAGTTATCGCGTATAGTAATAATCGTCTATAGTAATATATCGCCTATAGTGATCAAATTCATATTTCAAACGACCTTTATTACACTATTTTCGCGTCGGTTATAGTGATTGATGTGAAATCAAGCGAAGTCAGAGAAGAACAGGGTGTTACTTCTTCGTGAAGAACTTGTCCAGTGAGTGTTGTTTGGTGAGTTTTGCTTGTACAAGTTGCCAAAATATGCCTCCATCATGAGGAAATGCTGATTTTGTGTGTCCGGAGCTACAGCCAGCTACATGACATTGTACATGTATGTAATGCGTATGGGCACGGCGCGCTGAGTCATTTGACACCCCACTTGCATACATTGCATGCAGTATCGGTCATAGTAATATATCGCTTAAAGTGATAAAATGATCAAAATCAAACACCAACGCTATAGGCGATACTGACTGTACAATGGCACAGTGTGACAGTCCCCATTAAACACCTGTATACAGTGGCACAGTGCCGGCGAGAGTCCCGATTACACTTCTGACATGGAAGCATAACTGCATCGCCAATGAGCTAAGTGCAACATGTCCTCTTACGGGGATGCCGGAAAGCGAACAGCTGCAACTCAGACACAGCGCTGATAGCAAAACACGGAGGAACATCATCACCTGGTACATCATTTTCAACTCAGGGACAAGCACATGATTTTTATGGTAAAGTCCATCATTGCATTCTCAGATCTACCAGTATGATAAATATAGACGAATGAAGTGCTGGACGGGCACACCGCTCTTGGAGGCAAAAGTATCACATTTACAATGTTGGTTGCACAGGGAATCAACCGCCAGCGGATTTCCGGTCAGTGTCTTCCAAAAAGTAGAAGAAGAAGAAGAAGAAGAAGAAGAAGAAGAAGAAGAAGAAGAAGAAGAAATAGCAGTGTAGTTGACACACCGACTAAAGCAATGACGATTGCCGCTCACCATCAGTACAGATCCAGAATGTTGGGTGAGTTGCTTTCCTAGCACAGCGCCACTTCCAGCCTTCCTCACTCCAGTATTGTCTGCAATTGTAGCCGTCGGCTTCCACAAATTCCAGGAAGTCCTGGTTACTGGTGAGGTACTGTTGAGCTTCAAAGTCAGGAACCCTGCAACAAAAACAGAACATCCATCAGCTACTCCCAGTACTCCAGACCGCACACGCATAGTGATGCCATTGTTACTTACCCGTGAAAGATAAATGAAAGTTTTGCTTCATTAGCATACAACTCGCTGTACGCCCCCCCCCCCCCCTCACACACACACACTACGTTTTGAACGGTCGGAATAAACGATGTGGATCCATCAGGTTTGCATGAAGCATGGAATTTGCCTGCTAGATGAATGGCTGTCCAGGGGGTAGAATGAATTGGCAAGACTACTATTCGAATGTAGTGAATACAGATGATTGGCGGCTAGGCTCAGATATTTTCAGCAAGTCTATCGGTTGTGGGACTCTCATACAGTGGTTTTGGTTTGAAAGTCCAAGGACATAACAGCAAAACACCTGCAATTTGCCACGGTGGGAACATGCTTGCATTTGCATCCACCATCTGTTCATGCATTTTAATTACAGCATTACATGATTGTATGGAACAACTTACTTCACATTCAAATGTCCATATTCGTTGTCCCAGCCAAACGAGGGGAAATCATCGGGTTTGCCGATCGATACTGACTGTGCCCGAACAGCAATGAATTCATTCTTGCCACTTCCATTCTCATCTGAAAGGCAATCCACAGACACAGACCAACAATATTAATCCATGTGCGCACATTACTACCGCGGCATTCACGGGTCGATCACATTTCGTTAGAGATACTTTACAGGTTGGCGATGCAAAAATTAATGATAAAACTTTGATGCCGAGTTGTCTGCTCGTAGAAAGTTAAAGTGATTTTATGAAAGAGGATTTTGTGAATATACAGCTTCCTGGCTATGTCGCTTGCCTTCCTTTTGACCAGCTTCCAAATTCCATGTGCCGCACGTCATACTACCCACCTCAAATAGCCTGGGAGAAAATCTGTTTGGACCGCCACAAACTGGTTTCTACTTGAACTGTGCCATTTCAATTGTACTCTTCGCCAATCAATGCCTGCTCTCAATGCCTGCTCTCAATGCCTGCTTGTCTGCTGTTGGATATTAGGAGTCTGAGAAGCTTGGCTAAGGTAGCAGCCAAAGTTATGAAATCAAATTGACTCCACTGTTTCTAGGGCTTGTGTTGAGACGGCTTGTGACCTCAACTAAATAAAGCAGCGGTGAAATCGATGAAAGGCCATTCTAGGAAGCGACGATGAATTGAAATCTGGATGCCTGCACTTCGGGAAGCAGACCACGTATACATTATTCAAGGTTCGATCCGTCCATGATGCGAAGATGAATGCACTTCTAGGCGATGCTTGTCTTCCACGTTGGCGATGATCTCGATGTGGAATAGTTGGTTTTAAATACTTAGTAGAGAAATATAGACATGTGGTGACATCAAAGTGAAAAAGAAAGAAATAGGGTAGCAGACAAAAGCTAAAATAGCTTCAAAAGGCCAGCCAATGCATAATAGAGAAATGTAGACTTGACTAAAAGTCACAGAAATGTAATAAGCATCAACAACATTGATCATAAATCTTAAACAAGACATAATTTTCATGAACCTCCCTGGCCACCAGGAGCCAGGCGAGTGAATGGATGAACCCCTCATGCAAACAATTCCCATATTGTATGTACCTCACTCGGTAGGCACCATTACGGTGCCACAGAGCGAGTGAATTTATGAACCTACCCCTGAACGAATTCAGAGGAGTGAATTTATGAACCTACCCCTGAACGAATTCAGAGGAGTGAATTCACATGCATGAATCATGCCGGGTCGTGAAGAAGGTCAGGGGCGTGACAAGGGGCCTCTCCGGGCATGATCGGAGAGTGAACGAGGCTACACTGGTGCAAACCAGTAGCCGTCCATTGAGACTGTGGCCTCAGCCAACAGCACTACAAATGCCAACCAGAGGCGAAGAACTCAACTCAAGTGTGGGCTTCAAGACCAACGGGTGGTGGGGGTGGTAATAGATCGCCTATAACAGATTAAACAGAACCTTCATTGCCGGTGGTCTTTGTTGAGGCGGCGACAGTGCTTGCTGGGGCATAGTGCCAGCCAGACGGTGCCTTCAGCAACTCCACTGGCAGCTCACGAAGCAGAACGGACGACGTTTCCAAATGAATTCTGTAAACGAAATTAACACCTCTTTTACACACAACATACCTAGCACCTGTGTGATGATGATTTGTTACTTTTGAGACAAAGGTGAACTGTGCAGTCAGCTGTGGTTTTTCCTCGTGTGTGTTTAAATATGTATTACCATAGCTTTCACTACTCGCAACTCTTTCAGTTTCTGCGTCGGATTGCCAGGGATTGAGCGAGTAGTAGTCCGCGGAGTGGATGCAAGCGCCTAGCTCGGAAGGTGTTACCACACTGCTTGTGTAATGGCACACCTTGCTTAATACATGGCTAGACTAAGGGAATTGGATAGCTGAAACGCACAACCCTGTGTGCGACACGCGTGTCGATTCGCTACCCAGCAATATTCCGCTAGATGGTAAACACAAGGATTGGGTTAGCGAGGCCTTGAAATCCAACCCAAACATTGTTCAAACTCATGCAGTGCAACAACATCTACTGGAGATATACAAGCTTCTTTGTGCGAAAAACACATATTCAGCCAAAGGAGATCGTCCATGTGCTAAATCTGCATAGAACAATGCACGTAAAGTAGGGCTTTTCTGGCCCAACAGTGAGACACTACTTGTGCATGTATACCGATAATGTGTCAGGTGAATTTGTCCCAACCCATTCTGAATGCAAGAAAGCGTTGAAATCATCATACGTGTAATTATTATGACCGTGGAATGATTTGATTGACTACTTTAACCTGACAGCTGGGAGACATGTACATAAGCTTGTGTGTGTGTGTGTGTGTGTGTGTGTGTGTGTGTGTGTGTGTGTGTGTGTGTGTGTGTGTGTGCGTGTGTGTGTGTGTGTGTGTGTGTGTGTGTGTGTGTACAGGTTCTGCATGCTGTGTGTCTCAGTGCATGGCGCAACGTGCACAGTGTACAAGCGACATGCTAGGTCACGTGTGCACCATGGGCAATGCTGAGGCAATAGCCGCATATCTTGAAGCCATTGCAACCACTGTACTATAGACATGCAATGTGTCCAAGGATGGTAAGAGGGTCCTATAGTGATATACTTCGAAGTACATCTCACTGGCGTTTCTGACTCACCTCTCATGCTCAATTCCCAACACCAGCGCCCACTAGAACACAGAAATAGGACAGCAACAAGAGGGATGAGAAACATCGAATTCTACTTTTCGAAGTACTGCAGCATCACATTGTAGGAAACCCCACATTGTGACTAGAACAGCCCCGGAGTTACGCAATTAACGTGGCTAACGTACCTTTTTCATGAAGTGGTCGGATACCATTCGTTACCATTGCACAATGAAGACACACATGTGGTAGATGGTATTTTATTCACTAGGAATATAATTAAAACGTGAATACACAGCCTAACCAGAGCTTCAGTGGTGGCAACATTGCTAGCCTGGATCCATGGAGTCATGGTCCACCTTGATGAATCAATTATTTCAAAGTAGATTTGACGCACAGCTATAAAACACAAACTGATGTCCAGCATATCCAACTTACCCAGGGGTCCTTGTGGAGAAGAGGCAGGTCAAACGCTTCGGCATCAATCAGATCCAATATCACGCGCTTGACGTCACTGCGATACTGCCACACCTCTTGCACACGAGGCCAGTTGAAATCACCGCCCAGACGGCAATGATCCTGCATGAGCAAAGGGCAGCGGAATACCCCACATGAGAAGCATAGATAAAGTTGAGGCAAGATACAGTTTGCACATTCGTCATCGCAGATTCAGTTGATTTCTACAGAGGATATTATCCAGGCAAAGAGATCTAGACGAGATGAGTTACGCATGCCACAGTCCATGCTGAACCACTTACCGTACTATCCCAGACCATCTCGTCAACTCCGGTTTCAAAGATAGCATCCATTGGACTTTGGAGTCGGTCCTGCAGAGCACCATATTACACCCCGCAAGCAGAGAAGGGGCACTGACTCAGCAATCAGTTGATCAGTACAAGCCAGTCACACAACAGTGAAACGTATCATGTATGAAGATAACACATGTTGGCATTTCTAATCCAGCTGCTTACTATAAGTGTTCACTGTACCCAGGCGCGTGCCCCGTATGGGTTCCTGGGTGCCCGGAACCCCCTTTTTTCGCTCAAAATGCAAGATTTTTCTTCATTTTTTGAAAAATTTTCCCGGGGGAGGCCCTCCGGACACCCCCTTGAAGGGCACCGGCGCACGCGCCTGGTACCCATTTCCGCATTTCGAACGAACCTAACCAGCCTTCACTTACTCTCTATCTCAGGATACACAAGTGGGAGTAATGTTTTAACATCACAATTCCACATCCATACCTGGAGAGAGCTGCTGAGTACCAGTTTGTTGACATAGACTGCAGACGTATGGCCCAGGTAGAAGATGAGCTGCAAGCGTAGCTTATCTGGTTGCTTGTAGAACGTCGAGTCATCTATGCAGTGGGGATAAACAGCCACACAGCAATAGTTACACGTGTACAATATTGTCCATGTGTACTTCGACGGCTTCAAGTTTCCTTGACTTTCTATTCTGACGTCGAGCAGTAATCAAAGACATCTGACACCAATAATATTATCTTTTTCTCCTACTTGTACTTTCTGTTCAGGACTAAATGTTGAACCTTACACCTTCACACCTTACCTTGGATGGAGCTGAACAGCGCTTCGTAGATATCATACGAGTTCAGGAAATAGCTGCGGATATCGCTGTGGTGAGGTTTACGAAAACAGAGAAGAGCAAGGAGGCATAATGGTGAATTCAATATTTGGATTGAAATAACTAGACCTTACCACCTGCATCATAGTGATAACAACAGTGTTACCATCAGCCGCCCAATCCCTGACCTCTGAGATGAGAAACTATCAATTTCAACTCATCATTCAGTCACAGCATGCTTTGACGTACAGGAGCCAAAGGCTGCTTCGCCGTAATGACGGTGGGGGGGGGGGGGGGGGGTTAGAAAGGTAAACAAAGTGCAGGTTTTCGCGAAAATAATTTGCCAAAGGAATGGCTATGTCGCTCCCAACCTCGTCGCTTTCGGAGATTAGGCCTAACACCATCTACACATTGATCAATCGAACGTATTTCCTATTGCTGACCTCTTTTTGCAATTGGACAAATCCGGTGGTGGAAGCGACAGCTGTGGCGATTGGACGCCAAGGTCTTGACTACGGTCCGCGAAGGTAGCCATTGCACACCGCTGTTCGACCGCAATGCGTTGGCAGAGCTCAGTAACGAGGGAACAAGAGAAAGAAGGATGTGAATCTGGAGCTAGCTAGCTAGAACATCGATGTTATTTGCACTGCAGTGAGAGACCTTATGATGAGCTGACTAGGCCTTGAAACGCAGTTATAAACTTACACAGTGAAGTGCGAAAGTAGAAGTTTGACTACAGTGTAGTTTAGCATTGCCTCAACCGTTTCCAACGCACTACTGAGTGGCGAGAGCACACTGAATCCGACCGTTTGTGCCGTTGCGACTGACGTTTGGATCTCTGTATCTTGCACCAGTTCAGCCGATCTCCACGTGATACCATGTAGCACCGAATGTGTTCTCTGCTTGCATGTCACTGGGAGCACACACACACACTTCTGCCAAGTAATTAGTTCTGGCATGTGTAGATCTACTGTCACTGTGTCAGGCGGCGACTATTGTCGAGAATCACAAGACCTGCGGAAGGTTTTTGGCATTATGGCTGCGTCATCACCCCACGGCACGCCTGGTCATCGTTGCACACCTGCACCGGATCATGAGCGGACGCCGGGTGGACTTCGGAAGACAAAACACACACACACACACACACACACAAGGCCTAGGCCATACCTCCTTACTACCCATTCGTGTATCATATGCAGCAAATCTATCAAATCATGCCATGTCACCTGACCCTAAACCCAAAGGTATGACAGGTCTACATTATTTCAGCTAATGTCGTACTGTCGTAATCCAGAAGCAAGCGACAGCCATGCCTCAGCATAATTATTTTTGATTGCGACGGAGAGTGGTGACGACCATGCCGTGGCAGCTGAATGAAGCCAATCCCGAGACAACTTTTATAATACTGATGAAGAAAGGTGACCACGAGCCGAGCCCCCAAGCCGCAGAGCTGGCACCATTGTAGAAGTCGCTACGAAATGAAAATGCTCGCAAAAGTATCTGTAGGGAAAGCATAAAATTGTCACGACGAAGATGGGATTCGAACCGAGCCCAGCCAGCAGCAGAACTGGTACGAGTCGCATCAAAATACAAATAAAAGGCCCTCAAAAGTATCGGGGAGAGCAAAAAAGGTATCACGACGAAGATGGGATTCGAACCCACGCGGGCAGAGCCCAATGGATTAGCAGTCCATCGCCTTAACCACTCGGCCACCTCGTCAACCACGCCACTTCCACCCCATGTGGCAGACATGAGTCCTGTGAAGGCTGTGTTATAATTATTATAATAATTATTTGTATGAAACGACTGCGTTATATCCACTATGTTTTCGAATTCGACAGCATGACACGCCTTGTAACATTGGACGCACGGTGCTCCTGAGTCCTGACTACAGTACAAGTACAACCACAACCCGGTGGGCAGAGTCCCGGTACGCGGTCTCGCGACCATTACAGGTTTGAACCGTATGGGGAAAAAACCCCGTTCGGACCCTCTTTCTAGGGGGCGGTGGTTGACTTTGGAATTTTGGTTACATCTGCTAGCAGTCTACAAATACTATGCAGGTGTATACCTCCCGATCATGCAATACAATCATGTACTGGTAGATTGGCGCCAAGTGACTTGCAATAGTGACACTACATCAGTGACGACTGTATTGAGTGTTGGCACCCCCAGTCTGTGGCCTCAAATAATTGAGACCGGGGAGACTCAGCCGCTGAGTTTGAGCGAGCTCTCAAGGAAAACCTGAGCTGCATACGCCGTTTGGACTTACATGTACAGTAATACAGTTTGAAGTACAGTGGAACCTGTCTAAGACGACCACTCATGGGACCCTCAAAACGTGGTCTCTGTTACCAGGTGGTCTCCTTATACAGGGCCATTTGACTGGAAATAGCATCTCTTGGTCCTGGTTTATTATTATTACGCACACACTCATGGCCAAGGCCAATCAAGGAGGAGGTGAGGGCGATTATAGCCAGCCATGGCAAATAGCCAGCCATGGCAGGGGTTCCGGTGGTCTTCTAGGACAGGTGGTCGCCTTGACAGGTTTTACTGTACTGTATTGCCTTGCGGGTTCTACAGTGTAATGGTTCTGAGGCTAGGTTTGACGACCGCACTGACGACGACCGCACTGAAACTCCTTCTGCTACAAACAGACAGACCCGGATTGCAAAGAAACCCCCCCGGGGCCATGACTTCTCCTAAGGAGGCAGCAATCGCCATTATAATCCCAAGAACTCACAGTTGCGCCGGATTGACTCATCAAGGATAAAGTGTGAGCTCCATCTTGTGGAGAAATAAAACTTACTGTCACTGGCGTCAGAAGGACAATCAATAAAAGAAGCGAATGTGCTACTGTTGATAATAACCTTAAACCCAATGTAGTACTGAAGAAAAGTTATGAAATGTACATCAGTGTATCCAAGAGTCCAAAACCCCAGACTCTTGGTGTAACGATAAATGCATGAAAATATTCTCTCGACTGCAGAACGTCAAGCGTATTCTCATGATGGGCAGAACATCAAATCTGACCATTGGACAAGGCTGGGGCAAGACTGCTGCTTACCAATGTGCAACAGTATTGAGAGTGACTACAATAATAATACCCTCCTGGAGAAACACAGATATAGCCCTCATGTCTATGTACACAGTAGAGATTTTAGTTAGCAGGCATATTAGTCCATGGCATGGGGAAAAGTGCTGTTGCAAGCCGGATTCAACAAATATTATCATGACTCTCAAGATCAAACTATCGTGTAGTTCATCGATGGACTGGTATTGGGGAGGAAAGTGATTGGATTCTGTTTACAATGTTGTGTTCTTGATGATTCGTGTGGCCGTGTTACAGGACACCGGCGATGAACTGCTGTAACTTGGCGGAGAAGAGCTACCCGTTCCCACATCAAAGTCGCCGCTTACTGCGCTGCGCCTCGGACTGTAGGGGATCTTCACCTCGTGGGTATCCTGGCGACATAGATCTGGTCGCACCACCGGCTCAGCTACCTGGGTACGACTAGCATCGAACTTGCTGGAAGCAAAGATACCATCGCTTCTCGGCTCCGCTGAGCTTCTGCCGAACACACCAGACCAGAGCTTCCACGAGAACGCCCAGGAGCAGAGGATCATGGAGGAGAAGAAGCCGATGGCAAACGGCGCTAAGAAGAATCCCAGTGATAGGTCGGGCAATGGCGGGCACTGGTCTGGATCACAGCTACTCATCCTACACTCGAGATGTGCTGTTGTCTGCTTGGTCCAATCACCCTGGTGCAAGCCAATGTAGGCACCGAGTACCAACATTGCCACGATATTGACAAACACCACAAAGATGTAGAAGAGCATCTGGTGAATGAGGCGGCGGAAAGCTGCACGTGTCGATGACCCGGCAGTGCTGGACGATGTGCTGCCGCTGGTGTGTCGCTTGGTTCTAGACGGCATACCGGACGATGACCATGAGATGACTGTGTGACCTTTACTGGCCTTCTCATCGGCCGTGTTAGAGGCTGCCACGGCTTCTGCCTGGCGACGCATGTGCCTCTCCTGTTCCTTCTTACGGTGCTGTGCAAGATGGTACAAGCCGAATACTAGGAACACTGAGCCAATGCCAAGAGAAACAGCCAGCGGGGCGATGACAAACTCCAGAAAGAAGCCGTCCTGCCGAGCCATGCAGATCCCATACAGAGGCGATCCCTCGATACCTCGCCGTACCAGCACTATGAGCACAAAGATCAAGGAGATGAGCAGTGAGCCACCAATGTACATCGCGTCCATCAGGTAGGGTGAGTCGCGCAGGCCTCCGCCGAGGCCGGCGCGGGCAGTCATCTTGTGTGCCCTGGCAGAGGTGCCCGGTGTGTTGAGAGATCGGATCAGGTCAAACCACGCGTGCGTGAATGAGAGAAACAGCAGGCCAGTCATGCTGATTCCCAGGTGAGCAAGTGACTCAGTAAGGACGCACAAGGCACTAGAGCTGGGCTCTTTCAGGCGGCGAGTACCTGCAGGACATGTCAGAGAAAGAGCAAGAGGAAGCAGATCTTGTTGTGACTTCTAGCACCTTGCTTACGTACAAACACAACTACGCCCACAGGCAATGCAGCTATGGCAAGGTTGTTCTCACCTACTTGAAATGCCTGCTAGTGCTTTCTCTTCCCGGCTTGAACAATGTACTAGTTCGGTATGTTTGTACTGTGACATGCTGGTACATGTACACGTACACTCAAAGCAGTTGGACGATGGGTGCAGGCATACATGTACATGCACTCAGTGGCATGTGCATGCACCAGGTAACACATACATGTACATTACCAGGTAACACATACATGTACATTACCAGAGCGGACGTGGGAGTTTGGGACCACCTGCACCTAACGCATGCATTCGTGTTTTTAAATTGTGTGTGTATGTGTGTGTGTGTGTGTGTGTGTGTGTGTGTGTGTGTGTGTGTGTGTGTGTGTGTGTGTGTGTATCTGTGTGTGTGTGTGTGTGTGTGTGTGTGTGTGTGTGTGTGTGTGTGTATGTGTGTGTGTGTGTGTGTGTATGTGTGTGTGTGTGTGTGTGTGTGTGTGTGTGTGTGTGTGTGTGTGTGTGTGTGTGTGTACGACTGTGTGTGTGCCTTCATATTTGCATGCGTGTATGTGAGTTCGAGAAAATGCTTTGTTATGGACAACTGACTATGTTCCATCTCAATGTCCTGAGACATACCTACGCAGGCTAAGGTACATTTTCAACCAGTGGCGAAACAGTCATCCCAAACAATAGAACTGCACAGTAGCGGTGCTGTCAAAGGTATTCATTGCCTTGTGTAAACAGTGTGTTACAGTCCTATTTTCAACTTCTAATTTTACCATTAACTCCAAGTCTGGTCAACAAATTATCGAAGTATGGTCTCCAATTATCCTGTCAATGTCAAAGTGAGAGCGTTCAGATGGTTCTGTATTTAGCATTGTGACATGCCATGGCGCCTTCTCCTGAACCCCCCCCCCTCTTCAATGGAACTACAGTACTCAGGTAGGACTTCGCTTCACGACGAGATCGCTCCTTTGGTGACATTCCCCACGTGTCGTGGCAGGTTTGCATACCGTCCTTTCACCCATGCCATGTCAGACGAAAACCGATAGCCGGTGTTGGAGTGCCATGGCATGAGAGAACGACGGAGATGCACTGGCGTTTTTTGTTTCGTTTTTAATCATGAAGGTACTGACAATACACGCTGCAGCTGGCTGGACACGCGTAGCAGGGAGTCAGATTTTGATCGAGTGCTTAGCTCGATTTGGCCTGCATATTGAATTACGCCTAGCCCCCGATCAATAGATGTCATGTCGCCTCATTCGCTGCGTCGCCAGCGATCTCTACTCGGGTTTGATATACAAATAGGGAACATAGCTATGAGTAGATGTTCATAAGGACACTGATCACCAGCTGAGCAGGAAGAAAACTTACCGTCTTCGTGGCAAACGAAGCTTTCCACATCGGCAAACGCCACCGGAACAAAGACACTGACAGTCACTGCCGAGCTGATATTGAAGTAGAGGACGAGACGCCGCACTAACACCTTCCCTAGCGTGGCACGATTGAACCAGAAAGCCAGCAGGGCGACGATGGTGAAGATCTCCGTGCCGATGCTGCCCAGCGACAGAATGTAGCGAGCAACTTTCTGCTGTTGGCTGCTGAAGCCCACTGTCGTACACGCCTGTCCACATGCTAGCAAGCTGTCGTTGAAAGGTAGCTTCGCCTCTGGGAAGTATGAACCGAGCAAATGGTGAGTTTTCTCCAGGGACCCAGCTATTCTCCTGTCCCAGTGACTCTTCTCGGTTGTAGCTTTCAATGGTGCGTGGCACTCCAAGTTCATACAAAACCCCTGCGGCTGTGCGCGAGAAGCAGCAGCTTCTTCGCCAGCGCCCTTGGCCATTTCCAGTACAAGAGAAGGCACGGCTAGCGACTTGCATGGTGTTGAACCTTGCACCTTGCCACCACCATTCGCGCCACAACTCATCACCATACACACAGGGGGCTGTTGCTCCCGTGACGTCACACCACAGTCCGACGTTATCACACTCAGGTACTGCAGCTCGGGCACCTTGGCCGTGTCGACGAACGGCTTGAGACTGGTGAGGAGCGACGCGATAGGGAAGCATTGCTGCGCACAGGGCTGTACACGAGTTAGCGGCGAGTCTGCTGCCGTGCGAGAGCACATGGGGAAGAGCGAATCACAAGTCAGGAACGATAGAAGACGCAGGAAACTGACCATGTTCGCATCTGTAGTGCTCTGGCTGCCTTCCTGCTCCACTGCAGGAGCAAGATCGGAATCCAAACTTGCAGTACTTTTGATCATATCCTCTAGTATAGTTGCTAAGCGAGTAGTAGAGTTTCCTAATCCGCTTATCAAACTCGGGAAAGTGGCTGCAAACTGGAGTTGGCCGTGTACGCGTCGCAGCAGTCGAACAAAACTCGAAACCTGTGTTACACATTGTGGTTCGCTGGCCTCTCTCGGAGTTGCCGCCGCTGCCGCCGTACTGCCATTGGAAAGGGTGCCATTGAGACCTATAGCGGCCGACAGTGCCGAAACCGCAGCGGACAGTCTCAGAATGCCCTCTCCACACTGCTGTAGCGAGGACTCCGTGGGACCACCGCCGAAACAACACATACGATTGGCACTGACCAGTCCCGTCTCGACCTGTTTCATGGCCATACCAGCACGAGCACACATTACGCTTCTTACATCGTCTTGAGGGGGCCGTTGAGAACCTTCATCGACAGCCATAGTAGTAGTGGGGGCAGAAGAAGCTAATGGATTACCATCGGGTCGAGTTCCACAGAGGGGTTTCATCACTTGCTCGCCAATGCAAGTCAATAATCGATGTGCTCGTTTCCGGAGCTTCTCCGAATCACTGAACGCACACGACGGTGATGTTGCCCCTGCCGCGATGTCGGGCTGCCGAGTTGCTTGTGGATTCTTGGCAAGCGGTTGGGATTCTAGGGGTGGATGCACCTTAGGCGACAGACCCAGCCACACAGGTAGGATGTGCAGGCATTGGTCTTGGGTGGTGACCTTCTGCAAGGCCAAACCCTTGCGCAATGTGGCCAGCAGTGGGTGGTGAGGTGCGGGGCATGGCGACAGGTTCTCTAAGGTCGTCTGCACGACCTGTGAGGACTCTGTCCGTACACCAACCTTCGCTCTTCCGCCATCGCCTGGTGGGATGGGTGTCAGGCCATAACCACCCTGAAGAAACGTCAGCGCCGCCAGCAACAAGACGCACATCCTCCTGGCTGATGCACAGCAAGCTCCAACAAGACGCGACATAACTGCATCCGATTAGTAGTAGGCACGCACACGAGTCTGGACTCTGTAAAAGAATCTTTCTGGCTATAGGTCTTTCTGGGTGCGTGGCTAGCTGGCGTGTCCACTCTGCTGTTCGTATCGGCCTATAGTTAGACTTAGGCGAGTGGATGTGTGAAGAATTTCCGTTACCACCGAGACCTGGTTGCTGGCGTGGGCACAGGACGTGTCCTTTCTCGTCTGCTGGCCAATGAAGCAATGAACGAGGAGAACTGGTAGTGGTAGATTCCAATACGGGCTAACGCGGGACAATCAAGCACAGTAACATAGTGTGTGACAGTTGGGCTCACATCGATGGTGTTGGCCAGAACAAAAAAGAACTGAACGTCTTGATGCATCGACGTGCGATGAACACTTGGTTTTAAATCCAGCGCGAGAGCTAACACGTTGTTGACCAGCTGACGATTCTGGCCCCGCAGCTGCAGGTCATGATCCCGCCGCCAGTGTCGTCGCTATTCTCTCGCCCGAGCCATGTAGCTATGTACCGGGGGTTAGATGCTGGGGGCTTCGGCGGAGGTCCGGTTCGGCCAGGTTCACGGTCACACGCGGCCTTGGACGCGCAGCAATTCAACTCCAGGGCAGTGTGTACTGTGTAGTGGTGTGGAGAGCCCTACCACACGACTACTCTTGGTGGTGAGTCGACTAGTCGTAGACGAACCCTTAGCCATAGGCGCTAGCCTAAGTGCGAGCATGAAGCAGTGTTGACACTGTCGAGATAAGGCATACGCGCAGCACACGTCACACTGGTCTGGGTCAGTCCTGGCTTGTTGTATATTTCCTAACTATCAGCGTCAGTCATGTGCAGCATGCGCCATTACTATTAGTCTATTACTGTACTATTAGCACCCATGTTATCACCCACAGCAATCCGTCGTGTGCACGTGACCGTCGATCACCACCAGTCCACACCATCTGTATCACGTTATAACTACTTTCCTATCTCCACCATGCCCCCTATTCCTAAAACGGCCACTCTCTCAGATCTACCAACAACAGTTACCGCTGCCAGTTGCCACATTGCACTTTGCAGCTCTTCTCACAATCACGATCTGAAAAGACCATCAGCACAGTCATAGCGCATACCACTGGGAGTAGTATAATTATATTATTTTACTACTCCCTGGTCCATACGATGGATAATATTAATATTCCAGAGCCACAAAGTTATTGCATGCAGGCCTTACACTGTACTTGTAGACCTTGGCCGGTTCTCACATTTTTCGGTGCTCGTTCATGAGTACAACCACCAACATGGCACATTCGCAGGTGGTCTTATTCGGGCTGCACTGCAGCCTGCGAGATACAAGCGCTGGCCAAGCAATGCACTCCTTCTGAGGCCAGGAAGCTAGGCAGAAGTGATGGCAGATTTTGCTCTAAGAGGTGTGAAGTGAAAGCGTACGGACGGGTGTCGACTGACCGGTGCTAGCTGCGTCCCAAGATACACATCGTTGAGCAGCGCACAGCGAGCAGTTCAGCGCTATGTTGATGTTCACTACTTCCGTTCCCGCTCGCTCGTCCACCAGCGCACCATTCGCTCGTCCACCAGCGCACCATTCGCGGTACCACTGACAGTGCCGTAATGAAGGCCAATGCAACTCGGCTGAGCTTCTCCCGCCACCGACCGTGTTGTAAGGCTGAGCGGCGGACGTGGCTGCATCCGGCCTAAGCAATAAGCCAGTGCTGATCAGTATCAGCATATTCTCTATCTTCCAGCAGCCCCACACTATGTATTTCTTAGCCTCAGCTCAGACAGTCAGCCACACAGTTCCTATGGCAATGGAGTGCGGGGCATCTGCTCGTGTGCCTACTTGTAGCTAGCGCTAAGCCACTACATGTACTACTACTACTACTAGCATCGCTCCACGCAGCTTGGCGGTTAAACTCAACTAGCTCGACAATGCATTGCTGCTGTTATGTTGAGTGTTGGCTGGGGTTTGGTGCGGTTATCCAACGGGTAAACCTGGTCATGAGTGCATGTGTGCATCAGGGTCAGTCCGCTGGGTGGCAGTGAGAGCTGTTGATCTGTGCGATGGGCCTTTCGGAAGTGGCCAAATCGGCGGAACTGCAACGTGTTTTTCAGCCCTAGTGGTCGTGCAGCAGGCTCATTAAGGAACGACAAACACATTACCACTGCGTGTGCCTCGCGTTAATCTAGGCTCGTTTGTCGTCCACTGAAGAATTCGTTTGGTGAAGCGCTGGTAGCTCATTACTACCAGTATCACGTGTGTCTCCGCCTGTCTGGTCATTCTGTACACGAACAACTCAAGTATTCGTCTTCAAATGTCAACGGTATTACTCTTGTGATTAGGAGAGGCTGACAGGTAGGTGTATTTCCAATACTGTCAGTGGGCAAACATAGTGCATGGATCACAGGTTCCTAGAGCTAGAGCTAGAGCCCTCCTAGCGGCACTTTACGGCTACTTCATGGGATCAGACAGGGCAGCATTGCCGAATGCAACAGAGATAGGCAGTGCTCAACGCAGGAAGGTGATCACGACGATTGTATGGGCCATTCTGGCCCGAAGTCCCACCGGGAAAACCATGGGGGAAAACAGCACGCGGAAGGTACATGTATCCCACGCAAAAGGTATAGTCTTCGCCGAGATGATTGCTTTCTAGCAGACATGATCGTTCACTTGTTCGACCATTGTGCACTGCATTGTACAAGTTGAACAGACCAAATCAATACCTAGAATGGTAACCTATTAGAACAATGGTGAGCCGGTTGCTACTACAACCTCACGAACTTTACTACTTCATTTTCAGGATGGCAGCCGTCAGGCGAGCTACATGAGCAAGGAGAAAAACTGCAGGTCTTTGAATCGGTTTCCGAGTGAGAGCAGGCGCCTCAGTACCCGTCAGACTGATGTTAGCAACGACCACGTCGTATGTTTGTGGGTCAAGATTGCGTGAAGAATACACGATTCTGGTTTGTACCGAGTACACGACTGCGTTGTCTGCTACCTAGTATGCGTAGGCGAGGACAATCTTTTATCGTCCAGGCAAAAACACGCCAGACTGCCTCTGTGCTGAATCGCCGCTACACTATTGTCGATCTTCTTGTCCTTTCCGCACAGCTTGCTCATAGCTTGGCGGTAATGTTAGTGTCAGAATGGTTTCATACCCTCTGGCCATCACCAAGGGAGTCTTGACACTCTGTGCTGGCCAAAACGTAACAGCGTAACAGCGACAAAGAGCGGAATAGAGGGGTGTCCTGCAACATGGCTATGCAGTATGGTGATAACGGGGCTGAGCCGAGGGCACCTGCTGTCCGTGTTTAGCTTTTGTTTACAACTTTACATCCAACATGGCCAGAAGCAGGTACAGGAGACAAGGTACGAGACGCAAAACACTGGGGCTGGCAATGCGGCATTACTACCAATACTGGCGGCGTGGTATGTAAGCGCAAACATCACCAACATCATCAAGGCGAGCACTATGTCGCTACGCAATCCTCCATATGGCCCTAGGACGAAAGGACGAAGCGACAAACCTTCACACGTGTATGTGCCGTGTGTGTATCTACATTGTACTATCTAGTGATGCAGTCCGCCATGAGTCAGCTCTCGGAGCCTCCACCGGAACACCTTGGCGTTGGTCTTCACTTCGGTTCGTACCCCAACACTCAGTGACTGCCCAACACTGCCCAACACTGCAGTGCCAGTGGTAACCGAATCCATGCTGTACACGTACATGGATATAAGCACAGGAACACGGCTATCCCGCACAATACACGAACATGTACCAAATAGCCTGCATCAAATTCACTTGAGGTCTGAACTTCGGGCTGGATGGTAGGAAGTCAGTCATCCGAGATAAGACTGTAAGAGAGATTACTCCTGATTTTCCTCCAGCCATGCACTGAGTTTACTGTTAAGGTCATGGCAAAAGCAAGAAGATCGCCATCAAAGGTATAGTTATAGACTACAGGATGCTGCGAGTGTATCTTCGGCAATGCTCGTGGTCGCCCAGGAAAACTGCGACTGCCATTATAACTGTGCAACCAAGCAGAGCGATCTACATCTACATGCAGATTCATGCATGCATGGACACCATCATCTGGCGGCCCGTGTATTTAAAACACGACTGTATTGCACTGTACTATACTGTACTATACTGTACTATACTGTACTATACTGGGCAGCACATATAATTGTTCCATACCTACATATTGACTGGTATGTCCCTCGCGTTACAATGACACTATGTATGTGCTGACAGTCATGTTGGAACACCTTGGAGGTTCCGTCGAGACACGGCCGAAAACTACTGGAGCGGCCTAGAAACTAACTAAAAGCGCTCCACCTACAAGTGGTCCAATCGGCTCACTATCCCCCTACATTCCGTTTCACATGGCACGCGGTGTAACTAGACTTTGAGTACGAGTAGAGCGGGTACAGAACCACTCACACAGTCATGTGACCTGCTGAAGTCGATAAGAGACGCTCGTCGTTACCCTCAGCTAACCGACTATATAGTCATGTACATGTACATGGTAGTGTACATATCGTCTATTGAGAACATTCATTCCCCGGCAGAAGGCACTTTGTCGTTAGACTCCTGCTTGACCTATGGAGTATGGAAGCATTGGGAGGCCACTGGCTTGGCGATCCGTGCTCGGGCGTTCCAACTAACACAGCGGACACTTCCAACCACCACAGCGGACACTTCCAACCCCAGGCAACCGCCTATACCGAAAATATTGCTCCCGATAGTATCGGTTGTTGAAGCGGTCAGTGTTAAAGTGGCGAATGTATTGTTTCATGGACACACTGGGAGCGGTGATTGCGGTGCGTTATATCGGTGAACCTATGATCAGCTTGACGGGTACAGGTGAAAGCAGGGAGAGACGTTCACCTTCGGAGCTTATGCAATGACACCACTAGCTATCTTTCTTTTCTTTTTACCGACACTAAGACTTCCTGCCATTTTGGTCCATGTGCATGTAGATCTGCAATGACATACAGCTGTTTGTACATGACTGTATTACACATTTACAGCATAATATCACCTGATCCTGTACACGAACGAACGGGCATGACCATGGCCCATGGGCATTCTGTGCCATGTAAATGTTCAAGATGTGATCTGAGGAGTGAGGTGGTGGAGGTACATTATACATGTGCATGCATGTGCATTGGTACGCAGTCTGTCCATGATAGTTACACAACACAAGGTACAGCCTACAGCCTAGTACAGTACAAGGTAGATCTACAGCTGTACTTGGCCTAGCTGCATGGACCGGCACAAACTAGCTCAGACTCCGTCAGAGCAGCCGATCTCCAGCAGACAGGCCGAGTGGCGAGTGCCTGCCAGTCGTTCAGTCCGTCACTCCGCGTCAGTGTCGCGGCTGTGGCCAGTAACACTGACGATAACGTCACACTGCGACAAAACACGCAGAGAACACCGGGTATTGGCCTACAATTGTGTACCACTTATCCTGTATATTATACCAAGTTCTGTGTCTGTAAATTTACGCGTAGTATGTTGGCCTGTGTAATGGCTTCATTTTGAAACGGTGTTTGCCCAAACATGGTTCGGCAAAAGCTTCGGGTCCACAGCGGTGAGGAGCTAGGTATAGTAGTTCACGTTGAAATGGTAGAATGAAGTAGTTGAAATGGTGTCTAGAAAGTATGCCCATGTGTCACATAGCGGGTATGGTCGGTGTCAGTCAAAACGCAGTTCTTCGTTATCGGCAGGGGCACTTGGGTCCAGCATGTAATTCTTAGACCGCCGCGGCCAGTTGCCTTCGTTCTAAAGCGATCAGTTTCTTGCTTGAAATACTAGTAGTCATCAGGTACAATGGTGCATTGGTTCTGGACATGTTTGGCCATCTTTTACCCTACATTGTATTCGAAGATCATGGCCATTACGCTATACAGTCTGTATTATAGCATGATCATAGTCATCGTTTTGAAGTCATAGTGCAATGCAGGAACATTGTATAGTATTACTGCTGGCGAAGCAGGGCAGGTGTGGTATCGATGGGCACGCCATCATACCAACTGGCCAAGGAGTATAATACTAGTCTTTATAGAGTGCTGTAAAGTGCTTTCAGTCTGCTCTATTATACAAAAGCACATTGTACATGCACGAGAACGATAGTCCCATGCTGAACTGACGATTTCAAGTGGCTAAGCTGTAGGTGCAGCACAGAATCTGTAACCGGGTCCTAGAGCCTAGGCTAGAGAGTAGAGTAGAGCCTAGAGGCATAGCAAGATTCACCGAGCCTATGCAGTACAGTTACTGTACGTGTAACTGTAGATTGTAGGACTTTGCCATTGTACCAACATGCAAATCATCCACAGTACACAGTGCACAGTACGGGTGCGTTCTGCACCTGGCACAGTGGCAGTGGGCACTTTACCATCATCTCATGACATGTCCGGGGAGGGGTCTGTGTAACAGCAGCTGCAGGATGCTGTCAACCAAAATAGGCCACCTACATGTGACATGTATACAAGGTCTATACAAAGTCACATACATGTACATACAATGTGCACAGAGTTACAACCAACCTGAGCGTCCTTCCCTGAGTCGGCTATGTACATGCACATGCACATGACGTATACTACTGTTCACTCCTCCTGTACACTGGATGGGTCACAGCTAGAGTTTCCCCCTCTCCCCGACCGCACGCCATACTCTTCCTACTAGTATTAGTCGCAGTACGTTAGAGAAAGGCACTGTTTCCCACCTGACGGGTAAGGTCATTGGCAGGCATTCCATTGTTCATGGCTACACGATCGCTTCGACTTCCGATCCGGCGCAAGTATTCGTGTTCGAATCTTTTCTTCAAGTATTCACCCCCGGCCCCCCCTATCGCTCAGCTATTTTCCCTCCGAGCAAAGGATGTTTCCTCGCCATCACACTCACACCTGACGTCACAGCACAGTGCTAGTGAAGGGCCTGTGTGCTTACTGTGGAAGATCATCTCCCTATTCGTGAACGCCACATTCTGCCATGGACGAAGATAACCAAAGTCGCACGTCACCAAGCAGCCAGATCACCGCCCTGCATCTAGCTGTGCAGAGCAATGCTGACACACTCTTTTTGACGACCACGGAAGACTAGGCGTAGTTGAGTTGTCTGAATCACGAACCGCCAAACCTGGTACACAACGACACGGTGTGTAAACCAATCTTCACGATAGTGAGTTCGTGTAGTAACTCTTCCATCCGTGTGCACGGGAGCAACGAGATTCGTTTTTAGAACTGCATTCTTCCTCGGCCAGCATCGCGCTCCAATATGTCGCACGAACAAGCTGTTCTGACGGAGTAATATTGACGCATGCCAGGCAGGTATTTTTGATGTAGGCTCCCCGCTGCATTGCCAGATCAAAGTCTTTGCCTCGAACTCCACTGCTTTTGGACATACCGTCCGAACCATGTTGAAAAGCGCAGCCATGCCGGGTAATGTACCGCCTGTGCATGACGTAGTGCGTTTAAAACAGATCCATCATATCAAGAGTACATAACTGCAATACACCAATGTCCTCTTGGTTGCATTGATAACTTATCCAGGATAGGAAAGGGCAGCGGATGTTGTAAACATTCTTAACAGTTAACTTACTTCGCATCTCAATCTCATCACGTCAAGACAACACAGGCTAACTTACTGTTTGGTGTTGAAGTCTACCTACTTCTCGTAGGAGGCGGAAATGTAGCCTCGATCGGCCAGTAACGTTTCATATCGTGGAGCAGTAAACCTGACGCATTATTATCAGCACATTGTTGATAAAGTAAAGTTCGCGCATCCGTGGGCAATGATTATAAATGTGGACAGTGAGGAAAACACGCAGCAAAGGATTGATGGCTGCTGCCGCAATTCCTATCGATCATGACCCGTGGAGCATGTGTGAGGAACCTCACTAGTCACGCTGCTGATAGCAATCCAGTCATGCTGCTAACACTAGTAATGATAATATTTTGTGTCGTTTCTGGTGCAGGCCTGTTGCCACAGTGCCCCCGAACAGCAGCTCTGACCGGTCGTATTCTCCCAATCTCACCTTCCCAGGGCCCGTTCATCATCACAAACAACCATTCATTGTGTTAATCTTATGGTGACGCGCTTGAGCAATCTTTGGCATCTATTTCACTCTGAACAACAGGCGCTCTCTCACACCCACAATAAGGTGAGACGTGAGAAGGCAATCAGGTATGCGACATATCAAAGATGCTGCGCAAGGAGGCGTCCTGATTTTTTTGGCGTACGGATGAGCACAGAGAGATATTATTATTATTATCTAACTTGTCACGCGTTCACCATCATGGCCATGCATGGGTTGAAATGCTGACAGCTCACAGCAGACAGGCTAGGTCAGTGGGAGCGCCTTCCTTCCCATCCGCCATCTTGCTAGGTGTACGTACCGAGGAGAAGTGTTTTAAAGAGCACCTCTCTCCCCCAGGCCATTTCAATGATAACGTACTGGTGTTACTGCTCAATACAATACTTATAATCACCTCCTCCGCAACCCCCTTCCCCCCAGGGTTGTGTATCCTCTGTGTAAGGGGAGGAGAAGAAGCAATAAGCAATGACCTAGCTTGTTTGTGTGATGAGGTGATCTGATATTACAACTGCCAAGTCAAGGTCAGTTACGAATCACGATTTGACGCATGACTACAATTCGCGTTGTGGTGCTTCACTGTTTTCTGACCTCGGACGTATTCGGAGCAGCAATATTCTCCTCCCAGTCGCTAATCAAATCTTTCTTGTCATAATCAGCTATTACCGAGGGACAGTCCATGCATAATGGCCTGCACATTGGTCCCAAGGGCAGGTTGAGGAGCAACACAAGGCATGATACGGGGCTACTGGCTACTGCCGGGCTACTGGCTTGCCAACCTTAGTCTCAAAGACAACCCACTGAACTCATGCAGCTCATGAAGGATGTTGAGCTTGCCTTTGACAGCAGGAGCAGCAGCAACTACAATGTATGATGTACAGCCAGTTTGAACTTTCACTGAACATGACATTATACTGAACTACAATAGGTGTGAGAGGGTCAAGGTGAATACTGTTGCCTTGGAGCTAGCACTCTCAGTGTGTTCTGCCTGCATTTGCATCAGTTTCCCACTACTGGCACTAGCATTTTGAAGCCCAAATCCACTATTCACAGCCATGAACAGCTGCTCACCTGTGCAGTAGCTTTCAGTATACGACACCAACCCCCACCGCATGCTCCCACCCGGACACACATGATGCACACACGCATAAATAATTCACTGAATGTTGCACTATTCACTGTACTGGGTTCGCAACAGCATACCTCGAACATGGTGTCAAAATCGAAAACATGACCTGTACTGTGTACTCTTGCCTTACTTACTTGAAGTGTGTGTCATGCAGTTTTGCACAGAAGTGGTCTTCGCCTCAAGGTCTCGCGTCATAGTCAAGCACGTGCCGGCTGTCATGCTTCTGGCTGGTTCGATTTCAAAAATCAAAAAGTCGAGATCTTGAATGATAGAAGTAAGTAATTAAATTTAGTTAGTTGAAAACGAAGTGTTGCATTGCCAATAGCAGTCGCTGGTTCTCAACTCGTACCAGGGACAAGGTTGCTTCAAGAAATCAACTCCAATCGTGCTATGGAGCTGCTGAACTCGTCCACAGCCAAATACCCCGACTGGACTGGCTGGACACTTGTTCAGGTATCTTTAGCTTCATGCCACTGATCATTTTCAATGTGTGTGAGAGCACATCAAAATCCATAATAGTTCATCCAGTGAACGTGATGTCAGATTTGAAGTGGAATGCCGTATGGTACGAGTACTAATTTCTTAGAAGTACCTAGTGTGCCTTGATAGTTACCAGGGGTTAGGAGGGTGCGACCAAGGCACATGACTGTGATCTCTGATCACTCATTACAGTTTAGCGATTCACATATTGTGGAGACTGTCCACCACAGGCAATTGATATACATGTAAATCACTCTAATACTGCTGGGCTCGTAGCATACATTGCAATTTTAGCTAATGGGACTATGACTTCAACTTTAGGTTTGAAGCCATGAACATCTAAAGTTCAACCAGGCAAAACTGTCTATCACCTTTTCGAAATAAATAAAGTGTGATTCCTATTATATACAGTCAACTTCGCTTATAACGACAATCGGCGGGGCATCAGAAAAGTGTCGTTATTCACAAAGTGTCGTTATAACCGAAGTCTCATATATGTATTACAATTGGACGGGACTTTGCTCTGGGCATGGAAATTCTCTCGTTATTCGCGAATTGTCGTTATATCCGCAGTCGTTATTAGCGAAGTTGACTGTACTCCCCTTCTTAATGCTGAAAATGTGTGTGTGTGCGAGTGCGTGCGTGCGTGTGTGTGTGTGTGTGTGTGTGTGTGTGTGTGTGTGTGTGTGTGTGCATATACATGTATGTGTGCGTGTGTGCACGCACGTGTGTGTGTGTGTGTGTGTGCATGTGTGTGTGTGTATGTGTGTGTGTGCATGTGTGTGTGTGCACGTGTGTGTTGTAGCCTTGCATATCGGTGGGTCATGTGGGGCAGCTTGCCGTCGATGTGTTGATCACGTCGCTACGAGCACAGCGCATCACGTCTCTCTACCATCCAGCCCTGTATCCTGTAGCTGGTGTGGGCGCTTATGATCATGTAGTCGAACAGGAGAACGCCTCACTCAACACCTCACTAGAAGGTAGTTCAATGACAAACAAACTTTAACTTGGATGTGTGAAATGTGTACTGTAGTTGGTGTTTCACTGCCTGACTAGTGTTTGCATGGCTTACTGACTTGTCAGTTTGAGCAATCTGGCAGGGTATTTTGTGGGCCTGGTTTAAGTTCTGGTGGTGAGAAATAGATTTTTCATTGCTGCTAGGTTCGTCTTAAGTTCTCTGTGCTGCACTGAGGAGTCCACAAAGGACGCACTTTGTTTGTTTGAAGATCGAGTACAGTATTGTAGTTATGTTGGAGTGTTGATTCAGTGTAGGCAATCTCACTGTTACACATCAGGCTAGTTGTAGCTGGGGATACGGGTGCTTTTCTATCACTGCATGTACTTCTTTCTATTCAGTGTATGCGTGTAATGAGAAGAAGGTCGTTCTGATGCAGCAACGGTCGCCATGCATTCCCGTGAGTAGCTGATAGCGGCAACAGCTGCCAGTGTTGTTTGTGATGTAGAGTTGTTAGGATCTCTGTGTGTGTGTGTGTGTGTGTGTGTTTACTCATCGTCGTCAATACCTATCAGTTTTCACTGTCAAATGATGTGAAACTCAGCAATTCAACCAAAACAGCGAATGAACAAGCTCTGCCGTTGCTTAGTTGAAAGGATTGGGATATTTATTTTTCTCTCCAGGGTAGGCAGGCTGAATTCTGCAACAACCTCAAGGAGTGGATCGAAGCACGGAACTTCCAGCAAGTTGTGATTCTCTCCAGTTTGGATAGTCAGGCTCGCGTCGACATGCAGCTTCAAGGGTGAGCCAGCGCTCTCTCTCTCTCTCTCTCTCTCTCTCTCTCTCTCTCTCTCTCTCTCTCTCTCTCTCTCTCTCTCCCTCTATCTCCCTCTATCTGTCTGTCCGTCTGTCTATCCAACTCCTGATCTACTTTACCAGTACTGCCACCCAGATTAAGACGTTTTGATCCTTCTAAAAGTGATACTATCTCAGAAGTTCACATACAGTTAAACCTGGTTTAAGCGACCACCCCACGGTGCAAGCAAAAGCGGTCGTTAAAGCCAGGTGGTCTTTAGAGCCAGGTCCCATACATTTGTGGCATACTGGATCGTGTACATACATGTACATGATTGTACTTCCATGTACTCATATTGACAGGTGTGGAGCATAGAATACTTTCATGCAGGCAAAGCACACCTCACCCAAGTGCATGCAGCGCATCCTGCACTGTCACGTGTCACTTCTGTTGACTGCATGCACTTGCTTCAGAGCGCACTTCAACCCTGTTGCGGTCAACCCTGCCAGCCAAGATGGCACTTTTGGCTAGTTTTGGTCGCTGCGTGCAGTTCCAAGGTGGCGATTGGTACACTAAAAGTCGGTCGCTGGTCGCGCAAGGCAGGTGGTCGCTGTATTCGGTGCAGTTTCTGTGTAGAACTGTCCATGCATGGAAAATGGTCATTAAAAGCAGGTGGTCGCTAAAATCAGAGGTCGCTTACACCAGGTTTCACTGTACAGCTTCATCCTTAGTCATTTTAGAACTATTTTTTCTTTTACCTATAGTTGAATTACCTTTCATCTAGGGCTGAAACGATTATACCAATTACTCGGTAAGCGATCAATAATTCCTTATCAATCAAGTAATCGTTACGTTAAAGATTACTCGTTAGGGATTTTGAGATCAAAAAGTACTGAAAACCCTCGTTTTTGTGAAGTTTGAATTTGTTTCCACTGTGAGTATGCAGTTGCCAGGGACATGGTGCATATTTTGAGGTTAAATTGACTTCTAAACTGCCATGTTTTTGAGCTACCCTGTCACTAATGCAAAATTTTGGTCTTATGAAGGCCTATCTTTTGGAAACAGAGTTATTTTTGCACAAAATTCTGACACTATTTGCTAACGGTTATGATCGATAAATCGATCGTTAAGCTAAAGAGTAATCGATAGGTGAAAATCCACGATCGTTTCAGCCCTACTTTCATCCTCTATTTCGTTTTGCATGGAGCCTGTTTAACCAGATTTGATTTCTATCTGTTCTGTCTTCAACAATCCACTCAGTGATCAGTTCCGGTACGTACACAATTCAACGGCAGAGGATCGCCAGGCGTCATTGGATGATACGCCGACGCCGGCTTCTCTGAAGTGGCCGGCTCTGGAGGCTGTCGTCGTCTCGTCCGACACACCAGCCGGCAGCGGTAACATGCTGGGCAGCGGCTTGGCAAAGCGGCTTCTAACATCATTGTACGTTCCTAGCACATTCAAGAGTATTTACCTAGGAGTGCTGGAAGTCTTTGAACCGGTAGCACACCACACTCACACTCTCCGGCTCACTTACGCAAGGAAATTCTTTGGCGGCCACTGAAATAGGGAATTGGTTTGGAGCAGTCTTATTCTGTGTACCGATTGTTGCATGAAGATATCGAACGGCTATGCATGAGGGTTATTGCAGTGATCAATATTGTATGCAGTCACCTCGCACCCGGCACTAACATGCTTCTTGTTGTAGTGCTGTGTGTAACAGTCTGTGTAGTGTAAGCCGTTGACAAGGTATGCTTCACCCCCTATGCATGTACCTACTGCATGTTTCCAGAACTAGTAGGTGTTATGCAAGCCCCATGCTCGGTGCACTTTCGCCCCTGGTTTGTGTTTGTCATAAATCACTTCTTCATGCCAGTATCCTGATTGCACTGCGTTTTCTGTGTTCCCTGTCTAACCATTGTTGTTGTTGCACACGAGCAGGACCGAATCGGGTATAGCTACCACTGTGCTACTACCGTTCTGCCAACCCGGCATGCAATGCAGGGAAGCGTTGATGGCTACGTATCGACTCAACCAGTGGCTGCATATCATTCCGGTTAGTTGTGATGTGTATGTGCGACGGTTGTGTACTATCCTTTGTGAGTTCGGTGTTTCATTCGTTCATTGAACCTATGCCATTGTTGCAGTAGATAATTGTGAGTTTGTAGGGTGATGCGAAATGAATTGCTTGTATTGACGTTCGATTCTGTGTGTGTTGTGTGTGTTTGTGTTTGTGTGTGTGTGTGTGTGTGTGTGTGTGTGTGTGTGTGTGTGTGTGTGTGTGCGCGTGTGTGTGCGTGTGTGCGTGCATGCATGCATGTGTATGTTTTGATCTCGTTTGCTGGACTTCTGTTCTCAGGATGAGAATGGTAAGTAGCACTGTCTTGTAACTTTCAAGTTTGCCCAGTCAATGCACATCAATGCACACACAGATGTGCACATGTACACGCGTACACACAAATACACGTACACCACATCATCATGCACCAAGCAAGTACGATATGTTCACAAAGCCACTCTTTCTTCTGTTTCACTCATGTTCACATTGGGGAAAAGAAGATAGAACTCCTGATGGCATGTATTAACTAAAGATTGCTGTCCATATCTGTACTGTTGCTGTCCAACTAAAGAATGTTATAATAGTTGTGTGGTGTACCATTGCGCCTACTGTAAAAATGGATATTACTTGCGACAAGAAATTCTTGCTCTATTGAAGTTTAGACCAGTTTGCGCCACTGTATGGTGGAGTCTGAATGCAGCTTTTGTTGCTTTGCAGGGTCGGTGGAGCCAGTCCAGCCCGACTTGGTCAGGCCATGACCAAAACAATTTGGCCGCCAACATACTAGTACTTCAGAGTATGTGTTTACTACTGAGGAGGTCATGTGTACCCACCGTACCGTACACAAACTGTATGAAAAGGCGATAGGGTATGGCCAGACCAATCGAAAATTCCTTCCACCGGTCCTGCTATGGGCTTTGAATACACATTGTTACGGTCCTTGGAGGTACCTTATAACTGAAGTTTCTCTGTACTTCGAAAAACGTTAAAAGTTTGCGCAGTTTACCTGTGAGATTTGGCACCCCTCGTATAAGCCACAAACAGTACACAGTGTTTCTCTGCTTTAAAATATGTTTCACAATGGAGACATCTTTTTGTTCTTCCTCACTGTTTCGCAGGTGGCATACGCTGGCCGAAATCCTGGGATGCTATCCTTCCTGGTTTGAGCGAAGTCATTCCAACGGTGTAATGCGTGCTCTAGTCTTTACGGACTGCACCGATGTCTGTTTTCCCAGTGATGATGTTCTGTAGACGAATACAATGAGTTCCACACAGCCAGCTCTCTCTCTCTCTCATCGGTTCACTGTTATAGTTACTTGCTGCTGTACATGGCTATCTGTTGCTGATTGTGAGTTCTATTTTCTCAGTTTTTCTCACAATTTTAATTAGAGTATCATTGTGTTGCGTATTACTTGTGGGTTTTAAAACACTTCCTTTCGTTTTACAAGCAGATTTCCCCATGATTTGAAACGTGTAGTGTGTCTTGGCTGTAGTTCAATATTATGATTTTGATGTGTACATACTAGTACTTGGAGCTTGTAATAGTGAAATTGTCCATTCTTTTATTGTTACTATGGATTTGTAACATCTGCGCACAGCTGTTGTTCACCCAGCAGCATTCGCAAGACATTGTGCATGCATGTACATGTACGTAGCAATTGCCAAACTACAGTAGCATAATACATTTTTGTGCAATGTTTGAGCAGGTGTGGTTTGATTGTCAGCTTGTTGTATTACTGTATACACCTGCCTTGGATGAACCTGCAATTCAGTGTCCGCATCGCAGCAGGCAGTTGTGGATGATGAGTGCAAATCAGGGAGTAGACTGTAGTATAGCATTTTTCTTCTCACTGGTGCAGATGCTTAGGCAAGTGACTGGCCATTACTGCTAGCTGTGCACCTAGCCTGTGCCTGTCATCCAGCTGATGTGTGTTTTCCACAGCGCATTCTGCATGATGTGTTTTCCACAGCGCATTCTGCATGATGTGTTTTCCACAGCGCATTCTGCATGATGACTTGAGTGTGCAGCAGCTGCTGTTCGGGTGCTCTCACGCCTGTTTTCATGATGTACTAATAAGCAGCTCTCAGTCTTTGCATGCGTATCACCAAGTTGTCTCTTTCCCTCAAACCAGTTAGTATCACCAAGAGTGCATACATAGTACATAGTAGGTCTACCGGTACATACCATGTACCGGTAATCCCCATTTTTTTAAATTGCTAATAAGATTTGTATTAAAGGATTGAGACCTTATGGTAGGGGAGGGAAAACTGTATGAAAGACTAATCTCCTGGTAAGACTCATTATCACACATATTCCTACAGTAGTATTGATCGAGGGGGAGTCGATCGAGTTGTCCCGAAGGGAGTCCGAGATTGACGATACTGGACCACCGAAGCGTGGTCCACCAGTACCCCCTTGGTCTATACTACTACCATCGGTGAAAAGGTATTATAATAGAATTAGAACTGAAAAAAACGGCAGTGCACTGCAATAAAGTACAGCTGATCTAACCCACTGTCGAATTTCTACCTGTAAAGCGGCTTGAACATACTTCGAAGTAATACTACAGGTGGAGTCCTGATAATTCGAATATGGCTTAATTTGAACATACCGCTTAATTAGAAGTTTTTCCAGGACCGATTTCTGTCAATACGATTCCCACATAAAATGTTCTGATAATTCGAACCTCGGACCGGACATGTCAGGTTAATTCGAAATTCCACGGATTCCACGTACATGTACATAGAAAATGTGTGGGATTTGTGCTGATAATTCGAAGTTAGCAAAGTGTAATTCGAAGTTCACTGTACACTGTACTGGTGAGTTCAGTTTGCATGAGCAGGCTGTGCCGGTCAGTTCCGTATCTGTGAAATCTGTGTCTAAAAGGTCCATAGCGCAACTCCGCGTGACCATGGGAGCATTTTGACTTACATAATTATTGTGTTGTGGGTTCATGTGTGGATAATTAGACTGTCCGGATAATTAGAAGTTTTTTACTGGCATTTGGAGATTCGAATTATCAGGATTCCACCTGTACTACGTAGTAACGTAAATAAAAAAAATACGGTGTTGAACCGATGCATGCACAGCTGTAGGCAATACGCGCCAGTGCAGGTATGCCTGTGGATGAACATTTGCACAGTCCAGCACAGCAAGTCTGATCTTTCGAGTGGTCATACGTATTTACTGTACATGAGAGCCATGTACTGTACGGTATACACCCCGGGTTTTGTCCAGCAATGCATGGACAACCACTCAAAGTGGTGACTACTTTCAACTCTGTGAGGATGGCACTATTCACGGTGAGATTAGGGGAGAGAGAAAAAAAAGTGCACACTACAAAGTATAGCTCCCACACCTCATATCCATGCACCTGTATGAACGCATGGCACTATTCAGAATGAGGTAAAGATATAGATAGGGAGAGAGATAGGGAGAGAGATAGGGAGAGAGAGAGAGAGAGAGAGAGAGAGAGAGAGAGAGAGAGAGAGAGAGAGAGAGAGAGAGAGAGAGAGAGAGAGAGAGAGAGAGAGAGAGAGAGAGAGAGAAAGAGAGACAGACAGAGAGAGAGAGAGACAGAGAGAGAGAGAGAGAGAGAGAGAGAGAGAGAGAGAGAGAGAGAGAACAAGTACACACTCGCGCCCACACCTCATATCCATGCACCTGTATGAGCGCATGGCACTATTCAGAATGAGGTAAAGATATAGATAGGGAGAGAGAGAGAGAGAGAGAGAGAGAGAGAGAGAGAGAGAGAGAGAGAGAGAGAAAGAGAGAGAGAGACAGAGAGAGAGAGAGAGAGACAGAGAGAGAGAGAGAGAGAACAAGTACACACTCGCGCCCACACCCAGATCCATGCATATGCACGAGCGCATAAATACATGCACAAGCAATGGACACATGGCATGGTGGTTTCCTAATGTTCGTTCAGAGATGGACAGAACACTAATGTGACAAGAAAGATAAAGAGAGATAAAGAAAGATAGATAGAGAGATGAGAGAGAGAGATCGAGAGAGAGAGAGAGAGAGAGAGAGAGAGAGAGAGAGAGAGAGAGAGAGAGAGAGAGAGAGACAAATAGAAAACTCAGGATATGAAGAGATTATTAATTTTTGTAAATAACATCAGAGAAAGTGGTAAAGCAAAAGCAGAACTTGCCGGCCGGCAATACATAGGCATCTAAGATAAAAGCCGGAGCAATAAAAATGAGCGCTGAGGTAAAAAGGTATCCAGCTGATAATGTGTGGAAGCAGAGTGGTTGGACGGATGCAGCAGCAAAAAAGGAGGACGTGGAAAGCCCAAAGTTAAGAAGTAGAAGTTTCTCAGGTCGAACACATACATAGGAAAAGAAGATAGGAGAAATTCCAGTTGTTTTCACAGCTCTGTGGAGAATGTGAACGGACGTAAGCATTCATCTTGGTGAACCACTCAACCTTACATCGACACCAGCTACTTGCCCTTGTAAGGTCTGAGACAGTACATGTCGGCATGTTGCGTGCACGAGCAGTTGGGCACGGGGCGCACACCTGCTACTATATCTGGCGAGTGCGAGAGAGTCACAGTCGCCTTGCTTGCCGCAGCACTGGTGTGATGGCACGTGCACATGCAGTAGCCGGAGCATGATAGGCGCTGGAGAATAAGCCGGAGAGTAGTAGGTCAGTGCATCACAAGTGCTACTAGTAGACCTACTCCAACGTCTCATAAACACACAGATACGCTTGTTCACGCAAGCGGTAAACCCTCCTGGAAAGCAGCGGGCAATGCAGATACAACTATAAGAAGGACTTGACAAGCTAACTTGGCACTTCCATCAATGGCTCATCGCTGGACAGGACAAGATCAGAGGACAACAAGGAGAGCGCATCAGCTGTCCTCTCTGGCAGTGCCGGGTGAGCATAAGGGTTCTCTTCCGGCACTGCTTTACGTGACTCGCAGGGGCTAAGCATGGCATATGCATCTTCATGAGTTGTCGGAGCCGACGACGAGGTTGGCTCGGATGCGTTGGTGAGTGACTGTTTTTTGATTGGCTGAGCGTACGTGCTCATAGTACTACTGTCACCATGATCAATACTAAGCTTCTTGGGACGCGCGTATGGTACATCTTTGCTCAACTGATCCACGGGTAAGGTCTGCAGACGCTTGATCCGCTTGTGCGCGTCTGTTTTCCCACCAGTCAACTCTTTCACATCAGCATCATCACCGAGTGACTTGTCACGAGATCTCATGACAGCATTTAAATCAACTTGTGCATAGTCGCCGCCTACGGAGCAGGACTTTTGCAGACGATTCAGCTCCATGATTGCGTTGCCCATGTCCTCCTCGTTGTCCGAATTCACACGCAGAACCGCTGCATAATGACCCTCTGCAGGCTCAGTTTCTTGAACGTCGATCCCGTCCACTCCTGCTGCAACGGGACTTCCATTCCGTACGATTGTCACGCTCGCATAGTCAGCCGAAACCAGAGGTAGGCTGGCAATGCGATCCCGCCGGGATGCCCTGCTGCTGGTGGAGTCCCTCACAGAGCAAGGACTTTGTACTGAGGCATCATCATTCATGTCAACTTCTGGAGAGGTTGTTCTGGTGAGTACGGGTGAAACACATGCATAAGTCGACTGGTTGTTAGCACTGGCTCCGCCGCCACTAGGTGCACCGGGTGGTGCGCCAGGAGCAGTAAGAGATGTGCCAGATGCAGTAGCTACTCCCGATGACAAGGACGTTGGCTTACATGTTGGTATTGGTGACAGCGGTGACTGTGGAGCGCAGGGAAGGCTAGAAGAGGGCTTTCGTGTTGCACGCAACGAATTGCGCCGACTCTTGATCGACCCGCGACTTCTGAGTGAATGGTTGTCGCCCTCTACAATATAATCGGATGCTACATCACTAGTTAGAACGGATGACACACTTGCATAATCACCTTTGTCATCGCCTAGATTCAGTGTGCCGCTGCTCTGAACACTATTTCTCTTGTCTTTCTTCTTTGAGCTTCTCAAAGAACTCTTGTTGAATGAGCCACGTCGTGACCCAATCCTGACTGCAGTACCGTCCACATCATCTTCATTTTCAATGTTCTCCACTTGAATGTCCAGTTTGATGCCTGATAGTTGGGCATACGGACTGCTAGGGTCTTCCGTTACCAACAGACCACCATCAGCTCCTCCAATTATGTTGTTTTTAACAGTGACGGGCGATGTTGCAGCACTGCTCTCCCCGTCGTCAATGGGCAAATCTTCTCCCTCTTCTACCTTGGCAGTGTCCAGAGTCGGGTCATCGCCTGCAAGAGCATGAGATGACCGGGTGCTAACTGATGTACCACCATGGCTAATTGGCATGGAGTTACTCTCCGCCGCATGCACCTCGAGTGCTACCCGTTGACGTTTGCCCAGTCGCTTGAAGTTCAAACATAGCAATAGGGACACAATGAGCACTCCTAGAAAGCCGCCCAAAGCATAAGCAGTGTGATGTCCGTTGAGCAGCCAGTCTGCCAAAACGCAGTCAACCACACACACACACAAACACACACACACACAAACACACACACACACACACACACACACACACACACACACACACACACACACACACACACACACAAATGCACAGTTTTCAGGACAATATGAAACTCTTCAGCGACTGCAAGATGGAATATCATCTGTTGCAAGAGAAGTATTTCGCCAGTTTCTGTTGGGGATGATATTCAATTTTTCTATTTTTTCTCCAAACAGCATTTAGAATGTAATTCCTTAGCTACATTCTCAGCTAGAAGCTTGACTATGACTGAGTATGAGCAGCCCCAAGACTAACTTCTGTGGCGAAGTTAGGTTCAGCTATTCCCCAACCTAGTCCTCGTTTGTGTGATCAACACCTCAGCGATATTCAGGCAAGCCTGTAAGCTTTCCCGACCAAAGACTTCAAGTAAATTATAATTTTTTTTGAAGTGACAGAGCAAGTCGGTGGTCACTTGTTTGCTAACGGAGAGAGCTGCCCGAGTATCTGTGTGGTTTTCATCATTATCAACTTCAGAGCGTAGTGCAGGGTTTAGCCAGCATCATCATTCTATCTAAGTCTCCAGGAATGTTTGAAGCAAAAAGTGGAGCACAGTGTAACGAATTTGACATATGCGGATATCGCGAGTCATTCGAAAGGAAAGCGGGATGGTATCCCAACGCAACAGAAATACAGCTGGGTCATTGGATGGTTTCAGGAAAAAGTCTCCCACAACCCATGTTTTCCACAAAGCAGTAGAACTCACCATCCTGACTCGGCATGTCGTTCAGCACGGCTCCTGAATGGACTACTAGTAATTATTTACTTGACCAACACAGCGAGGATCGCTGGGAAAGAAGTTCATTGTCCTCAACAGCGGACTGCAGCAACTCTGAGCTGACGAAAACCTCTTCCGTGTCTAAGATTGTTTGACTGGGGCGAAGAAACGTCTTTCAACCAGTTACTGGGTCCCGTCACCTTTCAGTTCCACTTATTACAGCCTACAGGTGTCTCTGGTTTTCGAGACAACGACGTTTACTTCGACTTTCGTCCTCGAATACCAGAATACGATTGATGATAGACATGATACAGCTTTGCATGCAGAGTCTGGCGAATCTGTGTGGTTGATCTTATCGCGTCACTGGTCACGTACAAGAGGTCCTGACCTGGATCCACCGTATCCCGTAGACTCTAGCTATGGCAATCAAATGACAGAATGACATAACGGGCGCTCACTGGATCCCCATGGACTGTCGTGCATGCAGTGCGGTGGTATCTGAACTGTTGATATCATGACCGGTTGTAGGAATCAGGGAGTAGTACAATACCGGTATTGTACTACTCCCTGGTAGGAATCAGGGAGGTAGCCATGATACGCCATCAGTTACTGAGTCAGCTGTTATTACTACGGCCAACCCTGCGCGCACATGCCTCCAAGGCCGGACTGCCAACTAGCTCCCAAGAACATGCTTGGGACCTATTGGAGCAGCACCACGATGCACAGCGCACCGCGGCCGAGGAAGAAGCCGATGCTGCTAGACTGCTTGTCACCAGCGGAAATGACTCCCTCCACAACGACACAGGGCGACCCCATTGCGATGCCGTTATATGCGATCGGCGTAGTCCCTCTCATCCGGGAGATCGTAACACCCGGCGCCTGCCAGCTATGGTATGCGGACGATTCGTCCGCAGGTGGCCGACTCGTTCCTCTCCGAACCTGGTGGGACAAACTGCACGACAGAGGGCCTGATTTCGGATACTTCCTCAACCCAGCAACGTCTGTGCTCGTGGTGAAGCCTGACGACTACGATGAAGCTGTCCAGCTGTTCGAAGGCACAGGCATCCACATCACCGCCACAGGCAACCGCTACCTGGGTTCAGCCATAGGCACACCTGCGTTTGTCGAAGACTACGTACACGGGAAAGCCCGGGACTGGTGTGGGCAGGTCGAATCACTGACATCAACCGCCCTGCCTCAGCCACAAGCAGCCTATTCTGCTTTCACCCGAGGCCTCTCCAGCCGCTGGTCTTTCCTCTGCCGGGTACTCGAAAGTGCGTCTGCTGGCCTTGCTTCACTGGAGCGGGTCATTGCCACGAAGCTCCTCCCAGCTCTCACAGGCCAGGAAATCAGCTCTGAGCTCAGCACCCTTTTCTCCTTCCCCTGCCGGAATGGTGGTCTAGGAATATTGGATCCCACCTCTCTGTCGGCCCAGTACCAATCCTCGCGTGCCATCACTGCTCCTATGGTTACCAACATCCTCACCCAGAGTTTCAACCTGGGAGACTCTTTGGCAGAGGTCGCCAGCCTGAAGGCCTCTAATCGCAAGGATGTGAAGGCAGCTGCCACGGAATCCCTTCGGCAATTCACCGCCCGAGCCTCCTCTGCCCTCCAGCACTCCATCAACCTTGGCAGGGAGGCGGGTGCGTCCAGCTGGCTCACGTGTCGCCCCCTCAGTCGGCATGGGTTCAGCTTGTCAAAGTGTGAATTTCGCGATGGTCTGGCATTGCGGTATGGCTGGCACCCGGCACGGCTCCCTTCTACTTGTGTCTGTGGTGCCACCTTCTCTGTTGAGCATGCTCTCTCTTGCCCCACCGGTGGTTTCCCGACGCTTCGCCACAATGAGGTACGGGACATCATTGCTGGCCAACTGAAGAAGGTGGCACACAGCATAGAAGTAGAGCCTCATCTCCAACCCCTCACCGGCGAGCTTTTCCGATACCGGACGGCGTCCACCGAGGATCAGGCCCGTCTGCATGTGGCGGCGAGTGGCGTGTGGGGAGGACGGTTGGAACGCGTTTATCTTGATGTACGGGTGTTTAACCCATTCGCTCCTTCGAACCGCTCCTCTTCTCTCGCTGCTCGCTACCAGAGCCATGAGCGTGAGAAGCGTCGCAGGTATGGTCAGAGGGTGCAAGAAGTTGAGCGAGCCTCCTTCGTACCTGTCGTATTCTCGGCCACAGGTGGAGCCGGTCGAGCTGCTTCCGCTCTTCTCAAGCGAATTGCTGCTCTGTCTGCAGAGAAAACCGGAGAGCCATACGCAATGGTGATGGCATTGCTGCGTTGTCGTCTTGGTTTTGGTCTCCTGCGTGCCAGTGTTGCCTGCCTTCGCGGTGCCCGGCGGATGCGCCGCGTCAATGATCAGTCTGCTGCCCTCGCAAACGCGGAGGCTGCATTGATTTAACTTTCTTCGCAACTCCTGCAGTTTAAGTACTGAGTATCATTGTTATCTAGTGTGTGTGTGTGTGTGTGTGTGTGTGTGTGTGTGTGTGTGTGTGTGTGTGTGTGTATGCGTGAGTCAACAGCTTTGATAGAGTTATTGTGTTTACCCCTCTTGTTTTCTCATCATTGTGTTGCTTTTAATTTTAATTTTGCCCGTAAAAGAGGCTGTTGAGTACAGTAAAAAAAAAGGAATCAGGGAGTACTCCCTGATTTCCGGACTGATCTACAAATAAAGGCATTAGCCATTACGCATGTACGAGGCCGAGGGGCCTCGCAATACACCCTTCTTTTTTAAACGAGTTACGTAGACGCAGCGTTTTGTTGTCCAAGGATATCCGGATCCACAAGTAGGGAGTCGACTCCCTGGATCCCCAAGGAGGGCCTGGTACTGTGATGTATGAAAATAAATGTGCACCTTTAATATTAAAAACAGGAAATCGTAAAATACTCTGTGGTAAACCGATAAAATTAATGAGACTCCCTGGGCTTGATTGCCAAAACAAGAGGATCAAAAGTGGCATTCTGTTGTGCCCAGCACAGCGGGAATAACAGCCAAAGATCGGTTGGACCTCGGGTTAGCGGCACGATGACCACGCCGAGAGCGGCTAGCATTTTGTGAGCAGAGAAGAGAGAAAGAGACCCATGATCTGATCCAGGCCAGTACGGTGAAATAGGGCTCCTTGCTTTTGTCCGAAAGCATAGAGGCAACTCTGTTGTAAAGGGCAGAAGCTGCCGCTTTCCCGCACCCTCCAGGTGCACTCAGCACTACCGAGTATCGGCAGAGATGATGTGCCGTGCTCGATTCCCCGGATTCGCTCCTCATACACGCGTTTATCAGCTTCGTGTTTTCGGTGTATTGCCGAAAGTGACTGCTGGTGAAACGCGCATGCGGACTAGACGCGGATGACGAGGGCTGGTCGTCTTCTCAAAACGCCCACCCATGACCCCATATACCAGATGCTGCCACGCCCAGGCGGGCACTGCCAGCTGAGATTGATGTGCGGAGTCTAACCGGTGAGGGGTTGCAGGGAAGGTTCCGTGCTCACATTCCTGGCCACGTCTCTGAGGTGGTATGCAGTGAGATCACGAAGGTCCGAATTGTGATGCATGGAGGGGTAGCCACCAGTGGGACAGGACAACGTGTGTTCTGCTGTGAAGGAAGCGCCGCTTGCGCAGGTTGAGGGCAGTCCAGATGGGAACCAGCCATACATAGTGCAAGAGAAGCGCTTCGCGGAAAGCTTGTTTGTGGAGGATGAAACCGTAGCGGCGGAGAGGACAGCATATGACTTTATATACATAAGCTGCAGAGACTCCCTTCTCTGAAGCCATTTCCAACACCCAAAGCATGGTGATGGATACGCTCTTCGAGCGCTTTCTTGATAATTATGTTTAGAGTCACGATGTAGGGCTGACAGGGAGGCCGGGTGACGAGACCTAATCCCGGGGCCACCGTCTCTGCAGGGTACAGCGAAGATGGACCTTTCAAGACCGCCTGGAGGGGGTCGGTTGGTAATGGCAGGAATGAGCTTGGTGCGGAAGATGCCGTCCTCCGAGGGAGCAAGGTAGTGTGCGGTGCCAGGCACGGTTCGGGCGTGAAGGCCCTGTTCGAATGCGGCAAACGCTGCTTGGAGCTGGGTGCAAGCACACTGGGCTAAGATTGTAATCTCTGCCCACCACTCCTGGACTTTCAATCGAACAAAGTCCGCACAGTATGGGTCACTGTGGGTTGCCCAGAACTGCGTCCAGACGACGGCGACCGTCAACACGGATGTCCACAAAGGTGTTACCAAGAGTCCATGGACTATTGGTGTTACCAAGGAACTCGGCTGCTAGGTCAACATGATCTGGTTTTGTAAGAAGAATGAACAGAACTTCTTGGCGTTGAAAGTAGCCAAAAGCTGGTCCCTCTTCCTCTAGGATAGACCACCACATATGCAGTGTCCGCAGTTTGCCACCCACTGTTGAGTCGTCTGCGAACCAGGCTAAGCCGGTTGAAGGACGCCACTGAACTTGGCTCTTTGTATGAGGGGTACCGTCCCAAGGGCATACATACTAGCCATGGAGAGTGGGTCGCCATGGGTGGTGCAGGACGGAACTGTTTCGCCAAAAGAGCTTGGATGGTGAGCAGCAGAAGTTGAGGAGAGTAGTGACTACTACTACTAGGTAGTTGAGCTTCGATGCCACACTGTTGGCCGGCACAGAGTTGGACAGAGCCGACTGTTTGTTCTATGGCCGTACCGACCGCCTTCAGGATGGCCTTCCCTGGAACACGGCGTACCCCCAATGCCAATAGGGTGCACACAAAAGGAGGCGAAATCGCCTGTTTGTGGTGCGACGTTAAAGGGGAAGTATACCCTAAAATCAAATTTTCACCAGTTGTAGTCTTCGGGGTGCTGAGTCGAATGGTCTTGGTCCGAGGAAGCTGAGACGCTCCCTTCCTACTTGAATCCCAATCGAACTCGCGCACTTCCACCGAAACTGGGTGACTGCGCCCTACTAGATGGGGATTTGTATGCAAAATGTCACTAAAAGCGCCATTTCGTTCTTATAAAAGCACGGATGACCGCGATTGACCCATATGTTGTAGTCTTTTGGACGCTGAGTCGACTGGTTTTGGTCCGAAAAGGCTGCGATGCAGCGTTCCTCCTTTATTCCCAATCGAACATGGCTGAACAAGCGGTCACGTGCTCCTGGGTGCCCAAATCACCTGGTCACCGCGCCAGCAGGCGACAACTTTCACACCAAGGTTCAACTCGAGTTCAACTCGAGTGACAGGACTGCACCCAAAAAAGGTCAAACAGGCTAGTAAGTTGTACCCTGCAGGCACGGTGACCAGGTGACTGGTGTACGCAGGAGCACGTGACCGCTTGTTCAACCATGTTCGATTGGGAATAAAGGAGGAACGCTGCATCGCAGCCTTTTCGGACCAAAACCAGTCGACTCAGCATCCAAAAGACTACAACACATGGGCCAATCGCGGTCATCCGTGCTTTTATAAGAACGAAATGGCGCTTTTAGTGACATTTTGCATACAAATCCCCATCTAGTAGGGCGCAGTCACCCAGTTTCGGTGGAAGTGCGCGAGTTCGATTGGGATTCAAGTAGGAAGGGAGCGTCTCAGCTTCCTCGGACCAAGACCATTCGACTCAGCACCCCGAAGACTACAACTGGTGAAAATTTGATTTTAGGGTATACTTCCCCTTTAAATAAACTTCCACCACAACAACTACAACAACAACAACAACAACACACCTGGTTGCTAGTCTAGGGGAATGAGGCGCCTGGCATTGTACGAGTAAGCTTCCAGTGAAGCTGGATCGATGGGATACGCTGCTAATCGACGTGCATTCAGAGCTAGGACATTGCACAGGTCATCGGAATCCGCGAGTCGAAGGACGTGCATAATATATTATTACTTTGTCGCCAGCTGAAAACCTGCAAGATAACGCACCAATCACAGGTACGCCATCCCCACCTCTCCATCCAATCATGTTCTCCGCCATCATCAAGGATTTTGTGAAGCAGGCTGTATTCAACACCAGTGGAGCAGCACGGTGACCTTCTGCTCCGGTATGGATGCAGTGGGCTGGCGGAAAATATGCACCTCCTTCGACTCGGCTCCGACTCCCTGCTATTAATTTTCTCGCTGGCGTTTGTACCATGATAGATTGTGACTATCTTGTAAAAAAAGAAAGAAAGGCAGACCATCGCCATAATTACTTCATAGACCTGGCTATTGCTGATGAACATACAATTGTAGAAGTAGCGACTTCGACAGGAATTCTTAGTAGATGAAGTAACTATCGGTTGATCGAACGTGGAGCGCACGCTTCCTGCCGAACCTGGCACTCCACTAACTCACGATTTCCACTAGTGTAGTGAGAGTGGCCCTTTCTTGCAGGTTTGCTGAATAGAAGGTTCGACATGCTCCTCATTTGCTCTGGATTCCAGAGTCCTTCTCTGAGTGCATGAATTGGAGTCATGTCTTCGACACCACTCCCACTCCCAGTCTGTGTGACCGTTTCACTGATAGCCAGGGAGTCGTATATACGACACCCTGGTTATAGCGCATGGTGCCTCCTCTTGTGTGGCTATTTAGTATTATTTTGAATGAGCTTCTTTGGATAACTGACTACTACTGTGCATGTAGATCTACACCTCGCCCTAGGCTAGGCTGTAGACGTCGGCACTTCAAGAAGCACATTACAATAATTATAGTCATTGTAGAATTTTGTACACGTGCTCATGTGAAGCACACACACGTTCTCTTCCTCTACAATGACATTATGTAGATCTACACAGCTCACAGAGTAGATCTACGAGTGTAGAGTTATCATGCTACCCCACAACTATGTGACATTGTACAAGACTTCACCACTACTAGATCTACTACTACTGCCGGTATGCCACTAGACAAGAGGTCATGGACTAACCTTTGACCTGCTCGGATCGGAACTCTCGCAAGTACATGTAGATGACATTTTTACTGGCAAAATAACTGGGCTTGGCCCGAGAAACAGATGTGTCTTGGTTCTTGGGTATCACTATTTTGATGGTCTTGTTGGTCGTCTTCACTGGACTTCAATGTGCCATTCTTCTTTGGCTCGTTGGTCGGGTCATTACGCAAACTATTTTACTTGGAATAGTTTAGGATACACGGTGCTCAGGTGAGCTTGCAATGTCCGCCAACGATATTGATAATCGTGCTCTAGTCGAGGAGACTCCGCCAGAAGGAGATCTCGAAAACGATCCAAGTTTGTCACCACCACTTACACCCCAACTGAGAGGAGGACACACACCAAGTGTGACTGGCAAACTGCAGCATAATGTTGATGAATCTGTTCCAAAAAAACTCACCCTGCAAAGTTGCTCCATTAACTTGCTATCCGACCAAGAGACGTCGCTGAAAGGCGAGGGGGCCAACAGTACCGGGCCGTCCAGAGAAGCTACTGACATACACTTCGATCCAGCTATCAGTGACTCTGATCTTCCGCTCAGCCCGCTGTCCAACTGTTCAGAGCAAGGTTTTATCGCTGGGCAAGACGATGCTACCAGAATCGAGAGTCGTGAAAATGAGTACGATCAATCACCTGAATCCCTTCGTGAAATCACGCAAGGCACCAGGATCTCCAAGCCTGTCTATCCGTGTTCGACGCCATCCCCGATATTCAACGACGAGCCATTACTACAAACACAGTCGGAAGACTCGGCCTTGGATGGGAATTCCTTGTCTGTCACACACAGTCCCAGATTGGGCGTCTTACCGACGCTGTCACCGCCAACACCAGAAACGAAATCAGCTCATCCTGACAGCGTCACGGAGAACACATGCAGAGAACTTCAAATTGTGCAGTCTGGGCTTGCTGGATATGCGGGGGAGACAGGTGATTTTGTTTCCACCCAGAGCGAAGAGTCTAGCGACTGTGGCGACTGCCACAATGAAGCTACGACCAACGTACTGGAGTCCTCAAATGTGACAAGTCCCGGAAATTGTGACTTTGCTGAGAACAAAGAGGGCAACAGAACTGGCACTCACGAGCCATCATCAGTAAATGAAATTCGATCAACACAAACCGTGGACGCGGGGGTAAAATTTATGTTTTGTGTTCCGGAAGAGGAACATTTGTCCCAAGAGCTTAGTGTTGATGCAGACTGCACTGCATTGCAACATGGCGCAACATCAGCAGGCAATTCATGTTCTTCTGAGTGTACAAGTAATATGCCAGGTACAAATAGCGTACATGCAGACGCTAACTCATATGACTCTCAGAAGTGGGACCCTTCAGACACAGGAGAGAAACAACAAGGCTCAACACTAACTCCTGAGTGGCCAGCCAACGGTAGTGATGAAGATGAGGAGGAGGAGGAGAATCAGGAAATAGCCAACAGATCATTATCGCCTTGCCATCCAGAAAATGCTACCAACTTTGGCCCATCAGCTGCTAGTAGTGATGCAAGCTCCGATGATACACTATCATGCTCAGTTGTGACGAGCTCACCAATATGTGCTGGCCAGAAGGTACCATCACCCAATGACGTAGCTGAGCTACAGGACCATCTGTCATGCAGTGAGCGCAGTGTTGATGATACAAGTGATGCTGTGTCGCTGAACAGTCTTAGTGGCAGTGATTGCCCGTCTACTTGTCCCACTGTCATCCTCACAGGTGCCAGTGCTATGCATGTGGACACACGCCTAGCTGAAGTACCATGGCCAGGATCACCAGTACAGCACAGCCAGTCCATATCTGCACAAGAAGAGCAAGAACACTGCCACCATGATCAGCCTGCAGTGATGTCAAGCCAGTGCTTACCTGAACAAGTCACATTGGTATCAGCACTAGCACCGATACCAGTGTCAGCAGCAGAAGTGGCAACAACACAGGGTCTTCGGAATCTCCAGGATACTGCTCCAGCCGAGTGCCGGACATACAGAGATGACATCGAAGCACCACAACCAGTACTACTGGGTGTGGGGTTATCTTCTCCAATTACTACGTTTCAGCCCAGCTCAGATGCAGAAATGGACGATATGACAAGTAGCAGAGCTGGTATAGACCCAGGGTGTACCCTTGTCAATGATCACATCAGACATTCACCAGTGGATGTCGCAGAGAGCAGCAGTCACAGCAGTAGTAGCAGTAGTAGCTGTGGCTTTGCAGCTAGAAAGAGGAGCACAACACCCATAGATCCAGATACCTATGAGTATCACACTAGCAATATGGACATGTTATTCAGTATGCGGCATAGTGACAGCACTACAGAGGTGTGCAATGCCCAGGATACCTTAGTACCGAGTACCAGTGAACAGCCCGCGATTGCAAGATGTCAACAGACCAATGCGAGGATGCTACAGGTCGCACCGGGAGTACAAGGAGAAGCACATGACCAAGACATCCATTCCAATCTTGGTAAGGCTATGCTTAGTTACATGTTACATGTTTCAAGCACTCTCATACACAGTGTAGTTCGAGTTGTTTTGCTGTAATGATTTCCAATAATACATGCAGTGATGGTTGCATGAACTCTTGCCATAAGCACCAATGTTGTCCTTCAATAGTACCCAGATCAATATTATGCAATTCCGTTGTTAGGCTCTAGAACATTCTATGCAGCAAGTGAACCATGGGCATAAACTGAAGTACAGTCGTCCCTCTTTAACCCTCTAGTATAAACCAGCATAATTTTCAGCAGCAAGAATGTCCCATTCATGCCCGCTGCCACAATAATCAGATTTGTTAATTCCAGCACCCTCCCTAATCCAGCAGAATTTCCTTGGAAGAAGGCTGTTAGCATAGTTCAGAATGGGGAAAACGTTTTAGATTGCCCAATACAGCGTGTGGTGATGGTGTCACTTACTTACGTAGAGTGCTGATGTCTGGTATTGTTCGTCTACATGTGTGAATGCAGAGGTTGTGAATTCCGGAATGGCATTAGCTGATGCAGAAGCAGCCAGCTCTGGTGAATCTTCGGCACCAGTTCATGATTCTAGCTTTTATGCAAGTACACCGGATTATCAACGGAGTAGCGATCAGAGTATCAGTGCTCATGCAGGTGATGTTGTGATCCCTGGACAGATGCATGGGAGCAATTGTGACACTATACCAGCAAAGCCGAGCCATGAGCAACATATGTGCAGACCAGCGATGGTGCAGTCACCTGGAGACATATCCGTGCTAGAAGTAGAGCTGGAGGGAGTGGATGAGACCGAGGACATTGCCATCACATTACCATGTGCTACCGGTACCTTCATCGATGATGGCCTGTGTGATGATGACTCGCTCACACCTTCTGGCACAGACTCAGGCATCATTTTGTCAGTTCCCAATCACCCAACACAGCTGTTGAGCAATAGCAGCCCTCCAGCTGTTCAATACATACAGGCAAGCAAAGGTGCAGGTGAGTGTATTGATATGATACCATCCTATTGTTTGGGGCAACTTTTATCTATAATAATGTGAGCAATTTTCCAAATGGTTGATTAATATGGTGGTAAACACACCTGGAAATACGGCGGTAAATACACACCTGTCCACGCACGCTCTCTAGGCTGGAAATTTATTCTGGCACAGAGCTCTCCTTCTCACCACCACAACCATCAGTTCGCGCCTGGAGCCTAGTCGGTGCATGGCAATCTTCCAAATGATGATGATGATAATAATTCTCTTTGGCTTACAAAGTAATAGGAAATGTGTCATGTCTAAACAAAACTGTAGCACAATAGCCGCTATTGCAGGAAATGCAGTGAAGTTGTGCACTAAAGCTGTTCACATATCTGTACAAGCTGATGTGATATCTAGGGTTCTATCGAAGTCAGGCTGGCATTCAAATCAAATAGTTTCTGTATACGGGTGAGCCTCCAGGTGGCCTCAGACAAAGAATGTGCAATGTGCCGGGTACCTAATATCTCAAAAATCACCCGTAACAGAACACATTCTGACAGTGCCTCTCTTATTCTGTTTCTATTTTGTGCGTTGGTGCACAGAACGCAAGCCACGCTGGTTTCTCGTGAACAAGCCAACAGCACATCCACGTCGTAGAACTGGCCTGTCCAAGCGAGCAAAGTGCCAGCCACTGCACAAGAAAACTACATAGGCAGCAGTCAAAGATTATTCACCACTGCTGCATTGTAAACCAGTTCTATTCAAGGTGTCTATTCTCTATGTAAGCCAATGTAGATATTTCTTCATCATAACGTAATTTAGCCCAGCAGTTCCAACAGCGGGGTTTGTGAGCAATTTAAAAAGCAATTAGTTACTTCCACATACTAGTAGACAGTGAGCTGATCCACGCCATTTTGATGCAGTCCATATTGCTTGAGCCTCGATAGCTCAACACTAATTTCCTTCAGACTCATGGCTTCTAGTTTTGTGGACAACTTTATATTCGATATGGACATTTCTCGATTTTCCGCTTCTCCATGATCGATGATTGGAACTATTTTCGGGTCCTTCACATTAAAGCTAGATGCACGGCATAACATGTGATCGTATGACGTTTGAATTTACGATGTACATTTTAGGTCACAGTACACCTGGGCCACCCACCGCTGTCGTGTCTTTCGAGATCTTGCCTTCAAACATCACTGAGTATGGTACAAGTGTACCAAAGAATGGCTATACGAGTACATTACCGAGGCCAGATAAGACAAGGTTAGCTTTTTGGCTTTCATGCCGTGCTTCACTGTACATTCGACTCCACTTATAACAACCTCGCATGTAGCGAATTTCGTGATATAGCGAACCCTTGTCCCTGTCCTTGTTCGAACCCATAAAAAATTGACGCCGGCTTGTAACGAACCATAATTATTATCTTGAAGGGCCGCATGTAAACCAAGTGCACTCATGCAGGCATGGGCCACATGCCAGTCATGACTTCCTGCCTGTATAGTGTGAGTGCATTTCTGTTATAACGAACATCGGTCATAAAGAACTAACTCTCGTGCACACTGGTGTTTGCTATAATCAGGAGTGAACTGTACAGTCATGTACATGTACTGAGTACCTGTGTAAGCTGGGTACGGGTGTGTTTCTCAACACACTTGTATAGCTGGTGGCAACGGGAACGTGTGAACTAGCCGCTCTGCGCTCCTATCACTATCCCCACTTTACTGCAGTATTGCTGTGAAATGGGACATTCCTCGCAGTCACAGCAAGACTGAGCCACGGTCCCGTATTATATTGGCTGTAGTCCACGAGGTATGGATACCCGAATACCGAACGACAATGACCCATGACGGGGTAAGGACAACACCCACTGTCCTCACGTACAACAACATCCCAAACTGACTATTTTTTTTACTTACCAGCTGACGTTGGACACAGTCACAGATGGTCGCCGTACTACCTGCTACATGGAAGACGAAACCGGTGTGGTGCAACGGATACAGTCATGACGTGGGAGTAAAACTGCGAAGTGCCCGATAGCACACTACCAATGCGGGCAATGGTTGCTTGTCTTCGATATCCAACCTAGCCTGGTTCTATTATTTCCTCTTCGTGCTGACTGACTGAGTCTACTGACTACTACAATCATAATCATTGACATTGTAGTGACTAGGGGTTATGAGTCTTATGACTAACAATGTAACTATGTACTCTTGGTACTGCCTGCAGTGCTGTGCTTTTGAAATCCCAGCGATTGTCGACTTCAGCCTCAAGTAACTAGTTGTACAAAGTCATAGTTGCAAGTACATCATGTAGTCTACATGGCGATGATTGTATGTCTACAACTCAGTACCAGTCGAGCCCGCAAACTGGCCAAGCCGCCAAGTTGCCAAGCGCGTGTGAATGTTGCCTTGTTGGTGCCCGGAGCTACGGTTGGCTTAGGTCCAGGTACGGCCAGCGGGTATGACGGCGTGCTTGGCTTGCAAGGAGGACATACATGTACATGTACTGGTAAAAATAGTATTAGGAAGAGTACACAACCCCCTGAGGTTATGTACTCTTGCTTATTATGCATAGGATCTACAAGGAAATAAAAGTAACACACTACATGAGAGTAGAGAAATGACTAATGTCGTAATGGAGTATTAGTTGGTTGCTCAAAACAGTGAAGCTCGCGCTTTTCCTGTCGAATTTAAATTACTTGACTTTGTACTTCTAACTTGTATGGGGATCACCGAAGTCGCTACCACGTCTATTCAGTCGTATTATTTTCGGGACTAGTTTTTAGCCATTTAGGGTCACGATCTACGCGACTGTTGCCAGGACGATATTCCCATCGAAAATGAAATAGGAGTATACAATGTCATGTAGCTCTACACCATGGTGTGTTGTTCTTTATGTATCCGTGGTTCACTTATCGATTATCCCACTTGTCGGTTGCTCGGCGAACTTGATCCGAATTTGGAAGTGTTGATCGCGGGGACATTGTCAGTGGTATGCAGCACTGAGCAATATTTATGACACTGAGCGTCTCGTCTGCATGGAGGTAAGCAAGTACTTAGTAGGGTGTTCCACTGAAGCAGCCCCTGCTCCAGGAGTGCTGAATGCCTGTACATTGGTCCCGCTTTGTAATGCCACTGGGCTACTTGCACGTAAAAGCCGTTCTGCTGGAATAGGGAGGGTGCTGGATAAAAAATCCGATCTACTGCTGCGATGCGCATGAAGAGGACATGCTGGCTAGCCTACACTACAGTGCAGGTAGCGAAGCACGGGTTTCACACATCCATACCTCTTTCTGTGGCCGTGGAACACTGCCCAAGCTAGGGCGCAGGCGTAGGGGATACAGCCAGGGACAATACTGTACACCAGGTACACAGGTCAAGAGCATGTACATTCGCCCGTTTCCGGACCAGATGTAAATCCAGCCTGGGTTTGGAACTCCGTAGTGCTGCCGAAGGACCTGCCAATACCATACATGGTCACATCACGTAGTTTCCTCTTCTTGACTTTAGGAAAGTAAGACATTATAAAGAAACACGTCAAGTACATGTACATGTAGAGTACGAGTGTCCTAACAATAAACGTAGATCTACTGTGTACATCGTGTGTACACGTTTCTGCTTCAAGAATATTGGTGCACTGCACATAGATCTAATGTATCCCCACAGAATGATATCTTTAGTCATAGACGGGCCTGTGATGCTGAGTTCTAACAGTTAGATGTGCATGTCCGACATCTAAAGCTTCAATTGTGCCCATGACCTGTCGACTCATGTCATGCGCTGTGGAAAGATACAGGACTAAGCGGAAAGAAAGAAACACAATCGAAGACATGTGCACGCATGTGTTAATGCTATTGTGCCAGAGGGAGTATGATAATTTCGTGACTTGGACGTAATATGAACGTATAGGCGTATGGACAGCAATTGGAATTAAATTGCTTTCACCAAATTGTTACGAGAGCAGGTAGTCCGCCAACTCTGCTCCAACGTGAAAAGCAGTACTACGTCAAAATATGTCACGTGATTATTATGAATAAGATGTAAAGAGAATGTAAGGAGACAATGATTGTGTACAAGTAGATTAGAGTCCCTCCTGGTCGCCATCTTTAAATATGTACTACTTGTGCCTTGAATCCAGCAGCTGGTATTCAGCCTGGCAAGGACGATCTCGCCGAGAAGAGGGCTCTCTGTGTGGATCCCCCCACACTCTATATCTGGATTCCGCCCTCCCCTTCTAGCTTCTCCAAGTCTCGTTGGGAGCTGCTGGTGCTATTCGCTTTCTTGCTGTCTCCGTCGTTGGTCGATCTCTCCTGCATATCATCGTTAGCCAGTGCCGACTCATTCGGGAACGCCATGCCGAGATGTCCGCCATCGACGCTACGGTCTGGCTCCTTGTCCGCCATCATCAGCTCATCCTTATCGGCCACTGGGTTTCGGATGGCAAACTTGGCCTGCTCTGCCCAGGAACCGCTGCGAAGATTGCCCTCCGGTGGTGCGTAGTGACCAGTCTTGTTGAGGTTACGCCTGTACAACAGAACAATGCATGGGTAACAACAGCCCAACAGTCAGCTAACAAATGAAAGCGTTTGTATTTAGTTACCCTGCAATCGGCTGCTCAGTAACCTACTCAGTAACCTCAGCTGAATTGTGCTCAGTAACCTCAGCTGAATTGTGCTCAGTAACCTCAGCTGAATTGTGCTCAGTAACCTCAGCTGAATTGTGCTCAGTAACCTCAGCTGAATTGTGCTCAGTAACCTCAGCTGAATTGTGCTCAGTAACCATGGTAACCTCAGCTGAATTGTGCTCAGTAACCTCAGCTGAATTGTGCTCAGTAACCTCAGCTGAATTGTGCTCAGTAACCTCAGCTGAATTGTGCTCAGTAACCTCAGCTGAATTGTGCTCAGTAACCTCAGCTGAATTGTGCTCAGTAACCTCAGCTGAATTGTGCTCAGTAACCTCAGCTGAATTGTGCTCAGTAACCTCAGCTGAATTGTGCTCAGTAACCTCAGCTGAATTGTGCTCAGTAACCATGGTAACCTCAGCTGAATTGGCCAGATACTAGTACATGAAGAAGCAGGGTGTCCCTGGCAACTGGTTCATGCGGTACAAACTCAGGCCATGCCAACCAGATCTGATCGTGCCCGAACAAGGAATGCAATCCTGCCGAGTTTGTAGCCGAGTACCACACCACAAAAGATGTTCAGTTGAATGTGAACATGGTATGGTATGGTATCATGGTAATATTGTATTATTTTAACTTGAGTAATTCAAGAATATGTGCAAGCACATTGATCACGTGATCATTCTGAATCTTACCGTCTAATGATGATGATGACAACCAGGATCAGCAAGACACCAAGCACCAGGCAAGCAACTAGAATGGCAATCTCCGCATCTGACAGGCCGCTATCCGATGAAGCAGCTGCTGTGCCTGTTACAGAGGAGCAGGGGCACAAGCAACAAGGCAAGGAAAAGTCATACTCATCAGAGAGACTTAGAGACTTGTTTTTTGTTGGCTTAATTTACTATGGACTTGGAGGTCTTTTTAAGAACTTCATTGCAGCCTTGTCATCTTTTACTTCACCCCAATCATCAGCCTGATCAGCAGGGTCATTCGGCAAAATCTGTTGTCCTCCCTGAAAAGCACATTGTGCATTGAGGGATGGGGGGGGGGGAGGGGTTGTGGGTCAAAATAGCAAGTCAACTGACATTGTACATGTACATGCATGCGATTTGCGTCGTCCAGCATAGCATGCTGCATTCCTTTCGGGGTGGGGAGTCCTAGTACGAAATGAACGATGTTCTCTTCAGGGATGACACACTTTTCAGGTTACACATAGGCATGATGCAGTGCAGCACTAATATACAGCGGCACCTTTCCTCAAGGATAGCTGAGAAATACAAACACCTTCAATTTGCGGACGCCATTCGGCAGTCCGACCTAACGTACATGTTCACATGCACAGCCTATATGTGAGGACACCCGAACCTCCACAATGAGGATACCTTCGAAAATGAGGATAGTTTCGACTACATGCAGACCTATGGCCAGTATGGGTGTCCGCATTTCTCAGGTTCAACTGTAGGTCCATGTTGACTGCTTATATGCAGTGCCGCTTAATGAAGTCTGATTGTGTGAGCAAAGTCAGCGCCCTGCACCAGTGCACAGCCTAACGGTCGCAAGTCTAGAGCTGCAGAGAGCCTGGCGCATACTAGGACTTCCTTCATGCGATCGGATTTCATTGGGCTCAACTGAACATGTATGTGCAGGTAGGTGCTGTATATCAGCAACGGGGGGGGGGGGGGGGGGGGGCTTAGGCAACTACTAGGAGGTTGTGTCTGAACAAGTCCTAAACCCTAGTCAGTCTATAAGAACGACCCGCGAGACAACCTACCTGGCAATCCACCAGTTCCAGTCGGGTCCGGCACAACAGTAGAGTTTGTTGGCTGGCCTGCAGTTGTAGGCTCCACTGTTTCTCCAACTGTTGCTTGTCCTGATGTTGTCTCTGCAGAGGGTGCCATCGTTGTTGTACCAGTTGCTGGCTCAGTAGCAGGTCCAGTAGTAGGTGCAATTGTAGGTCCAGTAGTAGGTTCAGTAGCAGGTCCAGTAGTTGGTCCCGCGGTAGGTCCCATAGTAAGTCCAGTAGTCGGTCCAGTAGTCGGTCCCGTGGTAGGTCCCATAGTGAGTCCAGTAGTAGGTCCAGCTGTAGGTCCAGTAGTCGGTTCAGTAGTAGGTCCAGTAGTCGGTCCAGTAGTAGGTCCAGTAGTCGGTCCAGTAGTAGGTCCAGTAGTCGGTCCAGTAGTAGGTCCAGTAGTAGGTCCAGTAGTAGGTCCAGTAGTAGGTCCAGTTGTCGGCCCGGTAGTCGGTCCGGTAGTAGGTCCAGTAGTCGGTCCGGTAGTAGGTCCAGTAGTCGGTCCAGTAGTCGGTCCAGTAGTCGGTCCAGTTGTGGGTCCAGTAGTCGGTCCAGTTGTGGGTCCAGTAGTGGGTCCGGTTGTTGGGCCTGTTGTCGGCTCTGCAGTACCGAGAAGCAAACACGCATAACTCAATACTATTTAGATGTGCATGCTATCTATATTATCATACCGGTATGAAGCAGATTCCTTCCAATTCAATTTCAGCCATTAGGTAATGTCATAATTGTAATAATTATTACCAACTCACCTCACCTCAACTGGTGGATATTATATCATCATCCTCAACATCATGATTTTTTAATAAATAAAACAAACAATTGCTTACGTGTCGTAGCCACAGGCGTGGGTGTAGTGGCCGGTGCCGGCGTGGTGGCTGGCACTACAGATGATGACATCACAGGAGTCATGGTAGTCATTTCAGGCACTGCGCTGGTGGCCTGAATGACGGTGGTAACTGGCGCTACCATTGTCGTCGGTGCAACCAATGACACGGTTGGCGTCGCAGAGACTTCGCACACAACAAGACACGTACAAAACACGTGGCGATTGTGATTACCGTGAGACCATTGCTGGCAAACCAGTTACTTGCAATAGAACTAGCAATGGCTGATTTACGTCATGACATCAGGACATAATAGCATGATTATACCTATGTCTCATTACTTCAGGATGGTATTGCGCAATCCTGCTAGAAACGTAACGTTAGACGTCTCCCAATGCTCACAGAGTGCTCGATACCCAACTGGGCATTATTTTATTTTATTTTTACACAAGAGGAGCCGCCGCTGAGGAGGTGGAACAGATCTCTCGAGTTTTCGGTTGCAACCAGGCAGTAGTACAATACCTGTATTGTACTACTAGTACTCCCTGGTTGCAACTCAGAGCTTCACGCAAAGGGATCCTCACTTTCCTCAAGCAGCCTGAATCGCGGTTCCAACTTTTCTTAAGTTGTGGTAGACTATATTAAAGATAAATGTGAGAGACCTTCTGAGAGAGAGATAGATAGATAGATAGATAGATAGAGAGAGAGAGAGAGAGAGAGAGAGAGAGAGAGAGAGAGAGAGAGAGAGAGAGAGAGAGAGAGAGAGAGAGAGAAGGAGAGGAGGAGGAAGAAGAAGCAGAGAGGAAACAGAGAATGTATGTATATCGGGGGGGGGGGAGGGGGGCTCCCTATCTTTCACTTTACCGGTCTTGTATAATGTAAATGACTAAATTTATACCGGCATCTACAATAAGGTATAGCCCAAATTTGCCTAATGATTGATGATCCTTAACAGGCGGATCTCAGTGAAAACCAAACCAGAATGTTGAATCCCCTTTCTGGACATTATGAAATAACAGCTTTTGGTAGCAGACAATGAGAAGTGCCTTCGCTGTCATGACTCAGCAGACGGAAGACTGTCAGTTCTCATTTCCCCCGTGCACTTTGGGGAGGCATTGTACAAAGCTGGGAATGAGACAGGGTAGTACTCGGAAAGGAGACGCCCGACTGTCCGTTTACAATGTGCTGCACTCGTAACTATGCTTCGAATGTCTTGCAAGCCTCTCACTTTGCCCATGTGAAAACTATCACCGGCAGCATTGACAGTTTCCGCAAAGTCCGCCGGCATCCTTGATGCTCATGATAAGCGACACATAACTGAACTGTGTCGATTCGGATTGCATTGCAACTTAGTTGCTACCGTTCGTTCACACAGACTGATACTGAGCGCTCCAGCAGTCGGTTCCTGGCGGCAGCAGAAGCCTGAGGAGAGGTCAGCAAAATGATCTTCCCCTGAGTCCCTAAAGATACAGCTCCATTAGGTTTCCGTTTGTTATCCACTCTAGTGCTCTAGTGCTCTAGTGCTCTAGTGCTCTAGTGCTCGGTCAGTCAGTCAGTGCGCGCATCGGGACATCCCGAAGAAAAGCAGTGCTCCCGCCACATTCCTGGAGGGTATGTTGTCATGACCATCCATATGCTGACATCTTCGATCAGAGCCAGGTCAGGATGTACATGTATATACATGTACATTGCAATAGAGACGGCGCCTACTATTGTAGTACTTTGCAAAACTGACAGATTGACATTGTTTTCACCCTTCACCTGATCAAGCGTTTACTTAGAACTTTACTAGTCACGTGATCTTAGGCAGCAGTCATAGTATCATGATGTGCAGTACAGTACTATACTGTAGTTCTCTCCGCCCGTAGTGTTTTCTGCACTACCCAATTTATTGAACCCGATGCGACCATTACGTTCCACCCACTGGAAGGTGCCAGAAGCTGGAGTTCTAGTCTAGGAATATCTCTTTCTCGCTGTAACTTACTCTAGCTCTTAAACTGCGAAATACTCTGGATTCCCAGAGGTAGAGTCTCTGCTCCCTTAGGTGTCGCTACAAGCAAGTGTGAAATATAGCATGTACATGTACCACTAGCGGTGTTTAGTCCACGAACGGTACATATTCCGCATTCCCGAAAGTGAACAATCTGACTCGTGACTAGCTTATACTAGTTACAGTGTAGTCGGTACCACTGTCAGTATCACTTCCACACTATCATAATTATACGGTCTCACTACATGAAGGCAAGAGAACCAAGGCGATATTGCAACCCTATTACAAAATTATTAAGCTGTAATGCCGCCACTGGCTGTCAATGCTTGTCATGTGCTGGCCGAAATGTTCGGAGGCGCCGCTTTAGACAGAACCACTACTACCACTAACACTGTCACCAAGGAGCGGATACAGTGTTAATGCAATCCAAGGAGTGGATTGCCAATAGTACCCGTAGCCATCGTGCATACATTGTGAATGTTACTAATGGCGAGCAGAGAGCAGTCTGTACTGCTCGTGTAAGGCTACTCCTTGCTGTGCATTCCACTCGGACGGAGCCGTCAACAAACTTTAGTTCGAACACAGCAGTATAGACTATAGTCTGAAAGGTGTACATGGTCGCTATGCCGCGTCTAGAGCCTAGTAGAGACTCTGGACCCTTTGCCTGCATATGGATGCAAGCCGGAAGAAGCATTGTGATGATGTGCCATGTCCTCCCGTGCACCGGTATCAGCACCATGGTAGTGACAGCAGCACAGGTCTGAACGGAAATTCGGCATCTGTTGTCATGTCGCTAGCATGTATAAAAGGAGGCGCCATCGCCTGTTTGTGTCGTGACTTTAAATAAAATTCAACAACATCAGCTAATACGTAATATTATATAATACTAGTACCCGGCGATGACCACCTATTCTATCAGATCAGCGGGCAGTGATTAGCAGCATACTAAGTTAACAGCTATGGGGTATACTTCAGTTGCCAGCACTGTAGGAGCACCGCCGAGGGGTTTCTCAACTTTCTCCACATACCCAGCATAATATTATTATGTACTGGTAGCTCTCATACGATTCAGGGTGAGAAGCCGTTATCCGATCATCGTTAACTGTTACCTACGTCTGTGCATGTCGCAGTGAACACCCTGCAACCTGGCAAGGTATACTCTGAGTCACGCGATCCTTGGTTTCACTTCTGCCAGTTCTGCCTCTGAGACAACTACTTCCCAATGCCATCGTGTCACTATGAGGCCCATCCTCAATTCTCTGTGACGTGTATTGAGTCCATGAACGACAAACGGCACTGCCCACTGACTGAGTGCGTCTGGTTACAGTATTCAATAGTGGTATATGATTGCCCTTCCATAATTCGGACTATCACATACGCGTCTGTTCCTCCCACGTCGTTAGTGCACACGTACATTGTACGGGACTACCACAGTCTGACATCTCCCACACGCCCCCGTAGTGTGGAGTAGCTTACAAAGTTACGGGCATCAAGGTACACTTCGTGTGCACTGATCTACGAAACATAAGGGAGGAGGATACGTAACTTTGTTTCTCTTCAATGAACAAATGTCGGGAATGGAACTTAAATTCGTCTTTTGTCCGCGTCCACACCAGGGGTCTATGCCCGGAATTAATGCTGGATTTCTGTTGATTCCCAGTCACACCTCACCATACTATATACGTATTAGGCAAGATGTGAGATGTAGTGCTCATGTGTGCATATTGATAGCCACGTACATGTGCATTGCGCCAACACAACCAGAACGTCTTTCTTTGTTCTTACCTGATGGCGACTGCCCCGCGCATCTTCTTCCGACCAATAACACCACCAGCAGACCAATGTACGTGGCCAGCCGTGCTCCCGCCATTCTCCTCTGCTGAACAAGTCCTACGCTAACAGCACCTAGCTGGCTCTGATCAGCTGAACAAGAAATCTCTTCCTTGGCCCCACGGCTGATCGGTGACCAGCAAGAAGACGAACCGCAAGCAGACTGGATAGGTGCGACTCGTTGTCAGCAGCTCTATTTCATTTGACAAAGATCTGCTGCCTCTTCTCCGACCCAGCGGTTCAGTCAATACAAGCGACACCCAAACAGGGCCAATCTATTGAGTCGAGTAGCAGCGGACAGTGTACGCTAGGAATGGTGACCGCCTTAGAATTGCATGATCTGAACATGTGCTTTGGCCGCGTGTTGGCCACAATGATGGTAGTTCGGAGTCGCATCCCACTTGCACATGTGCAAGTGGGATGCGACTCCGAACTTCAGTTCCAACTGAAACTAATTTCCAGCCCACGTCTATCGGTCTGCTTCATGTTATTAGCATTGCTGTGCATAGTCCGGAGATGGGCATGCACTGCTGTGAGCAGTATGTTGATGGTGTATCGCCCCGCTTCAACGACTTCAGCAACCGGTGAGGGCCTCTCGAAAGCGCTCGGCGCTCAATTGCCTTTTCCATATCTAGCCATTGAGAAGAGCAAAGTGATCCACTTGTAGAGGGACTTCTCCCACTCTCGTCTCTTCGGGGCCTTATAATGCCACATTCCTCTCTTTCTTCCATCTTACTGCCTTACTGCGTGCGTGCGTGCGTAGAATATCAGCTACAATCATCATGATCGTGTAGGCCACGCACGAAGTCTTGGCGCGCGTGCGGAGCCTCCTTCCATTTCCATAGCGACAGCATAGACAGGCCATTACTACACGGTATGACTTCTACCCACGGTGCGCGGTATGACGGAACAAGACTATGCTATACACAATATAATTATAGTGAATACAGTCTAAACTCTAGTGACGTAGTGTGCTTTGAAGAAGCTGATGAACTAGGAACTACTTCAAAAAGTTCAAGTATTTTTTTCAAGTCAATAGTGTTCAGTAATGTTGGTCCTGATTCACTCCGCGCGCAGTCGCCAAACAAGAGAGCCATGGGCTATGAACGAAGGTCAAGGAAACATCAGATCTACATGTATGTACTGTGCAATAATAGGCATTCAGCTGAAGGATACACCGAACCGTGAAGGAGAGAAATGAAATCTCTCGATCGAGGATATTGAGAGATTCACAGGCATCCGATGATCGCGTGGGATCCCATGATTCCTGCACAAAGGTGGTGCAATTGTCATGATGCGACATGCCTATTGACGGAGAAATCGGTGGAGATAGGGCTCAGAAGTAAAGAGAATGATATGGCAGGGCAGAACTGTCCCGTCATTGGCTTATCATCTTTGTCAGCATGTACGTGCATGTACATTCTCCCTCCGCGGACTTCAGCGCGTACACGTGTACACGCACTGCATTGTTGCTATTAGTATCACCCCTATGATTTAGTATGACACCGCCTTTCGGCAACAAAGGCAACAGTAATGCCGTCACCCCGCCATACCACGTACCATATTATGACTGTGTTGGCACGGAAGACTAGCAGCGGATGGGGCGGCAAGTTATCAATACAATGTGACTGTACAGTGGTTGGCCGCTGGAATGTCCAAACCAACTCCGGGGGGGGGGGGGGGGGGGAGGGGGACGTGGAGAAGCAGTGGTGCTAATGGATATAAATTTTCACACTGCAGCCAATGCCGCCTTTCCTCCGTATCTCCACGGGATATTGGTATGTGGCCCACCTTGCCAGACCTATTTCCAAGGTACATGTAGGTGGCAGGTGGTCGTGGCACAAAGGGCAGCCAATGCGAGGTATTCCAAGCTACGCTCAGGCCAAGCATGATCGGATTCTGGTTCGCTGCCATCGCGAATTATGTCTAGACAGTCTAGCCTTCGGGATATTATTATTATGTTGTTGTAGAAATCTGAAATCGTTTATTCTCACGATGGCCTGTGACGAATAAGAGTTGCTGTTGTTGTTGTTGTTGTTGTTGTTGTTGTTGTTGTTGTTTTTTGAATTCTTTATTCTCACGATTGTTGTTGTTGTTGTTGTTTGAAATCTGTTATTCTCACGATGGCCTGTGGCCAATAAGAGATAAGTTGTTGTTGTTCTTGTTGTTGCTGCTGCTGTTGCTGGTTGTTGTTGTTGTTGTTCTTGTTGTCAGCCATAATAGAAGGCTTTGAGGTACATGTACATGTGTGTGATTTTATAGAATAATTATTGTATACTCGAACAACAGCACTTGTACTTGTGTCAATCTTGCTCAGTCCACACCTCTTGGTTTAACCGTTATACAAAAGAAGTCGTAGACTTGTATTGAATTTGAATTACACCCTGGTAATACAAAGTCCAAAAAGTCCAATAATTATACCCCCCGCCCCAGTGCGCGCCCCTCCCCCCCCCCCCCACACACACACGTTGAGGATATGGGGCATTTGCACGACTACATCGTCGGGTGATGTAATTACAGTAAACAAGAGTCCAAAGCTCCATGAACTAAAAAGGAGGACTTGATGAAGCTGATGCTAATAGTAATACAGAAAGTGCCAAAAAATCCTTCGAGCCGGATTCGAACCAGCGACATGAAGATGACTGCACATCCTAGCGATGTGCCCGCTACAGTCTTCCGCTCTACCAACTGAGCTATCGAAGGAGACACATGCCGCGTACGTTGTATGAGCCTAATGTTCATGATAGCAGGGGCGGGCGGTCATAATATGCTCTCGATGATAGATTTAATAGGTAAAGAAAAGGTCGCCAGTTCAAGAGCCATGCAAGGTTTGCGTGGTTTCCTAACTGTACTTTGTTTGGCAAAGTAACCACGTTAGTTCTTTGACTGCAGATTGCCTCATGCAGTCCCAATGCCCCATGGTCCTTTCACGAGGTTTCCTAAAGAGCGGACCACCGTCAATACGTTTGATATTTCTCAGGTGAAATAAAAGTGGTTCTTAGTAATTGCAAGTGCATGCATTCGACAGCGTGATGTATCATCAGTCGTTCTCCAGCCACCCTCAACCGGTACGCCAGAGCATGACTATGCATGCAGGGTCGATCCGCGTATACCGGTACAGCTCACCATCGCCATCGGAAGTGAAGCAGCGAGCCGGTACGGTGTGCCTTCTTTGGACCTGCACACCACATAGAGTAGTCATCGTGGCTCATGACTTGCCATGTAGATCTACTAGATGTGGCCTTTACCATGTACATCTACTAGATGTAGCCTTTACCATGTACATCGGTCAGAATACAGTGTCACACTACACTGGTGTCTTCCGGCCTAACACAGGTCAATAAGTGCGCACAGAGGACACGGAAGAACTCTTCGTACATCATATTCAGTCGCCGAGACAGTCGCCGGTGGTTACAGACCTGCATGCTGAGTCAAGTATTTGCTGTGTGTCGCATTGCTTGCATGTGAAGATAAGTGTGACAAGGTTGTACTCTCCGAAGATTCCAAAGTGCAGTTTTCAACACCTCCGGTCCTTCCGTCATCAACAAATGAACATATTTGGTGTTCAGAGAAACCCCTAGGCCCTGAGCACAAACTCCTACATGTACATTGTACATCATCGTAACCAGTAAGTAACAGGTACTGCAGTAAGGCCAATAGTACCAAGTGAAGTGGTGCAGATCAAGAAGCTGGAGGTCTATGCAACTCCCTGGACCCTGGTGCCGGTGCAGGCCTACAGTGTACTTGGTGTGTTGTCCGGCGTATTGCTTAGTATTACTACCATTTATGGGCAATGCAACGTGACTGGGCACGTGTACGGATTGACTAGGTATCAACTACACAATGGTGCAACCAACTCCGAGCGTTCACGTGGACTCTTCCAATCTACAACAAGATCCGCGAGGCGCATATAATTCTTGCTCCACGGAATGGAATTCAGATTTCAGATGGACCACTTCGTGGAGTAACGGTCCCAGCGTGATAGAGTTTGGTGGTGCTGGTACCCCTGAACGTGCCTGCCCACTTTCCTTGCTCGGATCTGAGTTGGGGTACAGCACTCTGAAGACAATATTCTCCGCAGCATCTTGAGCATGTCCCAGGGTATAATTATGTACATGATTGGACTGATGTCTGCTTGTACTATCTAGGGGCTGTGTGAATCACTGTCACGGGTAGAACTGATGAACCAACAATACAATTACCTCACCCCACCTTACTATTCATGAATGATACAGACTGCTGTACGATCATAAGGGGCCAGGATTAGGGTTCGAGCTCGACTTTGTATTATCTCATTCGGTAGGCCCCACGGGAGTTACACCTCTAGTCTATACTGTGGTATGGACATCCCTGCAAGAGTGGACACCGCCAAGCCACGTGACACAATGACCTACATGTACAAGCACAAGCACAAGGACAAACACTGTGCCCATGTACAGTGCACAGTGTAGGCAAATGCGGATAATGCCGGCAGAAAAATTGGCAGAATTCGGTACTTTTTCTGGTAAGTTTCATGCATGTTTGGTATGTGGATAAAGAAATGGAGCAGAATTCGAGGAATTGCCCACCATAAGGTTTGTATGGTTCTGCCATTTTCACTGCTTTCCAAGCAGAATCTACCACCTTTTCGCGCATTATCTGCACACCCCTAGCACATGCAGTGTCACGCGGCCTGTACTATAATTATTATGTTCCTGTATCACCCTGTATGATGGCACTAGACTGTGTAGGGTTCTGGCATGCTACGAATACGGCAGCCACCCCATATTTAATACCCTGGACTCAGTGCTGGCTAGCACATGTACATGACTTTGTACATAAATTGCGTTGAAGAATCACATACAGGTGCAAACAAATGTATACGATGTACCCCCCCCCCGACACAACACACCTCTTGATAATCAGTGACAACTAACTTACTTCCACAGTCGCACATACATGTATGTGCATGGTGTGTCATACTACGATGTATGAATCCAGATACTATTCATTCATGTGGAAATAATTTTAATTCTATGGAAAACAGGTAAGTACGGTGGTATGTGTAATGACTACTGTAGCATGTAAAGAGTATGTATGGAATTCCCCATGTGCCCATGTGCCCGCTATACATGACCATTTCCCGGGCTAATTCAACAACACAGCAATATCTGTGTATCGGACACACCAACATAATTATACTGAAACTCCCCACAGTTTCTTAATAGTTAATACTAGCTTCACGTTGCCTCATCAAAATAATTATGTTATGACTCTCCTTTGTGGATTCGCACTCATTTCATCACGAGCCTCATGCAGTGGCATGCAGGCCACGCGTATGCAGTCACCACGACCACACTGGGACACTGCCACACGTAGTACCCAGATTTTAAAACTCTCCAGAGCTCATTTCCTCTTGCTATTCACTACCGATAAGTCACTAAAGTGGTGATCTACTCCAAGGACTAGTCCTTACCAGTCCAGAGTACCACCAGTACTTTAAACCTGCAATCGTTTGCGCCCGTTTTAGTTGGCGAATTGCGATGACAGACCACGTTGTATCTGCAAACGTTAGCGATCGGAGCCAATTTGATGATTGACTTGAGTCTACAGTTTCGCGTTTCGCACCCACTTACTTTCGCGACTTCACCCCCATCGCGAAAATCACGAACGTTTCAGGATCGCAAGGTGTCTGTGCTTACCGTACACTACAAGATGCATGGGCACCATGCAATGATCTATCTAACTGCTGTCGTAGCACACACACTTCCTAAGCTCTTTGGTACCACAACAATGGCATGCATGATGCAACATACAAAAGCTGCGGGGCAACATACTGTACAGGGAGAAATATTCCCGAAAATTGCGATTTGGGTCACTTCGCGGTTTAGGACTGTACTTTCGTTTGGTTGTCAAAAGGATCAGTGGCACTTCTTCTACACGAGTAATGCTACCCCTAGTATACTTCTGAAGTAGGCCCACCTTGGCACACCTTGTCACACCATGGCACACCATGGCACACCATGGCACACCTTGTCACACCATGGCAGCATCACATGGTAACACAGTATCATTTCTGCATGTGTAATACTGTGCTGAACCATTCAGAAGATTAATGTACACCATGCGTTTGTATTTTTATCTGAAGAGAATTCTAAATGAAGCGTGTTCAGTGTGTGTATGTGTGCATGTGTATTGACAAAGTAGGTATATCTGCTGTCCTTTGCACATGTTCCTTTATGTTGACTCTTGTTTAATATGATAAGGTAAAATCTGGTGATTTTCGATAAAAGAGATTAGCCCCATCCCTCACACAAACAAGTCAACAAAGAGGCATCTTTGGATTGAGGAGTGCTGGTTTCGAAACAACTGGTTTGAAGCTCAAAGTAGAGCTGGTGTTAGCTCAGAGCAGAGCTGCTCTTAGCTCAGAGCAGAGCTGCTGTTAGCTCAAAGTAGAGCTGCTGTTAGCTCAAAGTAGAGCTGCGGGTAGCTCAAAGTAGAGCTGCTGTTAGCTCAAAGTAGAGCTGCGGTTAGCTCAAAGTAGAGCTGCTGTTAGCTCAAAGTAGAGCTGCTGTTAGCTCAAAGTAGAGCTGCTGTTAGCTCAAGGTAGAGCTGCTGTTAGCTCAAAGTAGAGCTGCTGTTAGCTCAAAGTAGAGCTGCGGTTAGCTCAAAGTAGAGCTGCGGTTAGCTCAAAGTAGAGCTGCGGTTAGCTCAAAGTAGAGCTGCGGTTAGCTCAAAGTAGAGCTGCTGTTAGCTCAAAGTAGAGCTGCTGTTAGCTCAAAGTAGAGCTGCTGTTAGCTCAAAGTAGAGCTGCTGTTAGCTCAACGTAGAGCTGCAATGCTAAATGGATGTAATATAGCGCAAGGCAGAGCCGCAGCAAATAGCTAGATAACACCAGTTGTGAGAGTGGACCCGATTAGTGGGTACGATAATTATGATGGTGTGAATAAGTTGGATAGGGAGGGATGGTGGGAAAAGAAACACTGCTGAAGCACGATCCGTTGTCTGGAAGAGCACAACAGGGCAAGCAAGATTTGTTTTTCTTTTCCGCAAAATGGGCTGGTGCCATTTGTGATTACGCAGCAAAACAAAGCGCATGACGTCAGTCTTGAATGCAGTACAAAGCAATGCAGTGCAGTGTGTGCGCTAGTTCGGATTGTTGCTAACAAGTACTAGCACAGCTAGTACACCATTAGCCCCATCCCTCACACAAACAAGTCAACAAAGAGGCATCTTTGGATTGAGGAGTGCTGGTTTCGAAACAACTGGTTTGAAGCTCAAAGTAGAGCTGGTGTTAGCTCAGAGCAGAGCTGCTCTTAGCTCAGAGCAGAGCTGCTGTTAGCTCAAAGTAGAGCTGCTGTTAGCTCAAAGTAGAGCTGCGGGTAGCTCAAAGTAGAGCTGCTGTTAGCTCAAAGTAGAGCTGCGGTTAGCTCAAAGTAGAGCTGCTGTTAGCTCAAAGTAGAGCTGCTGTTAGCTCAAAGTAGAGCTGCTGTTAGCTCAAGGTAGAGCTGCTGTTAGCTCAAAGTAGAGCTGCTGTTAGCTCAAAGTAGAGCTGCGGTTAGCTCAAAGTAGAGCTGCGGTTAGCTCAAAGTAGAGCTGCTGTTAGCTCAAAGTAGAGCTGCGGTTAGCTCAAAGTAGAGCTGCTGTTAGCTCAAAGTAGAGCTGCTGTTAGCTCAAAGTAGAGCTGCTGTTAGCTCAAAGTAGAGCTGCTGTTAGCTCAACGTAGAGCTGCAATGCTAAATGGATGTAATATAGCGCAAGGCAGAGCCGCAGCAAATAGCTAGATAACACCAGTTGTGAGAGTGGACCCATGAAACCAGCACTCCGTTAGCTAAGCACTATTGACGCACAGCAAGGGTCGATTTATGTCAGCACAGGCAAGCATTGCGCAGCTAGAGTTCAGTGGCTCATTACTCACCCGAGTTGGGGATCATGGCATCCATGGCACGGCAGCAAGCCGGGACGATAGCTGGCGCTTAGCGCTTGTTGTAGTCCGGATGTAGCATAGACACGCATCGCTCTTTCCACTGACCTGCCACTCGGAAGAAGGAGTCGGGGCACTAGCCATAGCAGCGGTGGTGGCTGCACCAATGTAGACTGAATGCCCGGAGTAGTTCGACTGGGATGGTACACCGGCCGCAGCGACAAGAGACCATACTGTTACTGTGAATGACTGCCTGGTCAGCTGCTGTCTGTTCGAGAGTACGAACAAGAGTTGCTCTGGTCCCTCGCGACGAGTGACAAATGGGTAGCTAACAATGGCACGGACCGGGCAGTACGGCGGTACAGACGGGCCAATGTCACTAGTAACGCCTTTACCGAATGGGTCCGTCTTGGATGAAAGCAGGAAGAGTTGCAAGCGTCCGTCACCAGGGGAGCTAGTACAGCCCCGTGTGATGCCATTAGTGAATTCAGCACACCGAAGAAATCCAAAGAAGCAGCATGGCGGCTTGGTAGAGCAGCTTGTCATGGCCATTCAGGATACTACTTTTCCGGCGTGCATCCGTCAGGTGTCGTAGGATTGGCAGTTATAGGAAGGCGAGGGGTGAGTACAGCCGTACCATGGCATCGCTGGATGCCCTTCAACACCCTCTCCAGAAGCCACGCATCTACTAAGGGGCCGGCAAACCCATTCTCAAGGTGGGCTTTATGCGCCGCACTCGCATACACAGATACAGTTCAGGGCACGCTGATCATAGTTCACGCATGAATGTGTGTCCAGGAACGATGACTCGGGCAGCAAAAGTGAGCTTCCCCAGGAGGGACTCGAGTTGACGCTGGCCGATGCTGCGCTCGCTGATAGTAGCCATGAGTAGCGCACGGATCTCGGACAGCTTGTCCTCTGGTAGCCGCAGTCTAGGAAAATACCAAGGTCAATGATGGTGATGGCCCTCGAGCTGGGATGGAGCAAAGAGGAGTGCCGAGATACGTGAATGCCCGGAGGGGGGTGGTGAGTTGCTGGTTGGCTGCAGCCAAACCAGTGGAGATATCGAGAAAGTCATCGAGGTAATGAAGCCGGTGATCTATAGCAAACTCGTGCTGCATGATCCAGTTGACTGCTGTGGCTACTGAGTCAAAGACGGCTGGGCTGGAGCGGAGGCCGAAAGGCAGAAAGCGCTCGTAGTAGTAGGAGCCTTCCCAGCGAAGTCCTGACGGCGGACTGGGATCTGCCGAAATGCACTGCGTACATCGAGCTTGGACAAATACACAGGCTGTGGGCATGACATGATGATGTTGATCGCGTTGTCAATGCTCGCGTAGTGCAGAGAGAGCGGCTCGGCAGGAATGCTGTCGTTCGCGCCGGTGCCTTCCGGACTAGACAGATGGTGGATCATTCGCAGCTTGCCGTTCTTTTCGGGGATGGCACCAATACCAGAGCGGCGCATGAACTGAAATGGAGGTGACGGAAATGGGCCTGTGGTCTCGCTGCGGGCGCAGGAAGCAGCTAATTGCTCGGATATAAATGCCGAGTGAGTGAAAGCCAAGGGTAGATTATTAGAGAAAACCGAAATGTCGTGTTGGCCGGCAGATCCAAGAGTAAAGCCACGGCGCAGCCCATGGAGAACATACGCAACGCATTATTGATATGAGTGGTTACGTAACAGGCGGGCAAAGTGGTCAGCTAGCAGTGTGGTGTCTGCAGAGTGTATAGGGAAGAAGCTACGTACCGAGTCAAGCTATTCAGTAGCCATTCTGCTAGGAGCGGCGGGGTGGCCGATTGGCTCCGCGCTGCTGCTGGTTGCACATGATGCATGGGTGGTCCTTGCCACACTGGCTGCAGGTGTGGGAGAAGCGGCACGACGACGAAGAACAGCGACCTCCATTGAAGTTGCGGCAGATTTCTTGGCTGTCGCTGGTATGGTTGCGACCACTGGAGGTAAATGCTGCTGGCTTGGGGACGAAAAGGACACAAACCGCCCCTGGATGGGCCGTCTTACATTGAGCGCATTTTGGGTGTGCATGGCCTGTGACAGCTATCTGCCATAGGTTCACGTCGATGGTGTCCAACCTCTTCGTGCCTGGTTACTGGGCCACGAGCAGCCGCAGCTGGCGGTCGTACTCTACCCACGCGCTTGGGAAGAACTGGCGGTTAGCAGTCAGGATCAACTGCTGGTACGCAATCAGTTCAGCAGTTCAGCAGTGCGGTGTAGGGCAGCAGCCGTGATAACAGACATGTATGTGGTCCATGCCTCGAGCCGGGTAGTTACATGACTGTATAATTATCGTGAACCTTGCGACGCACCTGCTTCGCGTACGGTCATCCGACTCAACGATATTTAGCTGGCTATCGTTATTCGGGCTGTGCACCAGCCGGAATGTTGGGCCGGAAGTGTGCAAGAATTTCAGGCAACCAACTTGAAAAATCTACGAACTCCCCTCGCAAGATACGTTCTTGCACAGCCTTGGGCACAGCTGGTGCAGGTGGCTGATCGGGTGGGTTACAAGGGCTTGGCCTGGCGTAGTGACGGCAGCAGCCGCATTGCCTTGGCCTTGGGTGAGGAGCGGCACAATGCTCTCCGATAATAATAAAATGGCGGCCGACAAAGCCGACTACACCTCGTCACGTAGATCTACGGGAGCGCAGATCCCATGTTGAGCCCGCGTCACCTGAGCTGGCGGAGGAGGCATTGGTGCAAGTCGGGCTTCTGGGCTCGCGAGCCGTGTCCGCACTGTCATGTTGCTGGTTCTCCTGGCCGGAGCAGACCTCACTACCAAGGGCTAGTTGTGCCAGCAAACGGTCCTGTAAAATACTTTTACTAAGTTTCCTTTCGGATTCAAGCCGCGCTGAGAAGGCTCGCCGCGGGGGCTTGGCAAGGCATTGCCTTGACAGTGTCGACAGTTAGGTCAGACATACTGAAGAAATACAGTGTCGAGGTGACACTCGGGCTGGCAGCAAAGCTACGAAAGGAAAAGAAACACTGCTGAAGCACGATCCGTTGTCTGGAAGAGCACAACAGGGCAAGCAAGATTTGTTTTTCTTTTCCGCAAAATGGGCTGGTGCCATTTGTGATTACGCAGCAAAACAAAGCGCATGACGTCAGTCTTGAATGCAGTACAAAGCAATGCAGTGCAGTGTGTGCGCTAGTTCGGATTGTTGCTAACAAGTACTAGCACAGCTAGTACACCATTATTTATAAACGAATTGATAAGGACAAAAAAACTAGTCAAGTGTCCCCCCAAAGTATATACAGTGTACTAAATATGCAGTTTCTTGCGCCACGGAACGTAATGGGCCGAGAACCAAGTCCTGTTGGATGCACACATATATTTGATCTCGCCTGGCGATTAGTCGAGATCTCGTTTCTCAGAAAGGTGACCGCTGATCGTATGCTAACACGTGCTGTCAGCTTGGTTAGTGGGCGACTGAGACATCCATGACCGCTGTAAACGAGGTCAATCACCAGAGGAATTTAGCAGTTCTAAATAGTTGATCGCGGAAGTAGATTAGTAGACCTGGATGCCGGCGGTCCATGAAAGAGCTAGAACAGCACTTTCTCCTTACAGCTCAGCAGTGGTGTCGATAAGAGGCTTCTGCAGGAGTACTTCCTTTGGAATGCCATAGATGCTCAGTAGCCATTCTCTGAGAATTTGAACGTCGCCCAGCTCCGGGAGACGCACGGTACGTGCCTTCAGCGCGGCTTTGATCTCGTCGAACCTCTCGTGCGCCCGCTGCAGCAGTGCTTCGTAGCCAAATTCCCCCTGCCAGGCACATATACACAGAAAACGCTTAGAGCCATTCATGATGATGCGTATTGGGAACATGTGCAAAGGAGACTTACTTTTCAAGACTGGTCGGTAGATTCTTATCTGACAGCGAAAACACTACACCAAGACAAGAGTTACGCAATATTGCGAAACAATTATTATGCAATGTACCTCCATAGGTCCTGTTCGAATTCGTAAGATGAAGTCTCTCTCCTCGCCATCGACCTGTACTTTAGGACCCTCGCCACGGCACAGCCTCTCCAGCTCACCAAGCTTATGATAGATCTACATAGCACATTGAAAAGTAAACACCAGATGACATCAGCCGTTCAATACTGTCACCACCGCAAGACAACATGTTGCAACTGCAGGCAGATATCCGATTCGACTACAGTGAAGCTACAGTACCTCCAGGTACCATACACATTTGTGCTTTATAGCCGAGGGCACTCAACACCTGAGGTCTGATGACTGTACAGTAGAGCAACAGGTTCTCAAAAGAGTGCTTTATAGCGCATGGTGTCCCATGGTATTCCATGGTATCCCATGGTGTCCCATGGTATCCCATGGTATCCCATGGTGTCCCATGGTATCCCATGGTATCCCATGGTGTCCCATGGTATCCCATGGTGTCCCATGGTGTCCCATGGTATCTCATGGTATCCCATGGTGTCCCATGGTATCCCATGGTAAGTTATATATCCAGGGCAATTCACATAACTATACCAAACTGTTATGCTACTATGTGTGTACAAGCCATTCCTGCATACACGCGACATCATCATTTCATTATTCACCAGTGAGTGTGCATAATCTGCACTGAGGACGGTGCTGTCACTGCAGTTAGACTACTTACATGATACAGGACTTTGCTGGGCGTCTTCTGCGGCTTCTTGAGGAAGTCAAAGTGCTTGTCGACGTAGCCGCAGTAGTTGGTGATGACCTTCTCCGACAGCAGCTTCATGCGATGTGTTTTCAGGAACTACACGGCGGTGCATGTTGTGATGAGAAGCACAGAGAAACCAGGCGATATGCCCAGCACAACGTTACCGTAATGAAGGATCAAGGGCGCCGGGGAGTTGACACGCTCCATTCCGGTCATGTCAGTTACCGATACAGGTTTTTGTTGAGTAGCCAAAAAATGACACAGACCGTACGAAAAACGACGAGACACAGCTCTTTGCAAAGCCTTACTTCGGTCTAATTTAGGCTTGATGTTGAAATCAGTTGGACTCAACACTGCACATTGGGAAACACTAAAAAACTGTCCGAATTTTGTGAAGCTGGATGGAAAAATTATATCATGGGTCTTTGACTTTTCTTGTCCCAAAATTTGATAGGAAAAATTATATGGACATTCATGATCAAGAGATTTGGCAGGAAACATTGCGGGACAATCGAACATTTCTGCCAGAAGAAAACCAAGTATCTGCTGTTTTTTTCTGAAATGGATTGTCCGGGAAACTGACCTGGAAGTGCTTGCTCTCGTACAGGAGATCATTGGTGAACAGCATCTACACAGCAACAACAAATCATCATACAATCATGGAGTGATCTCAAGCTGTACCCATGCAGCAATCTACATCAGTCAATCTTTCAGAAATCCTGTGTAGTATATACTGTTGACCCTGGTCATGCTACATTGTACTCGTACGTCTGTTCCACTCGGCTCCCACACCCTTTGATCAACTCTTCAAAATCAATTGATCCAAAGCTTACACCACTACCCAAAAAGGTTTCTTGGCTACAATTCCTCACAAAAAATAATAAAAGTTCTATCCAAACTTTCGGGCCAGGTCCTGAGGAAAGTGATCCCAATCAATCAACCTATCCAAACGCCTAATAATCGACATACAAACTGACCTGTATCACCTCTACACCACCGTGTAGCAATGCCTCGACAAACTTCGATGCTTCATACAGGGCAATATCTCCACTGTCAAGCTTCTTGCCACGGTTGTCCAATACTGTCTGTGCATGCAATAGAAACCAGAGAAAGAAATGTATTCGTGGAAAAAAAGAGCAAGAGAAAAAAAATGCAAAAAATCCTTCGAGCCGGATTCGAACCAGCGACCTAAAGATGACTGCACATCCCAGTGATGCGCGCACTACAGTCTTCCGCTCTACCAACTGAGCTATCGAAGGAGACACACACTGCATATGTGCATACCCTACATGACAGTCACGGTCATATTGTAGCAGTAACGCTGCTGTCGGGGTTTAGCAGTGTTGTGTGGTTTGCGGGAATGTTTATGCACCCCGGATAGATGACTCTGATGCTGTGTGACTGCACTAGTTCTACTAGTACTTGAAAAGCACTTTGGTGCACAAGGTTCCGTGCACAATTGCCGCATTGCAGTGCATCCTGTGAAAAACCAGGTGGAGGACGTATTTTTCAAAGTTACCAAAAATAACTAAATTAACCTGGGGGGGGGGGGGGGGGGAGGGGGGGGGGGGGAGTAGATATGTTTGAGGGAGTTGAAACAAGGAAAGTCTGACGAAAAAGCTGACTACCACCACCACCAGTACTCCAAGCAGGGCCATCACTTTCGGTCAGCAGTGCTCCACCACTAAGCTACGGTATAGGCGCTATCCCAGCAGAGACTGTTCAACAATTTTATCAGACTTCACAAATATTTACAGCGCGGAGTCTTTTCGCTGCCAATTGTTAGCCAGATGCTGCATTTAATTTCATTGACGTTATTCAGTACAGTGGATACTGGATACGGCATCAACCACTGAACAATAGTGCACATACCTTGCGTTGAACTTGATTGTAGTCGCGCACATATTCCTGTTTGCAGAACCAGAAAATTGAAACAGAGAAATCATCAGTTTTCGTAACATAGCAGGAAGAGAATGATCTACAATACACCATGTACTACAACCACCGTGCCTAGTCTAAGAAGAACCAAAGCTAGTCATGATGATGCGACAGTCTTACACAGTCACAGTCTGTCATGTCTATAGTCTCAGCGTGTTCTACCACCACTACTAATAACATCACAAGTCACACTCAATAATCATAAGTCGCACCCCTTCTTCAACCTTGGGCTTTAGAGTGTAAAAAGGTGCAACCTATAATTATAGCCAAGGATTCATTTATAAGAAAGAAAATAGGGCCAAAGAGCTACAAGTTACGCTATAATATCCATTAAGACCACCAGTTACTTTACAATCAGCTCATGTGATAACATTGCACTGCATTAACCAACGGACTGACGTTCTACACCTAACTGGCGATCAGCTCTAGCACACCTTGGATGCGCACTCCAACAGCCTTCGAGCTTGGAAGGTTCTAAGTTATAGAAGTTACGGAAATAACACAGGGAGGGGATCCTAGAGCCACACAAGTTGTGTAGTATGTTGCTATGCGTCCTTCAATTGTGGCTTGACCGTTTTGTCTGATGGTCTTACCAGTATCGTCCTCGACATACATGTACATCTGCCAATGTCCTTCACAGCTGACACTTTCAGCTCGTGCTTGTCTTGGTTGTGCTCACCTTACCCTCCTTATGTTATTCCTATAACTTAGAACCTTCCAAGCTGGAAGGCTGTTGGAGTGCGCATCCAAGACGTGCTAGAGCTGATCGCCAGTTAGGTGTAGAACGTCAGTCCGTTGGTTAGTAGCATGCAGTGCTATCGCATGAGCTGATTGTAAAGTAACTGGTGGTCTTAGTGGATATTATAGCATAACTTGTAGCTCTTTGGTCCTATTTTCTACTTCTACCTATAACTATAGTATATTCAGAGAAAGCGGGGGTACATGTACTAACGGTATCACAGTTCACATTCACAACATCACGTGTAGACATCACTGATTGGAACAACCTATTCCTTGAACCATGATCGCAGCTCTTTAACGGTTATACGCAGCTTACCTTTCTGCTGATGGCATAGATTCCGAGAAAATCATCATCACTGCTTGCAACGTTCAACCGGTACAGTTTGCTACCGGTGATAGTCATGAGCAGCAGGTGTGATGGGTCAACTGCAGCAATATTCCCACCGTGCTGTGTGAGCAGTGACTGTGCACGTTCCACGTCTTCACTGCCCGCTTCTGTGCACAACGAAGAGCGAAGCATTACACAGGAAAAACTCTCTCCCCTCTGAGACGAACTCAGTCTCTATTTCCAGTCTCAGTGAAGAATGCCACTATCCTGTTCTCATCCCCCCCCCCCATATCTTCCCAGAAATAAGGCGGTTAAGCCCAACAGAAAAGTCAATTCGAAATCATAACTTCACCAACGAGAAATTGACCGTTTGCCAGCCTCGCGGACGACCAGCTTCAATCACCGATTTGAGACAATACTAGGCATTACTCGGTGAGCATCAGGCTAACACACTGAATAGAATACGTGACACATACACATACCTTCTATCTCCGGTAGCTGCAGCCCGTCAAGTCTCATCACTTCCAGACACGTGAGGCAAGACTCTCGTAGGTGGCTGGAAATGTGCCTCTCTAGACCTTCGACTTTCTGTGAGTCCGTCCGCAGTTGCTTGAGGTGCTCCTTTACATTCGTGATGGACAGTGGCACTTGCAACTTGGCCTGGTTTGGTAGCAGACATAGTTGGAAAGAAACTTTTAAAGAACAGGAGCGACATCTGGGGATAGAAGTGCCATGATCATCCACTACTAGTAAAGAATGAAAAGAATGTTGTATACAGCAGGGTTCTAGCCAAGGGGGGGGGGGGGGGGGCAGCAGCCCCTACTCTGTTTGCGCCCCCCCCCCCCCCCCGTGAAAAAGTGCCGCCCCATACTTATTTTCCGATTTTCGTGCTTTTCATGCAATTCAACGAAAATGCAGTCGAAAGTCATTTTAAATGGTTCATAAAGGCACATTTGTCTGGGGCGAAGTCGGGGATTCGCCCCATACGTTGCATTTAGCGTGGCAAGACAATACATGTGTAGGAAAGTGGGAAATGGGTTACGGGGGTAGCTGTTTCCCATGCCCGCCCCCCTACTATTTCGACCTGGCTAGAACCCTGATACAGGCAGGGTCGTTTAAAAAATTAGAGAAGAATGAAGATACACTGATGATATATTCACAGGGCCATAATTCGTACTCACCGTTAATTGCTCGGATGTCAGCTTCTTGTCCAGTATACACATGGAGTACATCAGTAACCTGTGAACAGCAAAATCTAGGGATTCAAATTACAAATGCCAGTGCCTTGAAGCTTGGAAACAAAATTCAACCTTGTAAACCTGGAATCCCATGCATTACAACGTAGTCCGTAGCTTTACTGGGTATACGTGCCTGAGCGTCAGTTACTACGGAATGTTATCCGGCAGAAGTGAGTGGCCATGAATGATGATCTGCCGCATTGCACTCGCTGGCCCCGGCATTTTAGTATATGTACTGCCTGTGTCAACTTGAATCTTTTTGAGGAGCAATTAGACAGGCTGCTTGAGTACTGTGTAGTTTGGGGAAAGGAGGCCTATTTCACAGCTATAGGCCCTGTGTGCTGGCAAACGGTACTGCTGAACATTTGAGCAACTCAGACCCTTCTCACTCAGACCCTTCTCACTCAGACCCTTCTCACTCAGACCCTTCTCACTCAGAGCGGGCAGTCACAGTGTAGGAATGATGCTGCACCCGGTGGCCGACTGTCTCACCTGTGTTCGGTTGCGCCAGGTGCGAGTGTGACTTCCCCGGTCTCGGCAGAGGCATCCTTCTTTCCATCCTTTGCACGTCCTGAGAGAAGAGACTCAAGCTGTCCCAGGCTACGATTGAAGAAGTCTGGTAAAAATATAAGAACATAGCACCAGTAACCGAAGTCCTATAAAATCAAGGACAACATAGAAAGCACAGAGTGTTGCCCACGATCTTGAACCCCATAAAATAACGTTATCCTGAGCAACGCACCTCCTCGCTCCAGAACATACTATCTCCGCGCTGAGCATAACTACACATTGAAGCCCAGTGCAGTAGAGCACTGCTGTTATACTTGAGGTGTGGGTGTGAGCAGACACAGCAATTATAAAATAGTACAATGCACTACGCAGTTGGCGTCCGTGCCCAAAATACTGAAAACAATAATGATCTCTCTTGCATTTACCTTTCGATGCAAAATCGTCCCACGCTACTTGACTTCTCAGTGTAGATAACACAGCATCACGGTGCGCATCTACCTTGTCAAATGCCAGCAGTGTCTCCACAAGACGCAGGTTACAGCGCATGCACTCCTCTAGGTAATGACCCAGCTCGAACACTTGCATCCACGGCTCAACGTACGTGGTCCGGAACAACGCGTTCGGCTTGAGCGTCGTGTCGAAGACGTCTGCGTCGCGTGCAGCAACAACCACAACCAACTGTGCGTCTGGCAGTGTTTGTGGTGGCTGGTCTCCATGGCAACATGCCACCGGAGATGCTAGTGACACCAGCAGTACGGCCTTGCAATACGGCTGGCAGAGTTCGTTGACCTAATCAACACAAACACAATTACACACACTCAACACACACACACACACACACACACACACCATTGGCTATGGTTCAGCATCACACACTATTAGGGTCCAGCGGATAATGCCGGCATTATATTCGGCATTATGAGAGTATCCGAGCATCAGAGCATTATGGAGCATTAGAAAGGAACAAGACGAGCATTATGTGAGGTTTGAGCGGCATAACGAGTTTCTTAGTGGATAATGTCGGAAAATATAAGGTTTTTGACAACAATCGGCTAAAGTCATGAGGTGCAACGCCATGTATTGTACCCGCACATGACTTTGTGATTGTGTAGACACGTAACATCTTTGGCACCAACGCTACATTTACCTGACTACATACATGTAATGCCATTGCTACATCAAGTCTTTATGTAGCAATGTGGTCAGGTAAATGTACAGGCGCAGGGCCTGCTCTAGACATTCAACACAGCCCGGTCAGAGTGTACCTGGCGCATGCAGGCCAGCCGGGTCAAGCCGGGTCAGATCATCCGGCAGAAAAACAAACAAAAAGCCTGCTCAAAACTTGCAACTGTGTCAAAAGCTATAGCCAAAGTTACGCTTTTGACTGCCTGCCCCATCGACTTTCAATGTCCTGACTTCCTGCTCGCCGCTGGCCAGATCGCGCTCGAACCAGTTGACCCCAGTTGACCCTAGCCGAGTTTCTGTCGCTTGTAGACTGTAGTGTACTAGCAAGAGTACATACCAAGACCCTATGCAGAGCTGGATCAGGCGTTGCACACTCTGGGGGGTTATGTACTCTTGGTACTAGTGTGTACGGTTGCGCTAGATTTGCAACAGATGGGATCCGCGAGTCGTAAAATACCGGTATTTTAGGAATCCATTGTAAGTAAGTTTGAGACATTTTTCAGCCGGGTCAGACTGGACCCGGTGCTATCTGTTCAGCCAGGTCGTGCAGTTCCCCAGCCGGGCGCGTGACCCGGCTGACCCGGCTCTCCAGCAGGCCCTGAGGCGATGTAGCATGCCCAAATTACAACTGAGGCTGTTACACAGAATCCGTAACGATGATTTACGAGGAGTTCTTTTTTTTAGAAATCATGGAGAGCCATGGAGGAGACTAGACGTACGCGAAGTGAATATCAAACAGACGAAGAGGAGATTTCCTGTTATGCCATAGGCTCTGGCCAAAGCATCTCTACTATTCTCTAGCGATACTGAAGTAAACACTGATCCATTGAAAAATTTGGACCTGGATGAAGGAGCGGCTATAAACAGAAAGAACTTGTTCCAAACAACTACCTTTGCCAAGTCCAGCTCAGCAGGCTCGAAAAGAACTAGAATTTCTCATGGACGCGATACCAAGTCGATTTGAGTGCTCAGGAGCGCGTGTCTTACTTTCCTGGTGAAGCACATACAGTTCGTCGTGGACGATTGTAATGCAAGGCCTACAAGTACAGTCAAGTGCTATCAGAAAAGAAGAGTATTATGGCCAACTATTTGTCTCCACGGAACCGCAGGAGAAGAAGACAGCGCAAGCAGAGAATGTAGAGCGGCAAAATAACTTCTGACCACGTGTTTTCAGGATTTCCGCAAATGGGAGGGATCTCGATCTGAGATTGTCCGGCTCTCAGGAACTGGCCTCACGTGAGGTGTTTCAGATGAAGACATTTTTCACAGAGTGGAAGCAGTGACAGCTTGTCTGCAGGCATGAATACAACTTCCCATGATAGGCTTCCAGCATGCAAATGATCACCAGCAATAATGGTTTCACCTCTCACTACATGGATAAGCAAGGTAAAAGATTTGATACACCCACTGTTCAGCCACAGCCCTGCATCAAAGTTGCAATGGAGAGCAGCCAATGGAGGCGCGATCATGTCTTATAGTGCTAAGAAGTGGTGGAGTTCGTGAGAGATATTGTAGCAGCTTCAGAGGCAGATTGGCTAAATGCATCCTTTCCTGGAATTAAGTTTGACAATGTGCAGCATTTCTTCCATTTTTGTTCCAAACCTTCCAAACCTTCCCAAGTTGTACATTGTACTGTTGAGATACCGAATTCAAATAAATCAATACCATACCAACCAAGAGCATTATAGCCCTTGTTGAAGCATTATAATCAGCATTACAGGGTAGTTTTTGGAGCATTATGATTAGCATTATACAAACATTTTCGGAGCATTATCCGCTGGACCCTACACACTACTGGCTATGGTTCAGTAACATTTGTATCATTCAAGGTGGAACTTTGGCATACAATCAGCATTTCAGAAGCTGTAGTCATGGAGCCTACAACGCAGGACTATACGTAGTGTTCGCCAGATGTTCCCAATTGAAGCCGTTGTGATATCCCGGAATTCCAGGGAACAATGACTTTCCATGTCATTCTCTCCAATCCGTACTATATGCTTCCATGACATCCTTTGGAGTGCCCATAGGACACAGGCTTAGGCTGCGTGTACACGACAACGAACGGCAAGTTTTCCGTTTTCAATCCTGTGTTTTTCACCGGCACCTTTACGTTTTGGTACGTTCACACGATCAGAGCTGATCTAACCTGCTCTCTGTTTGTATCGTTTTGCGTGTCTACATGTACATGGACGCGAAGGATTCAAGAAAGTTCGTCATGTGAGCAGTGTTGTTGTGTGAGCAATCTGATCACCAATCACAATGAAGTAATAGTTGACAACACTCCTCGTGACAACACTCCTTACACGACGAACATTCACGGATCCGTTGCGCTCCATGTAGGCGTGCAAAAATGATCCAACCGTGATCGTACTGAGGCCCAGCAGGCCGTTCGACAGTTCACACATACATGTACGAATTTTCCCGGCAGAAGGTTTGTGTTTTCAAACCCTTCCACCGTGGCAAGCGTTTTGGTGTACAACTTTTGCGTATTGCTCCACGTACCGTGTAAATGAACCATTTAATTCCCGTAGCTATGCAGAAGACGTTACTTCAGTAACGTCTGGCGCTAGCCAGGGTCCACACAGCTTTAATTTGGTATTTGTGTGTTTGTTTGTTTGTGTCACGCCTGGCGCTATCCCGTATCTGTCCCGTACCGTACCGTACCATCAAACACAGCTGGCCACATACAGCTGGCCGCAATATTCAAATAGGGCTTTCAAACGCAAGATCATAACGTGAAGCAACTTGGAAGAATGGGTATGAATGCGAAGTGTATGGGGGAATGCATGTAGGGCGATAGTGCGGGTTCGAATCCCAGGATATGCCTGAAAAAAATAGGAGAATTGAAAAATTTATAACATCCCTGTGCTTTTTTTGACGTCATCAAGGCGGTAGACGGTGTCGTATTACCCTCGATCGTACCTGTCCCGTACCTATCCCGTACCATCAAAGACGGCTGGCCACAATGCATATTCAAATAGGGCTTTCAAATGCAAGATCATAACGTGAAGCAACTTGGAAAAATTAGTATGTATGCGAAGTGTATCGGGGGATGCATGCAGGGGGCGCGATAGTGTGGGTTCGCATCCCAGGTTATGTCTTAAAAAAAAAAAAAAAATTTTAACATCCCTATGCTTTTTTGTCTAGGTTATCAAGGCAAAAAAGCATAGCGTAGGGCCCTGAGCTTCCAAGCTCTCTCGTATCCGAAAGAATTTTGTTGCGTTTTCATCCCCAGCGTTGCCGGGTAAACGCATCCGCTCATCCAAATGTGGAGGAGAAGAGCACGTCATTATGAACAACTTCTCTCACAAACACTCAGTGTGGTCCAGCTGCTTCGGAACAAGACCATTCAATTCAGCGTCCAGAAGACCATGGGTTCTTTAGATTTTGATTTTATCCTGAAGCTGACTGTGCCCGGCTTAGCGGCTGTATGGGAGAATTGCGAACACTACTAATTAATAGGCGTCTGCCTGTAGAACAGATCATGAAATAAGAGCTGACTCCATTAATTTTTTTAATTTAAGAACCTCACCAGTTTGTGAATTTCACTTCTCCGGTGTGTATTATCTGCCTCCTTTCCCGTTGTGGCTGCTTGCATCGACTCCAGGCACAGTCCATGGACTCGAGCCAGACATCGCCTACCGCTTTCTGTTGACTTTATGAAGTCAGGCAGCGACGCTGGGCTGACGCTAACGTCCGCCATGACCTGATCATCAAGCTACGACGTCCCTCCGGCGGCTGACTTGTCCTAGGGTTCCCCAAACACAACACAACTAAAAAGGCGCGGTCGGTCTCTCGATCAAATCCTGTTGCAGATAAACAACCAGTGAAACTTCTACAACAACAACAACAGATACCGGTATGAATTTTCGAATCCGACAAATAAAGAAGATTATCTAATAGGGTCCCTATGTCAGTGACTAGCAAGAGTAGTGCTAGTACCGGTAGTATGTTTCCGACAAAGAAACAGCTAGCATTTTTATAAAACAATTACAAGGTTTTCAGATTTGCTAGATGGGGGCCGGCCGGGCCGCGGGATGAAGTCGAACTCGATGCATCGATGTCGATGATTTGTGTGTCGTGCCGTCACGTGCGCGCGGGCGTGAGTGACGAAAATAATCATGAAATCTCTTGAGAACGCAAATCTCTCATGCACACTTTTCTCTGTTCTGATCTGGTTGCTTTTGCGTTTGTTTGCTGATTTTTTTTGTTTTCTTTTGTTTTCTTTCTGGACACGGCCAGCTGACGCATGACGCGTCGACGTGACGTGATCTGACGTACCTGGCTGGCCTCCCGCGTCTGGCACGTGCACTTGCCGTGTTCGGGTTGGTTGTCTTGTCCGGACGAGTGCGGACTTGTCGATCGCGTGACTGGCTTAATAGTACTTTTCATTGAAACAACTCGCGGAGGACGACTCACTCGTCCTATCATGAGCGGTATTCCTCCGACTTGGTGGTGATTTCGAACCTCAACTAATACTTGGCTCAAGCCAAGGAGCAAGGCTGGCAAGAAGATCCCGAGCTGCTGTTGAGGACTCATCATCTCCTGGTTGAGGACTCATCATCTCCTGGTTGTGGACTCATCTCTTGGTTGTGGACTCAGAACGGTCACTGCTGTTGATTACCACCGTGGTCGCTGAGAGGTTTAGTCAGTAGCGCCGGTTCCATGTGTGTGAGGCTACTTTGTGCTACAAGCCTAGGTAATCAGGCGGACAGGCAGCACTCACTCAGTGCCGGACTGGAACAGTAGCAATATGGCAACACGTACAGGTAGTTCAGCAGCAGAAGTATCAGGAGGTCAAAAGTACAGCGTTGAGCAAGGCGAGAAGAAGCTCGTCATCACCGAAACGTCAACAGGAGAGGTGGTGGCTGAGTTTGAATGGCCCACACCTCCACAGGATAGTAGGGAGGATAATCCTGATGGCCCTGGTGCTACATCTAGGTCATTTCCACAGTGTTTAGCGTGGAGTGACTGGCTTGATCAGACCACATTACTCGTGCTCTTCAGCAGGACATTACGTGGTTATGACGTCATTAGCAAAGAGGAAGTATTCAGCGTCCCGTTAGATAGTTACTTTGAGACGGGAGTCCTGCTGCGCGACCGTAAGTCTGTGGTGGTAGGAACTGGAGAGGCGGTGGAAGCATGGGACCTGTCCAATCTGAGGAACGGCGGTGCCAAGCGTCTTCCGCTCGAGTACGTTCATGACGAGGCGTTTCAACCAATGGAAGGTGTAGAGTTTGGGTTTGCCATGCTGCCTGGCGGTCGTCTGGTCGACCTGGAGGTGCGTGACGGCAAGCGTAGCTTTGTGATTTGGTCGGTGTGTGATCAGACTGTACTGGATGTGATTCCGTTCCCTTTCCCCGACACGTTTCAGCCAGAATATTGCAACCTGGTCAAGGCCGAGACGTTGATGATTGGAGATTATGCTGAGAGCCATTATGCGTACAATCTTCAAACCAGACAATGGCAGCCAGTCAACGACTTGGGAGAGGAACCCGAAACTGAGGACGACAATGGAGACTGGCCAGACATCTCCTATTTCTGGAAGCTAGCGGATCTCGGAGGAGGATACTTTGCGTCCCTGCCGAAAGAAGCATTCCCGGCTATCGTCCATGTGTGGGATGTCAGCATTGGCTGTCGAGTTGCTAACTTCAGGATCGGAGTAGACCCAGCTGATAAAGTCGAGCGAGAATCCGACGATATAGTTACGGTGATCGCTGGCTCCGAGAAGCAACGATGGAGTATGCTCACATCTAAACAAGTGGACTGATGTCACATGCACAGTTCGGCAAACTTAACTCGGACCATTTTAGTGTCAATTCTTTTCAAAAATGGAATTCTATGATGATGTGCAAGTGTATGTCGAAGTTCACCTCACAATGAACTGCATCATGCAGGAACTCCATGTTCTTGAAGACTCGGCTTGTTACTGTCCTGAATTCCTATTTTCAATATGCTTCAGAGTCATACAGATTGTATCACTCAACAACTACCGGTACTCATATGCAGCCGGTGGTATTAGCTTCCCCTGAACCTCAGAAACATATTGTACATGTATAACTAGTATTATAAGTCATGCACGATGTAGACCATTTCCTCATTGCACACTAGTAGCCCTGTCATTATTGTGGAATTTTCATAACCGTGACACTTGAGAATACAAAGGCACTCAACCTGCGTACATACATGTATGTACATGTCTAATCTCCAAAGTGAAGTCGTCTTTGAATTGAGGACAGCTTTGGGCTAATTTTAAGTACACATGTACATCATATCAACACGTGACTAGCACCATGAAGTCTAAAGCAAAGTAGAGTCGCTTCAAGCAGTATCATCGCTATCCTTCATTGTGAGTTTCGAAATTTGATCTGGCGAAATGAATCAGTGAAGATGAGACATGTCTTGAACTCAGGACCTCAAAATTAGCAATTATGATAGCATTGTATAACCAAGGCTAGCTGGTTGAACTCAAGAATTACACGTACGTAATTGCAAAATCGAAAACCCTCTCTCGCTCTCTCTCATGGCAGCCAGCTACAGAGATTATGGCGTGGAGCACTGCAATAATATTGTACTGCTTTGCATTGCCAAGATCTCAGCAACAGGCCCCTGACAAATAATGCACTGTGACATGATTGTGCAAACCAGATTCCTCAACTCCTGGTACACATGTATTCCTTCCACAATGTGCACTCTCCATAGACAAGATACTTGTAAGTGGTGGATGAGAAATCAAATGGGCCTGGGAGACATCTGAGGCATCACTGGCATCAGTTCTAGATAGCAACAATACTGAACTGGACAGTACAATCTTAGGTTGTAGTGCTGCCACCTTAGTTAGCACCTTGACTCCTTGGTCGACCGGTTTCCAATATGCAGCAGCGTAGCAGATCAGCATGTCTCTATGTGTTATGACATACTGCTGTCCAGAGCAGGCTACATTGTACGTGTTCAATTGGGACATTCCGCTGAAGGAAACAAGAAAGAAATCGAATCATACAGGTCAAAAGATTACGCCATTACTTGAGGTGTCCTGTACACGTACAGAGCAGGAACCCTACACATGTGTATGTATGACAACAAGCGTATGCATTGTACGTGTATACCCCAGGTTATGGTGGTGCAGTCTTGATCAGGGAGCCAGAAAAATTAATGTTATAACCCCCAGTCGCCTGGGGGGTTATAACATTTTCTGGCTCCCTGATCAAGAGTGCACGACCATAACCCGGGCACGACTCTAGGCACCATATAGCACAAGGCAGAGGACACGCTGTAAGGAGACAGTGCCCCTGACTAGTACTAGCACTACAACCAGAAACTGGTTGGTGTAGGGCCTTGGTCTGTGTGACTATGGCTGGTTAGGACAGAATCCGTGGCCCTCTTTACTAGAGGGTATGGCGTCTCCGAGGGGGGGGGGGGGCTCCTTGCTAGATCTCCTTGGCTTAATCGCAAGTAAATGTAAGTGGAGATTATTATTGGTAACAGAGCATGCAGATTAACGCTATGTCTTGTGTGTAGATAATGCTACCTGAATGTTCACGTCTGGATCATTTACTTGCAAGTACATGTACATGTAGATACTTCCAGCGCCCAGTGGCTTACCTGGTATGTCACCTCCAGGTGAGCAGTTGGCTGGTATTCCAACCTCTCCTTTCTGACCCCTCTCTCCTCTGGGGCCCTGCGGACCTTCGGGGCCCTGTGGACCCTCCATGCCAAGAGGACCGGACAGACCCACAAGTGTGCCAGTATCTCCCTTGGGCCCCTTCATTCCCGCCTGTCCGCTCAGACCGGATGGCCCCACTGGTCCAGGCGGTCCTGGCATAATGATGACACGAACTGTCCGATCATTACTAGTGGCAGCAGCTAGATGAGTTGCCTTGGGTGCAGCAGCGGGACCGGCTGCACTGTCGTCATTGCCCGACAGAGCTCCGTCTTGGCCACCACGCGCGTTTGATATTGTAGCTAGACAGGCAACGACCAGCAGCACTAGTGGAGTCCAGTATTGGACAGACATAGCTAAGGTCCCAGTTACTATAGACTTACGACAAGACGAGATCTTTGTCAAGTCACCTTTGAGAAAAGCTTCCTCCGGGAGATGCGAGAAGGACATTGAATGGCCCTCGTCGTATTTGCCTTCACTTTTCACCACGACTGTATTCCAGTGTCTTCTCTATTCAAAGTTGGTATCTTCCTAAGCTCTACCGCATGACTCTACATGAGTTGATGAAATGCAAACTGTCACAGAACACAGGCGTTGCCAATTAAAACGACATGCCAATTGCCAGACCAATTACCACGGAATTCCAAACGACTAAGTCGCGACTGAATCATGCAGTTTATTTTGCCCTCTTCACCGTGGACTTGGAATGATTTCGTAACACTAGCGGTACGATACAGCGTGTGTGCAAGACAGCGATCCTCAACGCGGCGGTTTTAGCTACACTGTAGCGGCGTTGCCAGTGGGGAGCAGATCTTAGCATGTGTGCGTGGCGGTGATGGTGGTCCGTTCACATGCACACCTCTTCGACCTTCGGGTCGTCTGAAAACAAGCCATGCAGCTAGCGTGGCAGCCATCTCTCTCTTCCGTATGCTTACTGTATATGCGTGGACCAGTGGGAGTAGACCCAAGCCGCTCAGTGATGTGCCTATGTGCTTCATACTTCATAGTTTTTCCGCTCGGTCATGTTGGCGGAAGCTGACATGAATGAGTCGAGTAAACAGGGTCGAAACCGCTGCCTGCCGGTCACCCGACAACGTGGACGACACACCGATTGACACCAGGCTAGGTATTACAACTCACGCCACGTGACTGTGTATGGTGTCGCATCTACACTAGACTAGATCACAGGCTGCACAGGCGGTGCTTACATAAACCCGGAAGACGTAAATAATATTCACCGCTTCCCGAGCTCATCGCCAGCTCTCCTTCTCCGCTCCTGGGCATCTCACTCTCAGGCTCTCTTTGCTGTTTGCATTTCTCTGAAGCTCTCAGTGGTTTATGGTCATAAACGGTCTGGAGCTTATTTATTGTCCCTGTGTAGCACTAGCAATGCCTGTGCTACCAGAGGCAGAAGTCATAACTGCATGTGCCAGCACTGGTACCAATGTGTGTGTGCACGAGCCGAACAGTGAGCTACTTAGTATGTTTTTTGCGCTGCTTGTTATAGGCACATGGCTCCCAAATCAACAACTGAGAACTATGCCTACAACTGAGTCATGTAGATCTACAAGCAAGGCGAGATGAAAACGATGCTTTGCATCACCACTCGGCATTGGCTATGCAGAAGTTGAAAAGGGCATGCTTGAAGGTGTGCTTTACTGAGGAAATCCACTATTGCCCCCACCTTTTTAGGTCGCGCGAGGATAATTGGCTAGATCCTGCGCATAACACTATACTGCAGCTTTCAACCAGACTTTATCACGATGCTGTTCTCGTGGAGTTTGACGATGGTGATGATCGCTGCCATCGCTTTTTATTTAATGGGTATGAATAATTTATTTCATAGCGTGACGGGACAACCGTAATACTAATGGGGCCATCGTAGTCCAAACTGTACGTGATTGTGAACATTCCAATATTGATGACACTCTTGTGGATAGAATGGTGGCAAAATAGCAAAATCATATCAAGGTTTGAAGTCTGAATACAACGTAGTAATAGTCAACTGTGCTCTGAGGAGATCGCATGGGTATTGAAGTGTATAGCAAACATCAGATCCTTTGCTGCAAAAGGATGCCTAGCTATAACTACTCTATGCCTATGGGGTGTGCTGGCAAAATCCAAACATCAACAAAACATAGTACAGATCAGAGGTGTGAAATACCACCTATCCTTGTCCTCAAGCATGGAAGAAGAAATCTTGGCTGGGGTGTGGAAAATCCACATTGTGCTACCTGGGACACGCGATCAGTCACTTCAAGCTCAATTCTTGTCAACTTGCGCAATTCGTACATCCTGCCTCCTGTCAATGCGCTGGCGACTTTCCATCAGAATCCACCGGGAACACCTGCATCACCCTTTTGTCCTTGTTCTCCTTTCTCGCCCTTCTCACCCATAGGACCCACTGGGCCCACTGGTCCAACAGGTCCAGTGTCGCCTATAGGACCCGTCTCGCCTCTCATGCCCATATCGCCTTTAGGTCCAGTATTCCCCTTTGCACCGGAGAGCCCCGGTAAACCTGGAGGTCCGGGGCGGCCTTGATATGTGATATGCTGCACAGCAGGCTGGCTGATTGCGGGCGGACAACCACCGTCGCTACTGGAATCGTCACTGGAGCTTCCTGAATCAGACCACGACTTGGAATCGTCGTCACTTCTGCGAACTCGCTTTCTGTGGCCTCTTGTCCTTGCCGTAGGCTCGGTCCGCGTCGCAGCCATCTTTCGAGGCGGTCGACATATACAATCCCAGGCTTCGTCCAGTTTGTCCGGGACGAATTGCACTGACTTATCATCCATTAGTAGGTAGGTCTGCTGCCGGTCGATATCGCCTGGAGTTGTAGCAGGAACACTTGATCTCGATGTAGGCGAAATATGTCTGCTGTTCACAAGTGTCTTCCGTGAAGGAGAGCCTTGCACCAAGCCCGTTGATAGCCACATCGCTAGAACATGAAGCACAATATAGAGGTAGCTCGAGGACAGCCAAGCGGAGGATGGCATGGAGAGCATCATTATGACTGAAGCGCAGAAACTCTAACACTTCAGGGTGACAGTCTTTTTCGTCTTCTGACCTGTAGCGGACTGAAACCTTCAAGTCATAATTACTCTGAGTCTTTCTCACACGACGATCGTGTTGTTAGTTCCGCGAGCAGCTCAATCTGTACAAAGTGTATGCCATAGATTACTGTCAATGTTTTTGCTGCATTCACGACACGCACTAAGCCTTGGCCTGGCGCCGACACGATGCTTTTAAGTCGAGCTATTCGCATCCATCATCATATGCTGGAGCCAAATGACGCTGGGCGCAGTATATGCTATGGTGGCAGAGCAAGCTGGAGCTGATGAAGAGCTGCAGCACAGGCAAGGGAATATACTGTATAGTGTAGTAGTTCAGCCGGTGACCGGGGGTCGCTGATAAGCCAGCAACGAAAAGCTGACTTTGCCCTATTGCAGCATCATCGTGAACTGCGGCCTGGTGAAGTAGCAGGGGTATGTATCCTCTCTGGTGGCGACTCTTACGCCGTGAACCATCGGCCATGATCTAGTTCCCTTATCCATCGCTAGCACATCCGGTTTGCGAATGCCAGTCACTTTGCGCTGTGTAAAGCTTTGCCATTCCCCCGCACCGTGTTTGGCCAGTGCCACACGGCCGACACTTGTCGTGAAAATGGCGTGTCGGGGGAAACAATGTTCAGCTCTTTTTCAATGCATGTGAGAAAGATAGCACGATTGTTTCTGGCCTACTCAGCCATCCATTTGACTGGGAAGCTTGAGTTTTGGGAGCATGATTTTGTATCGAAAGTGTAGAAGTTGTTGCTTACTCCAAGCAGACTCGGAGACATTCCAATCGAATTGTATAGCCTCATAGGACGAGCATTAACGTCATTCTTAACCTTCCTTCAACTACTCCTCCTGCATGATTAGGCTGTAAGGCTAGCTACTTGACTTTGTGACTCGTGTGTATGGCGACTTTCTGCTATACAGTCATGTACATGTTCTGTACTGTGAACTAAAGAAGTATTTTCCACCAGCATCGCTCCTAGTCCTACCCTTGCTGTTGGCGGGGACTAAGCTGAGGGCCTCAACAATACACGGACATGTGCCAGCTCACTTGTATACGTGGGTGTATCTATCTACAAGTACGTGCATTTCCACCACACGTCGAGTGGGAGGATGATTCGCCTCAAACCACCCACCGCAAAGGTGGAACAACTAACTTGACTACTGTACATGGCAATACATTAGTGTTTGCCAGCACACACAACTACACCAAGGAAACATTCACCACTTGAGCTCTCAGACACTAGACATTGGCGAATCTTACATGATCGAACACGTAAGTGTTGGATATGCTACCAGTGCTCATTTCATATTAAGTTAACTTTGTACATATACTTGGTGCGTGGTAGTAGTCATAATAATAGATTTACATGCACAGAGACAGAGATTTACAGAGACGCTCCGTTTCCTTATAAAACCATCTCTGAATGTCGCTGCCACTATTTCGTACTAATTAGTAATTACAAGTACATGTTCAGAAGAGGCGAGAGTGGATGCATGTACATGTAGATTACTTGTACCGTGGTACTGTAGTGGTAATTCGGTAAAATTAATAATTCATGATTCCCTGCATCTGTGTAAACATCATATCCAGGAATGAGTTGCGGTCTCCACTAGCACAGCATGTGACAAGCCTTTATAACCAGATAACGTGTTGTGAACCGCAAACACCAGCGCCTTCTTTTTCGTTCAGGTTGTCATCGACACGTCACCATGGACAATCCAGCTACGAGCCAGTGCTAGCATGTTCCGCAAGAGACGCCCTCACCGGAATCACTGTCTAGACTGTCTGTAGTGGTTGATTTTCTCGAAACTGCCGTATTCTCTCGGATTCCAAGAAAGGAACGACCAGATCGAAGAGCGTAGAAAGTTCTTCCACCGTCAGCATTACAGCAATGTCGAATTGACGAATATCTCGCCCTTCCGGCCCAGCAGTTTAGCAGTTAGCACAAACTAGATTTGTCTCCGACACTCACAGTCAAGCGATTTTCGTTGCTTCCATTGCAATGACGCACGTCCAGGCATGTGAGTCACTGACGGTTGGTCCGGGATCAGACACCGGGACGGCAGCCGCAGAGCAACTCAGAACAAAAACAGCCACTGCGTCAGTAGAAGAGGGGCAGAAGCATGACGAGCTTGCCAAATCCAAGCCAACGGTCTTATCTACAATGGTAGAAATCACGAGACACACGATGTGACCAACTACAGTAGTACATTGTAAGTTACTTTTTTCTTTGTAGATACCATGAGTGGTGAAGTAAAAAATAATGATGCCAATTATTTCCACAATTTTCCAGGACCTGAACAAGCAACTGTGATAACTGCTGGAAAAAATAATCAGCTTCAAAACCTAAACAAGCTCTGCACCCTCCTTATCGTGTAGCTTCCACAACTAAACCCTTGCCACGTGGTGTGAATGAATGAATTACGTGATGCTACAAATGTATTTTCAGACCTTAGAAGCCAATTGACCCAAACAAGCGATGAACTCTGAACCTAAGTTGCTTCGGACGCTAGAATGGCTACTTGTTCTTGGGGCCATGTTTCACTGCGGACTAGCTGACGAGAAGCAACCTCGATCTGTCAAAAGCACAAAGCCAGTTTATCGTCCACCACTGGATCCCAGCGAGTGGGGAGATTCGACGAGCGAATCCGACTCCTCGACTTTGGGGTGCATTCGCATCAGGGCCAGGAAAAACAGCAAGCTTGCAGCTCAGAGAAAAGTTGCCATTCTCAATGCAGCCGCAACGTGCTCGGAATTCAACAACACCCTGGCGCAAGTCGTAGCACAAACGCTGCAGACGACAGGAAATTTCCTCGTCAGCTCGCTAACTGGTGAGCAGCTCTCCGAGAGCTCAGTTTTCAGTAGGAGCACGTTCGATGTACTAGCGATTACCCAAGCCAGCTGTTTACCTGTCAACGTCAGTGGGTTCATCAGCAATTACATCCAGTTCCTGGGAAATGGTGGAGATCTTGTATTACTGGGTGGCAAGCCCCCGTTCATCCGAACTAGCAATCTGAAAGATATGGGAATCAACGTGATGAGCGAGTATGAACCCTATAGGTACACAAATACAATAGCCAAACTACCAGCAGGAAGCCTGAGGCGACTGCTAACAATGAACCTGGATCAGTCTCTGGCAGAGAAGCTGCCTGATGGCAGCTCTTCGAAATGGCAAGCAGAGCTTGAAAGTTACAGTCTATCTGGATTGTCTGCGTTGGTGTGGCCAAACCCAGGCGAAACAACCTATGCACCATTACTGTCTGTTTACGACCCGTACGGGCGACAGAAAGGAGTGGCCATCGGACAAGCAGTGCATAAGAGAGGCAGTTTCAAGGGATCAACATGGATTGTGGCGGGCGTGGTAAGTCCTATGTCGTTCTATGGTCTGAACCCGGTTCTTCGCATTCTTACTTCGGCTCTTCAGAACGAGACCGAAGTGGTCAACATCAAAGATGAGGAATGTTTGGATGAGCCCAGTCTCCTGCTGGACATCCCTAGCAACCTCAAGCATGGAGAGTCCATTGTCAAGCCATTGCCAACGCTGGCATCGGTATCCAATGGGACGGAGTTCCTGGCACTCAGTAAAGACAAGCGTGGCATTGTCTACCCAAACGGGCAGGAATTCTTCATGCTCGGCGCTGATTTCTATCGCTCCATTCTCGGTTCGTTCGATGCAGAAACACTCACTCTTGACATGCAGAAAGCGGCCGATGCGGGCCTCAATGCCTTGCGCATGTTTGGCTACGAAGATGCACTACAGAAACAGCCAGACATTCTACCGACTATTCGCACGGTGGCCAATGACTACGGTCTCTATTTGCTCATGGACATGAGCTGTAAGCCTGAAAAGGATTCGGAGCAGAAAACAGCCGCCGGAGTAGCCGCATCAGCCAAGCGCACTGCAACCCTGCTGCAGAATGAAACCTGGCTTCTGGGTTATGACCTGTGTAATGAACCATACTACTGGGACTTGGGTGAGATCATGGTCAATGCCACTACCAAGCTGAAAGACCTGTTTAACTATAATAAGCAACCGGTTAGTGAGGCTGACTACATTGACTTTCTCAATCCTGGCTACTCGTCCACGTTTCCCAACCTGCACCATGGCCTGCCCATTCCAGAGAAGTACAAACCGGTCATGGATGATGTGGCTGGCATCTACTCCACATGGCTGAACTGGCGTAAGTCTGCCATTAGGTCGGTAGAGCAACACAGCCTGCTGACCGTTGGTTACAACACACTGTATGGCCTCATGGCGTACAACCAAGAGCTGGACTTTGTCAGCCACCACGCCTATCCCAACGGGCCCGGCTACACGTTCACGCTGCAGAACTACACCCAGAGCCTAGCAGTGCCGACGACAATGGACAGGCTGGCGTATGTCTGGGACAACCTTGCCGCTAGCAGCAGCAGCAATGATATGACCAGGCCAATATCCTATGGCGAATTTGCCACATCTAATGGAGACATACTGGAGTTACCCGACGGCACGGAGGAGTACGTCGACTTCCAGACGTCAGCTCTCTACGACATGCTTGTCTGGCTGCGCATGCTGAGTCAGGGCTACAGTGGAGCACTCCGGTGGAGAGTGAATGACAAACCATACATTCTGAGCCTTCAGCAAGACACCTGGAGAGGCAATGACTCCGATCCAATGGTGAGTGAGCAATACTGGAGAGATTGTGTATACTTTAAAGTTGTAGTATTTTGTTTGCTCTGTAAAACTCAGGATATAGACTCACGGCATTGTGCAATGAAACCTTGGCAGTGCCCTTTGAATTCACAAGCCTGCAACCAGAGCCAGGCATCCATCCAACTATGCTAGCACAGCCCGGGAAGTTTCTCTGCTGAAGTACGTAGAAGAAAGATTTCCTGCAAACCGAGAAATTCGTCCACATCCTGACCGTTCGAGAGCTGGTGAAATAGTTGCTGGACTGTAAAACTGGTGCCCTGCTGCTTCCAGTTTCATTTCTAAATTTGTCTTTGACTTTGGCTCGTCATTCAAGTTGATAATGTTATGGTTTTTTTCATGTATTTGACGTCCCTTTGTGTTCAGATACACAAGTCCTACATCCGCGAGTCTCGCTTTGGACTATTCTGGTACGATGGCTCGCCGCAAGGGCGTCCCAAGCCTCTCGCCTACTGCACTGACTTTCTCAGTCAGTACGTTGGGAGTGCGTTCGCCAGTGGAATGAAGCACGTGTCGGAACTGCAGGCAAAGCTCAACGTGCGGCCCACAAGTACTGGCGTCCACGTGGCGTATACATTCACAACGCGCAATGCCCTGTTCGTTGCTGACGTCGCACCTGGGTTTGCCGGCGATGGTAGCAAGCTGCTGTTCCAGCCGGTAGGTGCAACGGCAGCGACCGTCATGGTATTCTGGTTGGCAGATCAAATTGAGAGCGGAGCAACGCAAACCCAGAGCACAGCAGCAAAGAATGCCACTGCCATGTACTTGAGGAGCTCAGCGGACACCAACGTACAGATGCAAGTCTCCCTGCTCACGCCTGCGCTACACGCCGACTCGGTGACCGTGGCTGGCGTGCACGGCGCTTACGCGTTCGACGACACCTGGTTCAACATCACGCTGCTTGCTGGCGAATCTGTGAGCCTGACAGAGAAGTAGAGCTGAGGCCAACTCCAACCTTCCAGTCACACATACGTAACGTTGCGCTCGCCACTGTAATAACGTATAACCTCACAAAGTCCAGTTTCCTTGTCCACATTGAGCTCCAAGCCTTGACATTGACCGTGCTATTGGATCTTGAAATAAAGCTGACCCAGTGAAGATTCAAGTACAAGCCGACGTAGGTCTCACTACTGAGCTGATACAGGGCAAACGACATCACTACTTTTGTGTGACGAGCACTGGGGCTCGGTTCTAGTCGTAGTAGCCAAACTAAAAAAGGTTCCAAATGGTAGTCGACGAGAGTAGTACAAGTCATATCCACAAAGAACGATTGTTACCAAAAACAGAATAGAAATAAGAATAGATGCGAGAAAGGGAAGAAGAAAGGAAGGGTCTTACACTGAAAAGGTTTTCGGGGGGTAATGCCTCCTTTCGTGTGAAAACAATGTTTCAATGCGAGTTGACTACACATGCAACAGCACAATAATATGCTAACTTTCTACAAAAATGTTTGTAAAAGACATTGAAAACTAAGCCCACTAAGACAAGAAGACTACTGTAGAATGGCTGTGGTGACTGCAATGGCAAGCAAGAGACACGTGCACCAGCCAATGATTAGAAGATCAAAAGCTAATCGTGACGACAGACACAGTCCATCCTGGAGCCTCAGCGATGCACCTGCGCACGTGACATGGCATACTGGCAACGCAGTAGAAACCATTGAACACCAGGGACACTCCTGAGTGCCATCACCAAACTCCTAGCTACAAATGCTACAAAGCGGTAACAAATCTTCCGGAAAATAGAAATATAGATACTGTTGCTCCTCGTGCTTTGCAGTTACCCAGAAAGCAAAATGCACGCGGTGCGTACCAGCAAAGCCTGCGTTTCCAGACCAGGACACGTAGTTGGTTTAGAAAGCAAAGTATTGCTTGTCAGTGAAGCCGACCTTCTCCAAGTTTGGCACACAGGCAAACTTGATCATAGGCGGTGGACCGCACATGAAGATCTGCACATCCTTGTCGAAGGCGGGCATGTGACGGCGGACCATGGACTCGTCAATGAAACCAGAACTGTAGCGCCATTCTGCAATGGAGGGGAACACACACACACACGCGCACACACACATACACACACATACACACACACACACACACACACAGGAACCACATCAGAGTGGCATGGTGACAGGTGTACACGCATAACGCATTGAATGAACATGTACCTGTAGCAGATTCTGCAAATAAGTTGCTCCGGAAAGATAAGCACTTCACCATACAAATGTACAGCTGTGCTAAGATCCAACCCAACTTGCCCATGTGCCACCAAGGCAGTGAATGAGGTGCCATATTTTCCCGAGTATACGCCGCACTGGAGTATAAGCTGTAGCCAGACTTTTTTTGTCACAAACTACATCTACCGGTATCCTAGTTATCACCGTTAATTTGACCGTCGTAGTATAAGCTGCACTGACCTTTTGGGGGTGAATTACTGGTGTTCAGAGTGCAGCTTGCTTATACTCCAGAAAATATGGTACTATCTGGGTTCAGGTCAATACATGGTTATTAGATAAACCATGTGTTGTAGTAAGGTCACTGTTTCCGAACACGGTGTCCTCCACCTAGTTACATGCTGTCAACCAACAACATGTCACTACATGTATAGGTGTGTAATGAGTGGACTATTTACCAGTATTTAACACGTGTGCAAAATACAGTGATGTAATGGAAACGGATTCTGGGCGGCAGCCTTGCACTTCGGGTTCGATTTGACCTTGCCTAACTGTGCCAGAACTAAGAGCGTTTGTCAGCGCAAATCGATTCTGCGACAATGCATGTGCAGTGATTACGCCGGGACAAACTTGTCTTACCTTTTGGTGGGGTGTCGACAGTGTACCAGAGGTGGAAGCGTTCCGGGTACTTGGCAGAAATCTCCTCCAGCTCATCACGCAGCAGAATATCATTCTCAGTCTAGAGAAAGACGCGCAAGACAACACCACAGCCAACTCAAACAACCAGCATGCGTGTCCACCATCAGAACAGTGCACGGGCATGGATGCACAGAAAACCAGAGTGCCCGTATCTACATGACCGAATGCATCTTCCATAGCTGTTACCTGGTTGGCAAAGAGCAAGAACATCTCAGTCTGGTCCTCGGGGTCCTTCAGAATCTGCCTGACCACCTGCAGCATGGGAGTGATACCTACAAAGTGGGGGAAAAACGCGAAAACACTAGATGTAAGGGAACTTGCTCATTTAGTGCACAGAGAGAGAGAGAGAGAGAGAGAGAGAGAGAGAGAGAGATGTCTGGAGTGGCATACGACTCAACATACCGGTTCCACCCGCCATCATTCCAATCTTCTTGCACACACGCGTCTCTTCCTCCTTGGTAGTCCGGATAGTCACTCGCCCTGTGTTCACATTGGCCCACACACACACAGACCACACATTGCCCACGCACACACACAGTGAGTAAAAACAGGAGACTACAAGTCCACCAGCAGCTGCTACTTGAACGATACAGCAACAGCACAAAGAAGGGATAGAGTGTACCAGCAAATCCATTGAAGCAACTAAACACCCATGATCTACAAGCATTGCATGGAGTCTCACCTTGCCCCATGTAGGTAAGCTTGCCCGATGGTCCACGCACATCAATGGTGTCGTTGATACCCAGACCATCAAGGTATTGAGACATCTTGCCACCTTCTGGGAACTTGGGGTGCACACCGGCTGCATACACCTGCCACCGCACAGGACAAACATCAACCCAGTTTGGATTGAAGCTACGTACAAGAGAATAATACATTGAAGTAGGGATGTGTGCGAGCGTGCGAATGTGTGCGTGTGGTGGTGTGCGCGTGTGGTGATGGTGGTGTGTGGTGGTGTGTGGTATGTGTGTGTGGTGATGGTGGGTACATGCATGTATGCACGGGGTGTAAATATGAAAATGAATGTTCATTGCTGTGAATACTGCTAGTAATCTGGGTGTGCAGTAAACCAAACATACCATGCACGTAATCATACAGAGGTCAGCTCCGAGCACGGGCCGGCCGTCACCGGAACGTGTCGCTCACCTTGATGACCAAGTCAAAGTAACCGATTTCATCATCAGACGTGACCGGTGTGTACGGGCGCACCACCAGCTGGCCGTTAATCATAGCACTCAGGTACATGTGCTGGCCTGAACATAGCAACAACAAACAGGGCATGCACGCGCGCGCACACACACACACACGCACACACACACACACACACACACACACACACACACACACACAAGCACCCACACAATTCAATTTCCCAATTTGCTAGCAATGGTCCATTGCGACAGGAAGTGGGAGTTGTGTGAGGAGCGGAAGCGAGATATAACAGTAATAAGTAAGTTACAGTATGGCTGCATGTATGATCGCTGTTCCAGTGCTTTGTACTTCAGTACACATACACATCCAATGTCAAAACACCTGCACAAGAGTCACCTATAATCACTAGTCTACTGATGATCACCTCCTCTGTCTAGAAAGTCTACAAGTCAAGCAGTACATGTATGCTGGGCTGCACATAGTTACAATGTAGTCCAGACTGAAGTGTACAAATCAATTGAAATCATGTACGTACTCACCGATTGGCAGACCCAACACATGATCGGGAGTCTGCAGAGCAAAGCGGAATCGCCGCGTATCACTCGTGATGACCTTCAATCAAAGATGAACGAAAAAAACCCAAAGCACCCACACAAACATCAGAGGGCATCACACGACTTCCATATGCCCCGGTGAGTCTTATCTATGATATTACAAGTATATATGAAACATTATTCAACCTTGCCTGACCTTGGATACCGGTATGTAAGAACATCTAGTGAATTGCTATAAACTCTCGGCTTTGACTATTCGTTTACAGAAATTTTTCGATGTGTTTTTTGAAATTACATTGTTTTATGCTCGCATGTTATGTGAACTATTATGTTCTGCATAAATGACATTACATGTGTACCGTACAGTACTCGATCAGTACAACGTACTTTAGACGTCATCCACTTTTGCTAGTGTACTCATTATTACCGTTCAACTCCTGTGTCCTTTCCAGGATATTTGCATTCCATTTGAGGTGCTTTTGAATAGGGGCTGTCCGTAAATATCGAACTTTTTTTACCAAACGAATTATGTTAGTCACCCAACCCCTCCCTCCCTCCCCCTCAGAACGTAAAAATGTTGACATGTCCGGGGAAGACAGAGGTGCTGGGTTCGAATCCCGCTCATGGATCTTTCTTTTGCAACATTGGCGCCTGGCAATGGCTCGAACCTACGACCCGCGAGTAGGTACAGGGTGAGGACGCAGCCTGTCGGGGCGGGGGAGCAGTGTAGCAAGAAGGACCCACGGGTGTGTGTGATCCCCGGTAGCCTAATCGGTAGCGCACTGTCCTGGGAAGACAGGGGTACTGGGTTTGAATCCAGCTAGTGGATCCTTCTTGCTACAGTAGTGTTGAGGTGTGTTAGCAACATTACATCCAACATGTTTGTCGGCTTCAACACAGGTTGAAAAACTCTTATACGAACACGGCTTCCGACCAAAAAAAAGACTCAACTCATCGAGTACTCTACTTGATGCTGTTGTTCGCCTTTACATGTACATGATTTGTACAGTGCTGGCAACTGAAATCCGACCCCTGAGCGGTGCGTTCACATTCTAGCGGTCTCTATTTCGTAGTTTTACAATCCCGTGTTGGGTCTTTGCGACGTGAGCGCACCGCTCAGGGGTCGGATTTCAGTTGCCAGCACTGTACTTGAAGCAGGCACCGTCAGAACTCAAGTGAAGGGTATTCCGAATTTCACAGAGCTTGCGCTCACAGAATTCCCCCATCGTTTGCCAGGATCATGCCCCCCCCCCTTCATTTTATTGATGTTTTGTACACTGCACGAGTTGAGGGCAGCTAACAATATTCATGCAATCAGTCCACACAAACCACTGCATGATAGAGTTGCTGCAGAGACAACCAGACTCGATTGCTAGTCGACTGCCCATGATATTAGCACCCAACTCTTCGTGTCACTATACCATACGTGTATAATTATGCAATGTACCTGCAAGTTAGTTACTGGTACATACCTCCTTCTCAATGAGCTTGAAAGGAATCTTCTCCTTTGGATTCAGAGCTATCTTAGACTTGGAGCTTTTCTTGGACGGCGTTTGACGAAGGAAGAGAAATGCAAGTACGCCGATAAGGCCAGCGGCACCTGACAGCGCGACCAGAGTCTGAACAAATCAGAAACAAAACAAAACAAATCAAACAACACTCTTCGCAGGTCTACTCAGACACAGAGACGATTCTGATGAATGTTTTACACCCCAAAAAAGCTGTGACAGTGATTAGATGAACACTTACCCACTCCATCCTGTTACGAATGAATTCACTCGACAAGCGTAAAGTAACACTTAGTTCTTCGTTTCGGTCCACCAAGGGCGTGGAAATCGTCTCCTCCGGCACTTGATGCGTTGAAACAGTTCAATCGGATCACTTCCCTCTTCAAAGTAACTAGTCTGTAGTTTCCCTTCGCATACAGTTTCAAACAAAAACTGTGAATGACAAAGCTGAAAATCTGGAAACACGCACTGCTTCGCTGCGTGCAGCTAGCTCAAGGCTCGTGACCATGGTGACGTGCACGTCGTTCCCGCGAAACTGGTATAAAAAATACTACTAGCGATGAGTGATAATTTTACTACCACCTGTTGATGTTTCCATGGAGAGCACCATGGCATCCAACATTTCTAGCTATGATATCCCGCTAACAAGTCAGTTCAATCAGCAGCCTCAGAGGCTCAGTGCAGTACAGCTGTGCACTAGTGTTCACGGTGAGAACTTCACTGGGGAAAGTGTTACCAAAATGTTACACGGAACGGTGATTACTTGAATCCAAGCTCCACAGGTTACCAAGGTGTGATACGAGCCCTACAAGTACAAGTAATTTGCAGGTCACAAGCCCAGCACCTGGTCTGGTGGGGACGTATCGTTACCAGACTCCAGAGCCTGGGTGAGACTAGTAATTGTGGGTGTGACTATCGCTAATCGACTAGATCAGCAACAACTGACTGTGCAGCCGGATCGGCGTGGAGAGCAACAAACACACTTCATTGAGAAGGTAACGACGACGTGTTCTGGTGCAACAGTCACCAACACTAGTCGAGTCGACACTCAGACAGTGCAGCATATACCGGATAGAGATTGTACTGTACTGTAGTGACATTGGCGCGGTAATTGTTTATTTCCAGTGGCCCGCACTGAGTCTATGAACCGTGGTAATGTTCATTTCGGCGATGCTAGTAGACGTACAGCACGTCTCATTGAACACGCACTGAGTAGTAGTGACTTATAGATGACACAAACCTCAAGTCTCGACCACAGGGCAATATTACCAGTCGTCACACTGCCTTGCTCAAGTCAATGGAGTTGTTTCCGTCTTGCTCAGCTAAACCGACGAAGAGAGATCAGCTAGCCCGACACTAAACACGTCATCTGTTATCTGCAATCAATCGCACACTGTGTGACCGCTCCGGTCGATTGTGGACAAGTCGAGTGTCGGGTGAAGAGCATAGCACTGAAGACAGTTCTGCAGTCACTCATCAAGTAGGAGGCGTATCATCAGTGTACACGGTAACCACGGTAACATTGTTTGCTGCCGGAGTACATATACTAGACAGTATATCCGGGTCAAGATGTCGCAGACAGTTGTGCAGCACGCATCGGCAGCACCGGCTGCTGTGAGGAGTATGGTGACCACTACTACTGGCAGTGGAACATCATTCACTACAAGCAGTGCCGCACATTCAATGAGCATGCCACAATTCCCGCCGACCACCACCGGCACTGCCGGCGAGGAAACCCCGACTCAAACGACGAGCATGCACTCTGACACCAGTCGAGAACAGCACAAGGCGGCGGTGGTTAAACGACCCACCGCGTTTGGTTCGTCAGCAAACAGGTAGGCACATGCACGCCCAGCAAATGTGATTATCAAGAATGCCGGCATCATGCATGCCATGCGTTATGACCTACCCTGAGCCTTGCTCAGTTGAGCAACACAATGCAATCTGCAGGTACAATGTATATACCGGTCCGTGTATTATGCAGTGTTTGTTCCCGTTGCAATGAAGGCGTGAGACTAGTGCCAGGGCTGAGAGTTGCATGCACTAGGAGTAGGACTAGAAAACATTGTTTAACCCTCCCAGTCTGCACTTCTGATAATTTCCTATCCACATATATACAGACAGTTGCAGTGCAGTGTGTTGTATAACAGCCGGGCCAGTGAATCTGTGTTGTGTGCACAGTGTGTTGTATAACAGCCGGGCCAGTGAATCTGTGTTGTGTGCACAGTGTGTTGTATAACAGCCGGGCCAGTGAATCTGTGTTGTGTGCACAGTGTGTTGTATAGCAGCCGGGCCAGTGAATCTGTGTTGTGTGCACTGTGTGTTGTATAGCAGCCGGGCCAGTGAATCTGTGTTGTGTGCACTGTGTGTTGTATCATCAAGCAGCCGGGCCAGTGAATCTGTGTTGTGTGCACTGTGTGTTGTATAGCAGCCGGGCCAGTGAATCTGTGTTGTGTGCACTGTGTGTTGTATAGCAGCCGGGCCAGTGAATCTGTGTTGTGTGCACTGTGTGTTGTATAGCAGCCGGGCCAGTGAATCTGTGTTGTGTGCACTGTGTGTTGTATAGCAGCCGGACCAGTGAATCTGTGTTGTGTGCACTGTGTGTTGTATAGCAGCCGGGCCAGTGAATCTGTGTTGTGTGCACAGTGTGTTGTATAGCAGCCGGGCCAGTGAATCTGTGTTGTGTGCACTGTGGTTTGTGCTCTGTGTGTGCGTGTACATCTCCTTACACTCTGGCTGCACTGATAGGTTCAGCATGGCAAACATTCATCCTCAGAACAGGACACCTGGCTCGTATCTGCAAGTTTCCTATCTAGGAGATGACGACCCGGTAAGTGACAAGATCCACTGCGGAGCACGATTCAATGCTCTACTGGAAACTTTCACTACTACTTCTGAGCACACGTATCTACAATAGGGTATATAGGCAGCCCAACAAGGTTGAAATCACCATAACTGGAGGTTGCTCAGTTCTTACTAGTACGTGTGCACGTGTGCTTCGTTCTCTCTAGAGCCGTATGCGCGCACCAGGCCGTTACAACATTGAGAAAGGTGGTTTTGCCTTGGATGCTGTGGAGGAGCGGGCTCAAGGGCCAGGTATGTAGTGGATGAACTGCTTGAAGCAGACAAAAAAGATTGAGTGATTGTGTTGACCTCCTATAATGCCAGCAATTGGCTGAGTTTGTGCCTACGAGGGTTTCCTATAGCACATCGTCAAAAATGCATACGCTCCCAAAAAGCTATCGGTCAAGTCTTGCACTCAGATACCCTAACCATAAACATCTTAGTGCACCTCTCCAATGTAGGATACAATGTGTAAAGGTAACCGTCATTGACCGGCTCCATATCTTATCATTGGAGGTCCACATCCTGGGTGCTCGCATCCTCCCTTCATTCCTGCGTGACTTGCATAATTTGATTCACTTCTCTTTATACCATGCAGGATGGTTTGAGCAATTGGAGACGACGCAAGAGGCCGCTGTCCCCCGCACGGCCATTGCTGATAAATGGCACAAACAAAAGCGCTTGGTAAGTTTGCCGTCAATTATTTGGCTCGTCTTTCATCACTCACACAGCAGGGGTCGCGTATGTGCATGAACAGCTTTTCTCTTGGATTGGTTTGCTGTACTGCTGGCGTATAAGCAGCACTTGCGGTTGACTCGTGACGATGAACCATGCAGTTGCAATTTACCATTGCCAGCAGTGCACAGTCAAACCGTGCTCCTAGTCCACACTTTATGAGTTTATGCCTCTCTTTTTGCAAAGTGTATTGTGTTGCTTGGGCTCGTTATTACTTTCTCTAGCTTCTCGGGGAAATTTCTCCTGAATTCGGAGATTGTTGCACATATGAAGCGCCAAAGAGGCCACGATCTTGAGTGACACTAATGTAGTACGCACTTTGCGTATGCGAAAAGGGAATGCCGTACACTCATGAAGAACACGTGGCTTTTAGCAGTAGTTCGCATGCCCTGACCCCAAAACGCGGGAATCTCCAGGTTTCAACCTTCCCTGAAGTTTGGAGAGCTTTGGAGAGTCTCCTAAAATTCCGAAAGAATATAAGAACACTTCTCAAACTTTCTCAAGAGTCTCAAACTTTCCCAAGAGTCTTGAACTTTCCGAAAGGATTTAAGAACGCACCCTAAGCTTAAAAGTTAGTGTATAGGCCAGAGGCAAACACACGTGGATGGTCGTGCCGCTAGAAAGAGAACCTTGAAAGGCTGGTATGTAGCATGGGTGTGCACAGTTATGGCTTCCACCATCATGGTGTAACATAATTATATTTACATCGGCATGGAGTATGGGAATATCTAATCAGTTATCATCCTTCCTGTCCTCTATAATTATACATGTATAATAATTATTATGTTGTGCAATGTGCAGGAAGAGGAAATGGGCCCTGGCAAATACCCAGTGTCGGATTTCATCGACAAGGAAGCAACACGAACGTTTGGCAAGCGAGACAGCGTGTTTAAGAGGACAGCCAATCGGTTCGGTCCACAGGACAGAGTAAGCGACGATGAAGCTGCTTAAATGCACTTGCAATGTCATTGTACTGCTCTCAGGTACATGACCTTGTCATGCTGCTGCTTTTAGACACAGGAGAACTCTCTGCTGGCATTGAGCCTCGGGATAGTCACGTTTGATCTGCATGCACAATCACAGTCAGAATACTATGTAGTTCAGAAATCTACACATACCCATTTACTTTTTCCTTCGAGTTGTACGTTGACCGCTTATGGTCCAACTTGTGAGGTACCTACTGGCACTGCAGGTGTCAGTCACTCAGTCAGTGTAGTCTAGCTGCTGCTCACATCTCGCTCCATTGTGTCCGGCTGCAGTTTCGTGAAAATCTGCCCGGCCCCGGCAGCTACGGAGCTCCCAAGGAATCGATGGTCGAGCAGCTCGAGAAGAAGTGCTTCTCGACGAGGGGCTTGCTGAGTCAAGGTGATCCAAAGACAAGAAGTATAGGCCAGACGTCCCGTGCCCTGACAGGAAACGACAAGGTGAGTGCGCATACAATCACGGTGAAATCTTGTTTTTTTTAAACTGACTGTGCAGCTTCTAACTACGAGTTCATGCGAGTCATTTCCACACATTTACTGTACGAGCTGTGCTGCATCAGCGCATGCATCTCCATCCTTTTCATATACGTATGCATTGATACTGACTGCCGTATGCATGCACTGTGTGGATCAAACCCGTTTTAAATAATGATTATGTGATTGTTTTGCAGCACGACATCCCACCGAATAAGTATGCCATACAGCGGTTTCCAGCGAGTCATTTCCCGGACCATGGACCGAAGCGGGGCTACATCGACATGTCGTCGGAGAAGAAGATCGGTCCCATCAAGACTGGACATATGGCACAGCCGGTGAGTACAAACATACATCTTACACAGCAGTATATGACATTGTACCGTGAGTGTACTTTAATTCAATCCTGTTCGCTCCTCTTTGAAGTTGTCCATTGTGCTGGTGACACGACGAACTAAAATAAATCAAAAACAAACAAAACAATCCTTATTCCTTATGTCACATCATGGTGCGGCCCGTATGCCAGCACGGCTTGCACTGTAATTACGGTACGTGATTCAGCCCTTGATTTTTGAAACATGCCCTCTTGTAGTGTTAGATGTGATATTGTATCGATGTGTGCGTTGTCCTGTAACTGCATGCAGCGACGCAACAAGCTTGGACCAGGCCAGTACAACTACACCTCATTTACAGCTGACTTGTTAGGTGAGGCCGATCACTTTCTCCACACCACATACCATGCAGTCTTTGTCGAACTGAGTGTGACTACGTGTACATTCACTAGAGAGTGAAAGTGCTTACAGCGAAGATTTTATTTGTGCTATCAAGATAGTGAGCAGTTCCACGAGTTCTGAAAAATAAGAAGCATGGAAACGTCAGTGTGAAGTGCCCTCGATAGATACCGTTTTGTGCATCAGATATAGAGTACTTTTTTACGACCCTCTGCATCCTTTTCCAGTCACCTGCATAGCCTTGGATATTGCGTACATCAGCTCATGATAAATAGCTGGTTTTTACGTCGTTTCGAGGTACCTGTACGTTTTTCTAAGATTCCACAGAACACAGATTCTCCACTGCATGGGAATCTTCTCTGCATGTATTATACTCTGCTTTGCGACAAGAACGCATCGCCTACAGGTACTCCTCCTCCTCCAATGTTATGTCCGGGGAGTTGTAAAAATACCAAATTCTTTGACTCCCTGGTTATGACGTTATCAGCCCGTCTAATCCTGCATGTCTCTCTGTGTCTCTACCTGTGCTATGCCATGGCAGACAAGCACAACGTCAAGAAGGGTGCAATGAGCAAGCTGGACCGCGCCCCGCAGCCACCAACGCAGAGAATAGAGCTGAGCTACCTTCCTCAGGTCATTCCACCATCGGTACGGGATTTTCCCAGTGTAGGCCGCACAGCCTTTGCACAGCCTTTCACACCACTCATCCACATCCTAGTACACATACAGTGCCCATAGTATGTTTATACACTACACATACAGTACACATACGGTACACATAGCTGTGATCTTGCATGCAGTCTACCGCCACACCCCTACCTGCAACACGACTATGATGTAGCAGGACCGCCGGAAGCAGCTTTTGATTGATCAGGTCATACCATAGCCTTTCACACCTTGTGTATGATATAACGAGTGCGCATGCATGGCCTCCTCAGCAGCAAACATGCGTTGGTGGCCAACAAGTTGGTCCCGTGATGACCTGACCAACCGGACCGGTTCCCGCGGGTCTGTGTAGATCTACGCTTATGCAAGTTGTCCTGCGAAGTTCATCATGAAACAGATCATTACAGTCTATACACCTACTCCACACCCACTCATATAGTTACCGTAAAGTCGCTGGTAAAAGCCGGGCTTATAAGCATATAAGCCGCTTTCTGCATCAGGCTTTTTAATGCAAACAAGGCTTGTATGCAAACCCGGCTTTTATCCGCGACTTTACAGTACCGTAAAGTCGCGGATAAAAACCGGGTTTGCATACAAGCACATCGCGGATAGAAGCCTGAAAATCAAACGGGTCCTATGCCGCGGCATATAAGCCTGTCGCGCGTAGAAGCCTGGCTTCTATGCAAGCGCGGATCGGGTAGGTCAAGAGTGCATGCGCTATGTACAGTGCATAGTAAAACTGCCGCCATACCGGGAGTCAGTGGTAGATCTACGCGTGTCGCGCGTAGAAGCCTGGCTTCTATGCAAGCCCGGATCGGCCGATGTGCATACAAGCCTGGCAAAAATATCAGTGGTGCATATAAGCATGGTTTGCATACAAGCCTGGTTTGCAATGAAGCCTGATGCAGAAAGCGGCTTATGTGCTTATAAGCCCGGCTTTTATCCGCGACTTTATGGTATGTGAGCAATAGGCTGCTCTGTGGTAATCAAGCCCACTTGTAATCCTCCACCCCGCCCGTTTCTCATGCAAAGCATTCTCTGCAACTGTTTGTGTAGCTTTATTTTACTTCACCATAAGCACAGGCAAAATCTGCCTTCTCACTGGGCGTATTGCCACAGTTCTCGCCAAACGATGAAGATAACTCCACAAAGAAGTTGCTTGCTCTACGTCGGAAATACAATGGCTGGTAGGTATTGCATGAAATTAGTTCAGAGAGCTGTTTCAAACTCCTGTCTGTGCCCTTGTCACGGGTGTTTACTGTGTACAGGAGCAGCCAGGACCACCATTCTACTTTAGGAAGCCACGCAGCAAGAGCGCTCCGCTCTCGATTGCTGTAGACTCTCTGGGTGACTACTATGCAGAGCCTGGAGAGAGAGCCAAGCACCATCGCACAGTGAGCAACTGTGCGCCGTTCCACTCAAACACCAATCGCTATGACGATGTCATCGCAAAGAGATGCTTCCACTCAAGTCCTGTAAGTGATCAGTTCACCAGCAGTCATCATGCAATGACATGATCATAATTATGGTAGTTCATCAGCATTCATCATGCAATGCCATATGGTGGATCATCACCATTCATCATGCACCAACACGTAGCTCATCACCACTCATGCAGTGACAGGTTTTGATCAAAAGGCACCGTGTTGAACGAGAGGGTGAAACCACTGTCTTTAACCCGAAGTAGCAGATTGATTCTCTATGGACCAGTCCAAAGGAAACAGATGGTAGCAGCAAGCTCTAAGGGGTATATGTGTTTGTGTACGCAATACTACACAGGCATGCATGTGCAGTTCACTCTGTACATAATGCATATGTAGCTAGCTTGCAGTGGAAGTCAAGAGGTCCTTATTGCAGCTGCATAAGCTAGTCGTCTGACTCTTAGTCGGATATTATCTAGTAGATCCCGAGTGTTCGACTGTTTGGATCATTGTGTGTGTGTGTGTGTGTGTGTGTGTGTGTGTGTGTGTGTGTGTGTGTGTGTGTGTGTGTGTGTGTGTGTGTGTGTGTGTGTGCGTGTGCGTGCGTGTGCATGTGTACATTCGCCTGTATGATATCAATGCCAGTGGGAGACATCGGTTGCCAGGGACAACATCAACAAGTTCCACGAGTCTCGGCATATCAACGGGCACACCTACGTCTTCAACAGTGCACATGAACACATTCCACCGACGGGCAATGCCAAAGATGTTCTGAAAAGGTCAGTACCGTAATCATTTCCTTTCGATGAGATCAGTCATTCAGCTATGGCAGCCTCAAACAACATCACACAGGGCCCTTGGGTCACAAGTAAAAGGATGCATGGATACTAGTCACGAGTATTTGTCCATCACTGTATTGGTTCAAATTAACTAGATAATCAGCAGTCAGAAAGTGTGGATACCTAGGCACAAACTTGGTATCTATGTGTCCCATGACTTCTTTTTATCGGAGTATCGGAGTAGAAGAAGAGCTCTTTGCGGGTCTGTCACCGCAAAAATGATACATTTATTCCAAATTTTCGACTCAGTGGGTATCTTCAGGACTACACAAGTTATTCATTCTTCTTCATGTTTTTGTTTGTGAACTCGGAACAGAGAGCGGCTGCAGACAAAGAAGTCAACATTGACGAAGAGAGCACCACTACTCGAGGATTAGGGCTGTCACCGGCCTGTCATCCCAGGCAGTAGAGCGCATGGCATTGGTGGTAAAACTAAAAAAGCGCTCATTTCAACTCACAGCATTGCACTCAGCAGCCACAGCAGCCCCCCCCCCCCCCACGTGAAAAATCAAAGTTGCTCGTATCGGTCTTGTCAAGCCGTTTATCTTGCTGGAGCTCACCACTACTACACAGTCTACAGCGGGTAAAGCACTGTGAACGACCAGATAGGCCTGCAAGACCATTCACACTGAAGGACCGATAGAACAACAGAGCGGTGACTTCGAAGCCGCACTGTAGTGACAGTAGGAACAGTTTTGCACCTCAGTCAAAATGCCTACAAACGTAGCGTATAATTATAGCCTTGCAAACACCAGCCATTATCACGTCCTACTGATATTTCTGTGCGTGGCTGTCGCAGAGTAGGAACGCCACTACCATTCTAACGTACAAAGTATAAGCATGTATACTGCAGTACATATTCATGTTGGCCACGCATACAAGCAGACATCTCGTTCATGTTGTACATAGCAGACATCTCGTTCATGTTGTACATAGCAGAATCTGAGACTAGCATACCATGCAGTAGTGATATATTGCTTGACTCTTCCAGTCTTGAGGTTCAACAGGTATACATATTCAAATCCAGAAGTCAAGGTGTTTGATTTACTACTACACACACACACACTACTCATCATCAATGCTTGTTGCTCGTAAGACAGAATTAAAAAAAAACCCAACAACTCATGAAACTACGCTGACACGGGACGGGGTGCGTGCGTGGTGTGTGCGCCCGTGCATGCATGCACGGATGTGTGCTTGCTGCTTGCATGTGCATGCAAAGTACATTCATGTACAATGTAGTATTAAAAACCTCCAGTCATTTGCATGTTCTGAAAAGCAGATAATATTTCTGGTACGAATCACTCATATAAAAAAACCTGTATAGAAAACCTGGTGCTGTAAAAAACCACTTTTTTAGGAAAATGACTGGAGGTTTTTTATGCTATAATTTAAATAGAATATTAGCTTCGCCCTCGTGTTTGCGGGGAAAAAACCCTCGGCAAAAAACCGAGGCTTTGCCTCGGTTTTTTATTTCCCGTAAACACTCGGGACTCAGCTTATATTCTATACATAATGTGCACAACATGTGGGCAGAGAGGAGCAAGAAATTTGCTGTGGGCTTTGAGCTTCATGCCAAATGTCAATCACCAGACAACAATAAACGTGTCCACATACATACACATGCACATACACATGAAAACACACACACACACACACACACACACACACACACACCGCATTATGATGATTATAATTATAGATAGACTGACGGCACGTAGGAACTCAGAGGAAGCAAAATTATCTCCACGAGGGTTGCATTTAGGGAGACACCACTAGACCATAGTACGGGAAATGCCATGCATTTCGACCCAGGATTTGGACGTTCTACTCGGTCCGGGATCTATAAAACACGCATGCAGCTGCAACCTACCGACCCCAAGCACAGAACACGGTCCAGACCAGTGATGGAGTACATGAGCACCGAGCAGGCATAAGTAGGTTCTGCTCCAAGGGCACCTGTAATGGTCAGCACAGGGGCAACACCCACATAATCGTTTCACACCCCGTTTGCCCGTGTTGTCGCACTAGATGCTACAAAGTTTCAAACCAGGGAGTAGTAAAATGACTACTCCCTGCTACAACTGTGCAAGGCGAAATCCAACCCCAGTGCGTATTTGGCACGCTGGGTTTGTACAGCCCTTGAAGCCCTGGAAGTGGTATGAATGCTGCAGGACGTACATAAGTAGACCTACTAATACAGTGATGTTATGGGAAGTAGTCCAGGCTGCTAGCTTTGCACTTTAGGTCGGATCTCAACTACTCATAGTGCAACTGTACATGATAATTACTCCCCCCCCCCCCCCCCCCCCCACACACACACCATACACCAACAGTGCACCGAACTTCAGTCTCAAACAAATTCGAATAAATCTACACCCATCGATCGTCAAGTCGAGCAGCGCATGAGCATGCAGGCAAAATGTACTCGAGGTCCAGCCGATAACGACACGATCACACGGTATCGCACTGCTAGGGAGATGAGAGACAGAAAGCTGGCACGCCGCTCCAATAGGTTTAAGCTGGCAAGCTGCTCCAATGGGTCAAGCACAGCAGCACCTCACATAGAGAAGGTCACTGTGACCCTCTGCTGCTTGTGTCCATACACAAGAGGCGGCAAACACGGAGCGCCAGCTGGGCATAACGACGGTGAGTTTGTGCCCTAGTGCTGCAGCTACATGACTCTCATCTTGCCACTGCCCTTCATTGCCTTCTTGGCCATCTTGGCAGCTGTGCTTCTCATGTCCTTGGTAGCAAACGCTGCACCTACAGCACCAGTTGATTTCTAAGAACAGAGAGGAGAGAGAGAGAGAGAGAGAGAGAGAGAGAGAGAGAGAGAGAGAGAGAGAGAGAGAGAGAGAGAGAGAGAGAGAGAAAGCAAAATTCATCGTGTGATTACTTTATGGACGGTACATCAAGACAAGTATGGCAAAACCAGCATGTAAAAAAAACTAAGAGTACATGAAAAGCAGAGTGTGCAGCTTGGGACCTTTTCTGCTATGAGTGTCTGTCACGGCGGAATTCCGTGACTACATCATATTTGGCGCAGATCTGAGGCGGGAAATGGCGTAGTGCGTACAACTGAGCTGCAGTTGTGCAGAAAGAGACCTGCTTGAATCCTGCTTGTACGCACTACATCACTAAAATGATGTAATCATGGAATTCCGCCGTGACAGCCACCCATCGGAGCTGCACACTCTGGTTTTCATGTACTCTTGAAAAAACTGATACCCCCCCCCCCCAAACAAATACACACACACATGCAAACAACGCTCCTAAACACACACACGTAATGCGCGCGTACACACACACACACACACACATGCAATGCGCGCACGCGCACACACACACGCAGCAGACGCACACACAAAACCAACATCCTCTGCTCACCACTTCTATGACGATGTCAATGCCAGCCGGGGCATACTTCATCAACATCATGGTGAGAATGTCCGTATAAAAGCCAGGGAAGCTCGGTAACTGCAGGCACAACGAGTTGGTACGCAGGAAGGTGATCAGTACAGCATAAAACATCAAGTCCATGCAACAGCATAGGGAATATCAGTTAACAAAACACCAAGTCCATGCAACAGTTCCGTTATTTTTACAACGTTTCGGCACTTGACCATCGTCAGGTAATAACAATGAATTCTTTTCCATGCAACAGCATAGGGAATATCAGTTAAAGGGGAAGTTAAGGCAAAAATTAAAATTTCACCAGTTGTAGTCTTCGGGGTGCTGAGTCGAATGGTCTTGGTCCGAGAAAGCTGAGACGCTCCCTTCCTACTTGAATCCCAATCGAACTTGCGCACTTCCACCGAAACTGGGTGACTGCGCCCTACTAGATGGGGATTTGTATGCAAAATGTCACTAAAAGCGCCATTTCGTTCTTATAAACGCACGGATGACCGCGATTGGCCCATATGTTGTAGTCTTTTGGACGCTGAGTCGACTGGTTTTGGTCCGAAAAAGCTGCGATGCAGCGTTCCTCCTTTATTCCCAATCGAACATGGTTGAACAAGCGGTCACGTGCTCCTGGTTGCCCAAATCACCTGGTCACCACGCCAGCAGGCGACAACTTTCACACCAAGGCTCAACTCGAGTGACAGGACTGCACCCAAAAAAGGTCAAACAGGCTAGTAAGTTGTACCCTGCAGGCACGGTGACCAGGTGACTGGCGTACGCAGGAGCACGTGACCGAAAACTACAACTGGTGAAATTTTGATTTTTGCCTTAACTTCCCCTTTAACAAAACACCAAGTCCATGCAACAGTTCCGTTATTTTTACAACGTTTCGGCACTTGACCATCGTCAGGTAATAACAATGAATTCTTTTCCATGCAACAGCATAGGGAATATCAGTTAAAGGGGAAGTTAAGGCAAAAATTAAAATTTCACCAGTTGTAGTCTTCGGGGTGCTGAGTCGAATGGTCTTGGTCCGAGAAAGCTGAGACGCTCCCTTCCTACTTGAATCCCAATCGAACTTGCGCACTTCCACCGAAACTGGGTGACTGCGCCCTACTAGATGGGGATTTGTATGCAAAATGTCACTAAAAGCGCCATTTCGTTCTTATAAACGCACGGATGACCGCGATTGGCCCATATGTTGTAGTCTTTTGGACGCTGAGTCGACTGGTTTTGGTCCGAAAAAGCTGCGATGCAGCGTTCCTCCTTTATTCCCAATCGAACATGGTTGAACAAGCGGTCACGTGCTCCTGGTTGCCCAAATCACCTGGTCACCACGCCAGCAGGCGACAACTTTCACACCAAGGTTCAACTCGAGTGACAGGACTGCACCCAAAAAAGGTCAAACAGGCTAGTAAGTTGTACCCTGCAGGCACGGTGACCAGGTGACTGGCGTACGCAGGAGCACGTGACCGAAAACTACAACTGGTGAAATTTTGATTTTTGCCTTAACTTCCCCTTTAACAAAACACCAAGTCCATGCACCGCGCTGTGTCCGACTCCCCTGCCAGATAACCGGCCGTCTGGGCGCTGACTGCAGGTGGGTATGAACCCGTTGGTATATGCGGTTACACAGGCTGTTCATGCACAGGTACAGTCAAGAGAAGATAACCCCAAGAGTGTGCAACAACCGCATCCGCTACCATGCTCACGCACTGTCGTTGCTCACGGACTGACCCACCTGTATCGTTCTAGTGAAGACGTCAAGGTTGTAGGCCACGACCCTTGTTTCGCGCTTTCCACTGATTCGAGTTTTCAGAACTCGGACCTCCTTCTCCTGGTCAGGTAAGCCAAGCCTGCATTGAGAACAGCATACAGGAGGGAAGCCTTGTACTGCAAACCAAACACCCATTCTCCAGGCAAAACATCCAATCATCCATAATGCACAGCACCATGGAAAATGATACTCCCATGCACGTTTACTAGTATAGTTACCACAGGTGAACGTATTGGAGGTTTGAAAGGCAGAATGGAATGACAGCAGCTTCACTACATTGGTATCTGCCTGGTGGTTCAGCGTAGCATAGCATGGGACCACCGCACAGGAACCCACACTCTCATCGGAGAAACAAGTCGATTTACAGGACGTCGTGCACACACATCTATCACTATGCTATTAGGATGAAAATCTAGAGCGGCACATCCAATTAACCGAATTTCGTACATGGATGCACGCAAGCACGTGCACATACACACAATCACGTGCACATACACACATGCACCCATACAGGTCACAGGAGCCACCCAATACGCACGCACGCATGCACGCACACACACACACACACGCGCGCACACACACACGCACACACACGCACACACACGCACTGTACATGTACTTACATGCCTTGTCGGGGAACACCGATAATGGTTGCAAATCGCCGGACGTCCTTTATGAACGTCTCCAAGACGATCTTGTCACTTCCAGTGGCCTGCATAGCATAACACCCCCCCCCCACACACACACGCAATACAGAAAAACCGAAAAGAAAGGCTCAGCAGATAACCGCAAAGGGCTCCCAACCCTCGAATTTCGTCACATAATATCTAAATAGCCCCAACGCCACATCTCTTTGCAGAAATTGAACCGGCAAGAGCGTTAGAAGACTAGAAGGTGCAGCTTCAGTGCACCACAGGATTTCTTTTTCACAAAGAGAAACACTAGCACATGCAGTTCTGCTGACCACTGTAAAAAGGAATACAATTAACATTTCAAGATTCGACTGTGGAGACCTTGCCCAGTTGAGAGAGAGAGAGGTCCACACAACAGAGGTTCTGCTGTGTTACAACTATTGCAGTGTAACGTAAATTACCATTGACCCCCCCACGCTGTGTCGTTTCCCAGCTGTTTTTTTTTCGGCACGGGGAGGGTACGATGTACAACAACGCAAAAGGTCAGACTTGTAGCACTGGATCCACAGGCATACAGGCACTGGCATGTGTTGTGTACAGCAGTGCATGCGTCGGTTCAACAGGTTCAACATAGTATTTCGCCGTATACACAAAAGTTGTTTCACAGCTTGGCAACAGGGGCCGGATAAACGGTACCTTACTCACTACTACACATAGTCCTCTATGCTTTGACAAGACAAATATCCTCTAGCCCTGCAGGCTGCTCCGATGCATGAAACTAGGGAGTAGGGGACATACATTTCAGCGGGGATCTTCCCTAACGATGACATCTCCAGGGTCTGTAGAGTCAAGGTCAAGGATGCTGAGCCAAATGGTCTTGGTCCGAGTCGTTTGCTAGATTTCCCAATCAAACTCGTACATTGCACAGAGCGACAGACTCCGGTGATGACGGCACTGAGACAAGCCCCCACCCCGAATTCCATACACACAACCCAAGTGCAAAAGGCTAGTTTCGGCGCCCAGTTGTTTTCGGAACAGTGCATCACAGCGTCAGCAGGCCAAGGACATTCAACTCAGTGACCCAAGGACTAGTTTCTAATAAACTTTCTATTTGCTTTTAAGACATTAGAACTCCACTGAATTTCACTTACCCGGACACGGAGACCAGAAAACTTCGCTAGCGTCGGCGAGTCCTTCAGTATATGTGGCTTTCTAAGCCTTTGATTAATCTACATGCAGTACATGGCCAAGAACATGCACACACATGCACACACACACACACACATACACACACACACACACGCACCCACATACTGCACCATAATTCGCGGACTCTGTATTTCGTGCAGTGGACAGTGGGTGTGAGCTACATTTGGGTGAAAATCCACCCATAACTAGACCCTGCAGCTGCCAAAACATGACGGATAAGATACTGTAGGACTACTAAATTCGTTAAATTTTGAAGTTGTTACCTTAGAAACGATGTACATGTGTACCTAGTATGTACAGTCATTTGCCAGTTGTGACAGCCAGAATTTACCTTGTGAACCAACAAAAATCCAATTTTCAAAAATGAAATGTTTTTCACCTAAACGCGCATGTGCGGTCAGAGTTCGTTTGCCAGAGTCGTTGTGTTTGACTAGGTCTCGTAGTGTCAGTCAGTTTCATGGTTCCTGTATGCTGCTTGCAGGCTTTTATCTGTGATTTTGTCAAAGTGAGAATTTTGGTAGTGCTTCGCCTATAAGAGTGCTTATAAGTGAGAGTGCGCTTATATCCAAATACAGGCACATGCGCCTGCACATGCGCCTATATGTGCGCTACCACGGCGCGAAACTTCAAGCCTGGTGTGACCTAAAAGACACGATAAAAGCCAGTAACAGCTGCATCACAAGTTACCCTGCATAGCCAAGATTGGTATAGTACTGTCTAGTGCCGAAGAATTGGGGGATCGGTCTCATAGCCTTGAGCGTTCTTATGTTTCAAATACTACTTCAGTACAGTCTATACTCAATTGAGTCACCACGTACATGGATACATGTATCGGTATGCTATGCTTGGCGAAGTCCTAGAATCTCCACTCTTCAGCTATTTGCGTGTGGGGTAATACCCACAAGTCCCCCCCCCCCCCCACCAACTATCTAGTGTCAAGACTCACGCATGAATAGTAACATTATTCAACAAATTCCACTTGGACCTCTGTCTGTGTCTGTCTGCCTGTCTGTCTCTCTCCCTCCCTCTCCATCTGCCTCTCCCTGTCTGTCTCTGTCTCTCTTCGTCTCTCGCTCTCAGATGTCGGTGTCTAGTAAATACCAATTCAGATTCGACAGGGCACCAAAGAGAACTCTATTAGTAAAGACTGTCACCGCTAAGTGACCCGGGCATGATCCAACAGCACTTACAAGGGTATGGTCGATCAAGAAATCGGCGCGAGCAGCTGGTTCAGTCAAGCCAACTTCTCCCTCTTCCAGCGGCTTCAGAGGAATAGCAGCCTCCGCGGAGCGAGGCAGAAAGCGATTTTCGTCCTTTAATTTGGCAAGCTCATCCGGATGTAGGTTCTTAAGCGGCTTTATAACATCCAGCACCTGATGAAGTTCAGTACGCATTGGCAGCTTTGCTTTGAACAATCTCGCCCTCATGCCTCGCACTGGCGCCGTCTTCTTGGTACCATGTATCATGACTTTGTGAGGCTTGTGACGGACCTGCCCAACTAGACTGTGTCCCAAGGCCGCAACACTGCAAGCACAGCGTGTGTCCATATTGCCAGCACAAAAAAAACAAAAACAAAACAAAAACACACACACAGCAATTCTTCATATGTCCCCACCACAATAGTGCACTACTTGGTAAACAGATTCACGAGGAAGATCACCTCCACATCATACGAAAATGATACAATACATCAATCTTCAAGGCAGTTACTGGAAATGGAAACCGTTCTGGATGCCAAGAGCAAGCGAAACAGAAAATCACAGTTAGCTAACTTTGAAGCTGACCATGCCAAGAGAAGCGAGCATATACTTCAGTAGCTTCCTACATTGTGGGAGTGAGCAGCAGATTTCACAGATAGACATGACAAAACTCACGGCTGGACACGTGGTGTTGACTGTCCCAATGTGCATAATGCCGAGCGGCTGGTCAGCAGCTGTAGAAGGGAATCACACAAAGAGAGAGACACACACACGCACGCACACATACACACACCACACAGGCAAGCACGAACGAACGCAAACATTGCTCGATGTAGGAAGTGATACGTTCCTTCTGAATGCATATTGAATAGTTGGGCTTCTAATACGGAACTAAACTACAGTAAAGGCCAGGGGATTCCCCTCATGAATGAAGTAGCACAGGCCAATGCATGGGGCTAGCACTAGGAGATGAACTGAAAGTGACGTTACTGTATTCCTGAAGGCGAGTTTTACCGGCCAATTTTGCCTATACTATACCGTATTTTCCGGAGTATAAGCCACACCCCGTGTTTTTGTCCCGACATATAGGCATTCATCATGTACTCAGAGTATAAGCCGCATCCGTAATTTGACATTTTTTTAAATAAATAAATGTGTGTACGTGTGTACGTGTGTGTACGTGTGTGTACGTGCGTCAAGACCATCTTCCTTCAGATTGTTATGCGGCTTCAAATCTACGGCCAGCAGCTCGACTGCCTACTTCCACGGCAGCTACAACGACAAGCAGCTTGAAGTGAGTATCATAGCTGCAACGCTTCGACGGCGCCATAATTCAGCTTTGAATATCGACAGAAGAATTAACAACCATGAGCGAGAGAGAAAGACAAGTGACTCGTAGCAAAATTTCCTTGCACGAATATCCCAGCACGAATATCCGATGTGCGTTGGACATGCGCATATACGTAGTCACACATTACGGCTGTTGCGGCGCGCTGTTGCATTTGTTTGCCAGCCACACAGGCTACCACACTATAGAGCTTTTTCAAGGTTGTACAAACGGTCACATTTTGGGGTCATGTGCGAGAAATTTTTGAATCGCTGGTGAACAGGCGAAGCCCAGTTCACGTTCACTTTGTATGGGAAATGAATGCGTGGAGGTGAAAGAAGCTGTAGAATGGCGCTCCACTTGATGTCCGACACTCGTGTTGAGTCAGAGCAGTTGCCAAGAGGCTCTTCCATGGCTTGGGCAAAAAAGAACAAGCTTCAGAATCGCTCCAAGCGCTGGTGCAGGTGGAGACGAACCTGTCACATTTCGCATACTTTTCAATGCACTTTGATGACATGCGACCTGTTCACCACTATCTCGGGGAGATCGCCGGGGCGGCGGCGGGAAAGGCGTCCTTGAAAAAGCTCTATACTTCGCGCCCCCGTTCATTTACCACCGGAGTATAAGCCGCACCGGGTTTTTTTTTGCGGTGGATTTAGAGTGTTCAAAGTGCGGCTTGTACTCGGTAAATACGGTGCGTGAAAACAGTATCATAAAAGGATTGGGTCAAAGTGTGCATCCAAATGGACACTTGGTACACTGTACGTGTATGACTTTGTTTAGTTATAGCTTAGAATTGGCTTGTTCCACAAAAAGAGTTTTTGTAGGAAGAAGTTGACGCAAGTGCCTACTTGCCTACACGGATCACTAGATAGTCGTGCTCATCAAGCACTCACACCTGTGATCATACGTGTTACTCATGAAGTGGTCTGGTGTTATGAAAGCTTGTCGTTGCTCACGACCACTATGCCAAAGAAATGCTCCAAAGCTCGCAGCGACATACATGCTCAAATTAAAAACCGAGCTGTTATCATACTCATGACGTGAAATCGTTTCGCCGAGACGGAAAGCTCAGCTACTGGAAATGCATTGTTATATTGTAACTGTTACACTACTGTATTCGAGGACTCATATGATAGGGGAGTTTTCATTTCCAGTTCAGCTCACAACACTCGGGATGACTATCTGGACAAGATGAAGAGGTAAGTATTCGTGTGCTGATTATTGCGACTACACATTCCATTCTATCCATCTCCAAAGTCGTAGGAACCACAGATGGATAACTCAAAAGTAACGAGATCAGGAATGATTCCAGGCAAAATACTTCACAAAAATCAATAGTACTGACCTGAACAAGACTGGCCGACATGGCAATCGCGAGGAGGAATCGCTATACAAAATCCCCCTCGGGCGCCAACCACAGGCACCTCGGCCGTCCACACCCAAACCTCTATCAGACTGTTGTAGGAACAACAGCACAATGAAGAAAGCTACATGAGCCAAACAGCTAAAAGAAACTGAATATGAACTCAAACTCAAAGACAAAAAAAACACGATACAAGAGTTCACAAAACACAACAGTCTACAAAAATTTGGACTGTCGCCTAGAAACACTTTGCCGGCGGCCTGCGCACTTCGACACCTGGTAACTCGTTACAGCTATAGACTTGTCTTGTACTGTTGTAGTATCCTCCCCTCCCCAGATGCCCTCCGTGAAATGTTCGTCTACGAAGTGTACTTCGGCGTGTCGAAGTGCGCAGGCCGCCGGCAAAGTGTTTCTCGGCTACAGCCTACAGTCCAAACCAGGGAGTAGTACAATACCGGTATTGTACTACTCCCTGGTCCAAACCGGGCCACCAGTGCAGTGATCATGGTACACTACCGTACTGGCAATATAATTATGTTGCCGCAGTGATCTAGTGAGGCCATGATGAAGCGTTACATTGGCACTTGTTTGCCGCACGCAGGGCGTTACATGCAAAGTCGCACAGGAGCCGTTACACAGGTTTCTATATTGCCGCAGTCCTTTTTTTGCTATTGCAGGACTTCCTGCTGCGTCCAGTTTTGAAGTTTTCACCACGCGGTACACGTGCTTTCACAGTTTCAGCCTTTTTTGCAATGAAAAGATCGCCGCACCCCGCCGGACGCGCGTTACGAACGCAACGAAAATTTGTCGCACTAGCCTGGTCGCGCGTTACGCCGCACCCCCCTGCGTTACGCGTTACGCGGCAACATATATTGCCAGTACGGTACATGTATATGGCAATCATGAATGGTACACATCATTACAATCATGGTAATCAGTGAGGGTGTCACATACTAGTAGTACTATTCCCCCCTAGCGCTTGGCCCCCGGGGGAAAAGTACTATGCACCGGAATAGTGATTGGACCCCCGGGGAACTTTACTATGCAGTGTTTGTACGAAGTAGTGGTTGCGACTTCGGCGATTATTTGTAAGAAAGGGTTTGCTCCCCACACTGGAGCTCGCGCTATTCCGCCGACTTTACTTGACACTGGACTGACTCACGACTGCCATCCAGAGCACACGAGAAGTCCATCGAACCTTCGACTCGGCAAACCTACAAGAAAGCACCACTCCCTGCTCAATACACAGTGTTTCGGGGAATTCACCCCTCATCAGTTGAGCTTGAGTAGGCTGAGGAAGATTGTGCCTGAAGAGCACCACTTATATAGTGCTGTCCAGGCACAAACATCACCAGGGATACAAACTTAGTGACGCTCCATTTCCAGCGCGACAAACACCTCGTGAACACCAGATAGCAGCGTGAGTCAGTGTCGCTCCTGGACGGTGAGACCAGACGTTGAGGACCCTCGGTCATTCGCAACGCTGTCACCTCCAAACCAACTAGTCGCAAGCCCGCGCTGGGCACAACAGTACGAAGTAGTGGTTGCGACTTCGGCGATTATTTGTAAGAAAGGGTTTGCTCCCCACACTGGAGCTCGCGCTATTCCGCCGACTTTACTTGACACTGGACTGACTCACGACTGCCATCCAGAGTACACGAGAAGTCCATCGAACCTTCGACTCGGCAAACCTGCAAGAAAGCACCACTCCCTGCTCAATACACAGTGTTTCGGGGAATTCACCCCTCATCAGTTGAGCTTGAGTAGGCTGAGGAAGATTGTGCCTGAAGAGCACCACTTATATAGTGCTGTCCAGGCACAAACATCACCAGGGATACAAACTTACAGAGACGCTCCATTTCCAGCGCGACAAACACCTCGTGAACACCAGATAGCAGCGTGAGTCAGTGTCGCTCCTGGACGGTGAGACCAGACGTTGAGGACCCTCGGTCATTCGCAACGCTGTCACCTCCAAACCAACTAGTCGCAAGCCCGCGCTGGGCACAACAGTACGAAGTAGTGGTTGCGACTTCGGCGATTATTTGTAAGAAAGGGTTTGCTCCCCACACTGGAGCTCGCGCTATTCCGCCGACTTTACTTGACACTGGACTGACTCACGACTGCCATCCAGAGCACACGAGAAGTCCATCGAACCTTCGACTCGGCAAACCTGCAAGAAAGCACCACTCCCTGCTCAATGCACAGTGTTTCGGGGAATTCACCCCTCATCAGTGTTTGTACCCCCGGGAACTTTACTATGCAGCGGGGGCTCCCCGGTAGTACATTGGGTACATTGGGTACTGCACTTGCCTGCGACCCGAGAGGTCGCGGGTTCGAGCCCCGCAGTCGCACATAATATGTGCATCTGACTGCAAAATCCCCACGACGCAGCTCACCAGATCAAGGTGTGGGTCCTCTGCACTCAGAGTCAAGTCGAGCGAGCTGCAACTCCCGGTGCCGAAAGGCGGGCTCACGCCCCGACATGGCTACTTCCCCTTGTCTAGCCCCCAAGACGAAAATGATAGTAGCCGACTGGCCGAAATTTAAAAAAAAAAAAAAAAATGCAGCAGAATGCCCCCCCCCCCCCCCCACACACACACACACATCACTGAACCAGGTACATGTGTTTGGGAAATTTTTCTTCTCTCTATTTTGATACACAACGGCCAAGTGCTCCGTTTCCCCCAAAATGCTGCATCACGAGCCCAAAGTGCTGGGTTCGCGGATTGTACCGAAAATGCTCAAAAAAATGCCGGCATATTACACGGGGGCCTAGCCATAAGCGAGGGTTCCTGGTTCGAGTCTGAGATTACTATGTGGGGTGATGAGTTGTACTAGGGCTCTGAACTACATGTATACTTGTAAGCAGGAAATAGGTATAGTGTGTACATTTGCTTGTACTTTCCTACTGACCATTGCAATGAACGCGTCACTAGCCATGGGAATGGTTCCGACGATGCTGAAATTGGCCCGTATCCACCCCGTTTTCAAGGCGGGAGACCCCGAGACTGCAAAGAACTACCGATCTAAATCTTTGCTTCCGGTTTCGGCTTCAAAGATCTTGGAACGGACTGTGCACAAAAGGCTCTGTGCGCTCCTGACCGAACATGACCTCTTTCCTGCCGAGCGGTTTGCTCGCCGAACACACCACTCGACAGAGGATGCCGTCTTAGTAGCAGTGGATCGATTTCTACGAAGCGGCAGATCAGCACCTGCACACTGACGCTGTACTCATAGGCATGAGCAAAGCATTCGACTGTGTCCAACACCAGACCTTGCTCCACGACCTCTTCCAACTAACTTGATGTCTCCTCTACCCAACTGGACTGGTTCGCGGACTACATGCGTGCACTACGCCAGAGTGTGGTCACCGCAAAAGGCGAAAACTACCAGAGCTAGAGAGGAAATCAGCTTACGCGAGCGGTGCTGTTTGCCGCCTACACGAGAAGTCTCGCAACGGTGGCCCAGCCTCGCATGGCGAAGGCACATTCAGTGCCTTCTTGAGCTCCACCACCGTATCCATAGCCAGATGACGACCCTGGAGGACATGGGCAATACAATGTCACACAGCACCAGACACCTGCAACTGCCTGCTAGAGCCAGCACACACAACGGTGCCCCTTTTTTCTTTGCAACCACTGCCACATGGAACTTCCTCCCAGCTGCCATTCGTACTGTACCCAGCCCAAAATGTTTTCTCTCTCTTGTCCGCACCCACTTTGCTACCACCCGTTATGAGCCCTCCGTTATCATTCCACGTAGAGTAGCGCTGTCATAGAGCACTGTGTTAACTTAAATAATTGCTCCCCCCCCCCCCGTATCTTTCTATCCTTTCCCTTTTAATTTTTTACTTTCGCTTCGGCTTCTTCTTCATCCGTTGACGGAGACTCCCTTTAGGCCAAAGCCTGTGGAGAAAAATACAAATACAAAACGGTAGCTGGCCCGGCAGTACCGGTACGTACACTCGAGCGTGGCTGTGTGGGATATCGCTACAAATACCGGTAAGCTACTCGCTGCCAAAGGCCGCGTCCTCAGCACCAAGGCCAAGACGCGGCAAGTGTGGAGCTGGACGACAGGCGCACCTCGAGTCTCGACCTCCACTGCTAGACAGTCATAATCATTACTTGCACCGGTATGCTTGTTGACCAGACAAGTATTGCTGGCTACCTCGGAGTCACACATGAACTGCAACAACCCTGCTGGGTGTCTGCCCAGTGCTGGAACGAGCGGAATGCAAGCAGCTCCTGACTTTCGTACTGGAACCATCAGTGTTGTCGTCACGTATTGACTTCTGAGGCCCACCGACAGACATGGCCTTTCGAGGTCAAGGCAACCTTCCCCTCCCGGTGGGTCACTGTGCATCTGGCTCATGCCGACCGCTAACACTCAGGGGAAAATTCTGATCTGGAAACGTCCAGTGCCCCAGCTACTACAATGTGGCGGGATCACTCGAACCCATTTCTGTCTGGATTAGGCAATCCAAAGACCTACATCTTCAGAACGTGCATACATGCCCGATACTATTTTCAAACCATCAACACTGTTGAAGGCAATAACCCTATCCTAGTCTAAATACTTCGCAAGCAAAGCAAGAAAATGTTCAAACTAGTGCCTGTAGGATTCAAAGTTTCAAACCGTCGGCTACCAGTCTACAGCCCGTGGAAAATTTTAGTCCGGGCAATGGAGTCGCATGTCCACATCATACTCTATTCCAGTATTGATGAACACTGGCATCATGCGATGTAGCTAACACACAAGACACAAACTGACAGAGCCAATGTCATGCATGTACTTGCCAACCATACCGCCGGGTTTTCCCTGTACTACCTGAAAACTAGGGTAACTACCGGCATACCGGGGATTTTTGACTTTGATCGGAAAATACGCAAAAATACTCAAAAAATTGCCCAAAAATAGAGAAAATGGCAATGTTCTTGGATGGACACTGCTGCTAGCTGAATGCTGTTTACTGGTGTCTCCGAGCTCTGATTCAAATAACTGAAGGAGAAGGCTGGGCAAGTCTATAGGCAAGCAGTAATTGTCCCGTGCTACTTGCTTGGGAATCCACTCCTTGAGTCTGGTGAATGGTGATGGGTGTACAAGTTACAAACACGTGTAAGGTGTTCGGTGTGTAAAGGGAGATCCAACATCCGGATCCAAAGCATTAAAATGTCAAACTACACAGCCTCTAGTCTAGCCTAGCATCCATGCATGCGTGTACATGTACAGTACATTTCAGTGCATTGGTTCAGTTCTTGGGCCTCGCCGCTATCGGCTGACAATAGCTGGAGGAATTTTAGAAAGATTACAGTGGGAGCCTTGATACGATAAAACAAATACTAATGCTGTGTCGAGGCCTATGATAGGATTTGCGTTTAGTATGCTCACACCGAGCATTCAGAACATTAGTACATTCATTATGATGATCCAAGCCACATATTGTTTGTGCGGCAAGTCAAACTGCTCCCAACATGCCCATATCTGTGGTGGCATTACTCAGGATCATACCAGGACTGTGAGATGGATTGTTGGCGGGCTGGACCGATGGCAGAACAGCTACATCAGCCTGATTAGTAGGCTGCACATCCGTCACGAGTGCATCGCCCTTTGCTTGACTCTCACGGTCTTGTTCAGGTGATGTATCTGGTTGTGCTTGAGGTGGACAATCACAAGGTCGATCTGAGCCAGAAAAGCAGTCAACAGTCCAGAATGCGCCATTACCACTCAACCATCATCATTATCTTACTTTCCTGGAACAAAGAGAATTTCATTTATCCCTCCCTCCGGGTCCCTCCCTCCCTCCCTCCCTCCCTCCCTCCCTCTCTCTCTCTCTCTCTCTCTCTCTCTCTCTCTCTCTCTCTCTCTCTCTCTCTCTCTCTCTCTCTCTCTCTCTCTCTCTCTCTCTCTCTCTCTCTCTCTCTCTCTCTCTCTCTCTCTCTCTCTCTCTCTTACTTGTACAAGAAAAGAAGAACAAAAAGAACCATCCACAGATGTATGCCAATCTTGAACAAGTAAACACGAAAAAAGTATGGAATGGCAATTGCGTAGCCTTCCTTTCAAGTTTGTATGCTTTGTGTCACAATGGCAAAGGCCATCATGAAAGCTCGTGACCACTAATACGCTGGACCCAGCAGAGCTCAGTGCCGCATATGGGATGGACACCTTGGCACCAGCTAACTCTCACAAGGCTACTTTTTTTAAACACGGTCACGATCTGTCGAACAAGCACAGGAAAAACTGACACATGATGCATCCATGCCGGCAATACACCCTGCAATGGAAGTATTTCATTATATGGAACAAAAGAAATCATGACTGAATGCTTCCAATCCGCCCCGGCAATCACAACATTACTTTTCTAGAATAGTAGAGTCCAGATAGTTGTAGTGGAGTTTGCAAATCCTTTAAATAGAAAGGTTGGCCACGAGATCACATTCCGATGTGAAATCGAGCTTACGGGGAAAGTCCAGGCAGATGAGATAGGCTCCATTGGATGAAAGATATTGGCCTTCTCTGCAATGCGGTAGTGAGAACGCTTGCCCGGGCTTGCCTCGTTCGCCTTTCATCCCCTTTGGTCCCAGTGGTCCAATGTCACCCTGCAGTTGTGAGGAAAAAGCAAACGGTGTACATGTAGTTTGTGTGCTTGAGCAGATCAATCTTAGGGTGCGTTCTTAAATCCTCTCGGAAAAGTTGGAGACTCTCCGAAAAGTACGAGAGCTGTTCTTATCAGGGAGTAGTACAATACCATATAATTATTGTATTACTCCCTGGTTCTTATATCCTCTCCGACTTTTAGGAGGCTCTCCAAAGCTCTCCAAGCTTCAGAGGTGGTTGAAACTTGGAGATTCCCGCGGTTTGGGATCAGCGCATGCGAACTACGACTAAAAGCCACGTGTTCATCATGAGTGTACGCATTTACCTTTTCGCCGCATACGCACACGTGCATACTACATTCATCACTCAAGATCGCGGCCCCTTTGGCGCTTCATTTTGCTTGACATGTGCAAAATATCTCCGAATTCTTTGAGACCCGTTCTTGAATAATCCCAGTTTCTTCGACTTCTCTTTTCTCCTTCTTCTAGAAGCAAGAGAATATAAGAACGCACCCTTAGAAGACAGTCTGGGTTTGACATTGCATGATGGAGGAGAGTACGAGTTTCAAAGTGAATTTTCTCGCTTTCTGATACACAAAAATACATCAGATGAGGAAAAAGAAAAAAATGTCACGACGAAGATGGGATTCGAACCCACGCGGGCAGAGCCCAATGGATTAGCAGTCCATCGCCTTAACCACTCGGCCACCTCGTCAACCACAATGCACGCAAGCATCTCAACAATGATTACACAGAATGGTACCTTCAAGTACCAGAAGAAAACGAGCTAACACAGTCGAGAGAGCTAAAATGGCCGCGAAAACAGTCTAATATGGAAAACCAAGAAATCATAACAAACCGAAAACAGCCTGATAATAAAAGTAAATGATTGGTGTCCTGGGATCACTGCCTCAGCTGCAACAAGCGAGGCAGGGAGTTGGAGCCAACAGGGGCGCACAGAGTGCGGGATCCACGGAGGCACATCACACTAGCACGGAGGAGGGCAAAGCTGAGTCTACAGCGGACCCATGCCATGACGGTGCTGGAAGGCTCGCTGGTTTTATCAGCAAGCAGGCAGGCAATCCTGTTGTAGAGTGCATTGCAATGCCGACTCATCCCACCCGTTGTGGCAAAGACTGCTGGAACAAACGATGCATCAGCGTTCGATATCACGCACACGTTGCTCATAAGCCCTGTGCTTCTCCTTCTCCTGCCGAGTGTAGGTGGAGGCCAGTGAAATGGCTCGATTAGAGGACGCACACGGGTTCAACAACCTGACATCAATAAACGTGCGCTCAAATCGGCCACCCCAAAGGCCACTGGCAGCGACATCCAGGCGGGCCTGTTCCTGAACATTGGCGGAGCGAAGGCAAAATTGCTCTCCGGTTACCGGCTGGAGGTGAGGCTCCACTGCCACATTGTACGCCACCTTCTTCAGCAAAGTTGCGGTGATGTCGCGCTCCTCATTGTGGCGGATGGAAGGGAACCCACCTGTGGGGCATGGAAGGGCATGACAGGTGGTGAACTTGGCACCACAAGGGCAATCCGATGGCAGGCGGGCTGGCAGCCAGTTGTAGCGGAGGTATACACCATCCCGAAATTCACCCTTGCTGAGGGAGAAGCCATGGCGCGCCAGAGGCCTGCACGTCAGCCAGCTCGATGCACCCTTCTCAGAGGCAAGCTCGATGACACGTTGCTGGTCAGTGTCGAGGGTGGCGTGGTACCTTCAAGGGGCTCTTTTGTAAGTTGAATGAAAGTCATAGGTCTAGGGGATGGCGGACAATGGACAGTGACCAGGTGATGTACCAGTGGAAAAGACAGTATCGCGAGTGACACCAGTAAAGGGTGGAAAGGACAATATGCCAAGGTCACTTCAAAACGCAACCAATCTGTTGGGTTAGACACGTGTACCAGTAGCTCATTGATGTTGCATGTCAATGTATTGCAACTACAGTGCAACCTCGTTAGCAAGAACACAGATAAGACAAACGTTCGCTTTAGAAGAACTGGCATTCCAAGTTCTATTGGCCCCTGAATTGCTGTGTAATCACTGGGTATGAAATATGGATAAGAAGAACTCCTGTTATTGACTACAAACACCATCGGTCCCTTAATTAAGTTGGTGTTCGTCCTAAAGAGCTTTGACAGTACTCTTACAAGATCTCCTTTATCACCAGAATTGCCTTTTTCACCACGCTGACCTCGCTGGCCCGGCTACAGAGCAGAACACAACGCATGCAGCGGGAAGTCCAGACATAGCCGAAACAGAAAATGACAGTTCCATTCGGAGAAACAGAATCTAATAATAGGCACAATGATCGCAGGATTACAGTGAGATAGACAGACATAGAGAGAGAGAGAGAGAGAGAGAGAGAGAGAGAGAGAGAGAGAGAGAGAGAGAGAGAGAGAGAGAGAGAGAGAGAGAGAGAGAGAGAGAGAGAGAGAGAGAGAGAGAGAGAAAGAAAGAGAGAGAGAGAAACAGACAGACAGACAGACAGACAGACAAACAGACTGAAAGAGAGAGAGAGAGAGAGAGAGAGACAGACAGACAGACAGACATACAGACAGACAGACAGACAGACATTAGAAGTTCAGAGGGGGTTTCTGAAGAAGACCAGTATGGTCGAAACGTCAACTCAATTGTGATCACTTCTGTCCTTCTACGCAGTGGTCCTGTAACTTTTTTTCGTAATTATGTGCTACTTTCTTGATGGGATCAAGTGCCGGTTTGTCATCGTTTAGGTCGTCAACTATCTCCCAGACAGACAGACAGAGAGACAGGCAGAGAGACAGATAAGCAAACAGTGAGACAGAGGGACAGAGAGACAGGCAGATGGACAGAATGAGACAACAGAATGAGACAGCCAAAGAGACAGAGAGTCAGAGAGAAAGAAAGAAAGAAAGAAAGTAAGAGAAAGAGAGAGAGAGAGAGAGAGAGAGAGAGAGAGAGAGAGAGAGAGAGAGAGAGAGAGAGAGAGAGAGAGAGAGAGAGAGAGAGAGATGATCCACTGACTACACCTATTCCAATCAAACATTGACTTCACATGCATGTAACCTTAAAAAGGTATTGCTGGTTAGAAGCACTGCGGTTGGTCTCCTTAAAGCCACCTCGGAAATCCCCTGGATGTCGAGATTTGAGAGGAATACAACATTAGTCTAGAAAATTCAATGTGATTGGTTATGCTCATGGCAGGACCATTGTATTTCCATTTCGTGTTGAGACACTATAGTGTACATGGATGTCTACACACAGTACATGGATGATCACACAGGGCATGCGACTAGCTGACAGATGGTGCCAACATACCGGTCCGATGGTACCAGGAGCGCCGTTGTATCCTGGGAATCCATCTGCTCCGGGGCGGCCTGATCGACCCTGGTGCAGTGGATTTCAATGTACAAAACGACGAGAAGAGGCTGCATAGTCATGCACTAGATCACACATTTACTGAAGCCAACATGTATTTGTCTACTCACCCTGAGAACTCATAGCATTGGTCAAAGTTTATCTACATACGGGACACTATATGGACTGCTGACTATCTGTAGGAAAGTCTTACACCTCTTACCACTCACTCACACCGTAGAAGATCATAGCGGCATTGGACCGTAAACAGATGAGTGATCATATCTTAAGGGTTGATGCACGAACTTGTGCAGCTGTCTGTGGTAATGCCACCTCACTCGCCATGCATGCATACTATGTGCCACTCACCGCAATGCCTCGTTCTCCCTGCCAGCCTCTAGGTCCCTGTGCGCCAGGAAATCCCATCGGTCCTCGCGACCCAACCTGTTCCGATCGCAAAATAATACATCACACTCAAGACAAAGCGTAGTTGCAAAAAAATAAACAGTGCTCATGGCCTGAGTAGGCCCATGTTCAGGTCATGCATCTATTCAAACAGACTTCTATGCAAGGTGATTTTCTGTTTGACCAATGTCCACAACGGAAAGTGAATACGTCAGTGCTCTTTTTCACATTTCCATGCTTCAAGTCCGGCGCCTATTGTATATGCCCTTTTTTTAAAGGTACACCTTGTGAAGGCAAATACATGTAGTTGACACCGGGACTGTTCAAAGCGGCCACTGAAGAGCCGACAGGTGGTCAGGGACTGCGCTGGATCCTTTCTAACTTCAGACTACATTCTTAGTCAGCCATTTATGCCTTGAACACATTGCATACCGTGGGTATGTACGAACTTAGCGTCTGTTGGGAATGCCCAAGTAAAACTAATAAAAGTGCTGCATACAATACAAAACTTCATTGTGGGTCATGCAGCCATGTTGCACAGTACTCAGTCTTTAGTTGTAGTTGAATCTGCCCCTGCCCCCCCCCCCCCCCCCCCCGGCACACACACACGCGCATGGCCTATGGCCATGGATGTGGGACACCTCATTACATTACACGCATGTTCTCAGGCTAGAAGAGGTCTCCACACAGTGATTCTTCAACCTGTCAAGACACAAAAGCCTTGTTTGTCATTGTAGAAATGGGTTTATTCAACACTGTGCTCCAGTGTATCGGAGATCTGTTGCAAGACTGAAGCGTTTTGCTGTGGTACAGCCTATCATATTGATTTAGTAAGCCAATTTAGTGTGCAAATTGGTTAACTATCCATCCATGTGAAAGGTATGCTGCAAGGTGTGCGCAGCGAATGGTTGTAAACGTTGACGGATCAAATGCCCAACAACCGCGTCTGTGTCTGGATAACCAGGCAACAAAGACAGCCCGACAAAACAGACCTTATGCCAGTTGTACAGATCCACGAAACCCGGTAGAATCCCATAGACCCTGTTGGGTGTTCATTGTGTGCAATGTATGCGCATTTGACCAATTTTAGCCTCATAATTAAATGGCAAGCAATCGCTTTTCAAGCTTCTTCACTTTGGTTAGAACTATTGACTAGCTAGATCTTTGTCAGAAAAAAAGGTTTTCGTATGAAATGCCTTCAGGGCCCATTTCTTAGTGGAAATAGCAGAAAACACAATAGGGTCCTGCACATTCAACACACAACCGGGTTTACGGGATTCTGCGAAATTTCGTGGATCTGTTCAACTGGCATAAGGCTTACTGGTTCTAATGTTATTGCCTGGTAGCTGATATGCGTGCACATAAGGTTTAACTTTTAGACAGTGATAAACAGTCACATATTCCCAGAATGTTGTGCCTACGTAAACTAGTATTGTAACAGCCGATAGGCACTGCCGTAACTCGGCGTATGCTGGTTAGGTGTGCGTTCGTACCTGGCCGGTAGGTCCGGGTGGGCCGCGCAGGCTGGTGTCCAGCGTTGCCGAGAAGTCCGATAGAGATCTCTGGGTGCACAAGAAGACCAGTTCGCATTGAGTCGTGCCCACTGCCAGCAGGGCCGACAACAACATCAACTCTAGTCATTGTCAGACAGTATCCGTACCACAGACAAACGTGACAGCAGGGCAAACAGAACACAGCTAATGAACGGCATCACCGAAATGTCGTATAAGAAACATTGGTTACAACCGGTACCAAACGACCATTTGCACTGTAATTTCCCTGCTAAAACTTACGGTAATTCGTTTGTTCAGCCATTGCTTACACTCCTTGGGACAACGGCGGCGTGATGCCTCACTTGCGGTCGTAAGTGTAGCACCAGTGATAGCGCTAGCGATCTCCGAGATGGCTAACAGGACCACTGCAACCTCCGCTGCGAGGAAGACGATTGATCGCAGGGAAGTTGAATCCAGCCTCATCTCTTTTGGGAGGGTTTACTGAACCTACGAAGGCAGTAACACACTTCCTGGTCTCGTGCGCAGCTACAAGTACAAGCGCTCCTTGTTGTGAGAGACACGACCACACGTCGGGGTTACCTCGCCGCTCAGGAAGTATGAAAGTTCAACAGTTGGCCTTTGACCTCACGCGTTCCGCTGTTATGGCAACTGCTTGGCACTGCAGTACTGAGAGGAGCACTCGACCGAGCGTATTCGCATTCGAAAAATGCTTCCAAATATTTGAGGGAAAGCGGAGAGTTAGCTACGTGTAGCTAGAGGGCACGCTTATTCCGCGGAGTAGTTTGCAGTCCTATTCCCGTATGCGCTAGGTATCAAACTACTGAAAACAGAGCTGACAAGCCGAGTCCGCAACAGGCAGGCTTTCAATCCGGCCATTTAGATTAGCTGAACTGGTCGATAGAGAACCGATGACAGACAAGCCGACAACACACGCATCAAAACAGCAGCTCAGTGGCACACACACTGCCACGCGGCCACACGGTGTTCGTGCTTCTGCTGCTGCTGCTCCTACTACCCGCAGAGAGAGAGAGCCTGAGACGTGCCTCGTCGCTGTCACACACTGCCAGTGCCACCTACATGTAGCTTCAGTCCGCTGTACCCGGTACTGGGCCATAGTCTAGACGAGCTGCCAGCGTGGCACTGGGTGACAACTGGCACTGGTGGTGTGAGGGCGATGACGACCATTCATCTGTGTGTTGTCAAACTCACACACACACACAGCGCGCGAGATCAGATCAGATCAGAGAGCATCATTCTCTTGGCACTCAGAAGGCTACGATGCCATTACAAGCGATACATACAGACGAAACGAGTTACGTGGTTAGTTGAAGGCTAAAAAGCACAATTGATGGTGTGTAGATCTTCCTTACGCCAGGTCTATTGGAGTGCTGCCTATCGGTCTTCGATGGCATTTGCAGAGCTGAACAAAGGGCTGGTCCTTGTGAAGCTGGGACAACACCGATTGTCACCGCAATGGTGACAATATTGCCTCGCGGATGGTCACATCTTGTCTTATCCAATTAGAGCCTAGAGGAGTATGCCTATGGTCCAAGTATGTAGCGTACTGTGCACTAGACCCCATACGGTTCAAATGGTCGCAAGACCGGGGCTCTGCCAACCGGTGATGGTATGATAATATTATGGTATTCTTTATTACTTCGTCAAGCGGACAGGCGATGATGCCTTCTCACGATGGTCTAAGCCAGGAACACTGTTTTCAATACAGTGCGTCATCCGCCTTGTAACATGCTGTCAACCGATCATACAATGTACATTGTACATGCAAAATGACTCCACCACACATTCCATAGCCAACAGTGTATTAAAGCCATAGCCACTATACAGGTAATTATTATAATATTAGTATGGTACAGACAGCAGGGGCACCCTAGCCTACATGCGCTCCTACAGTTAGTCTACATGTACATGTACATGTATAACCTCTTGATTGAACGATGCAAAGCATGCAAAGTCTACAGACAGCAAACCGACATGTCTACAGACTAGTCTAGGCGTCCTCAACAGAGCTCAGCTAGAGTTACTAACTTATGATGGCATTGTGTGACCGTGTCCTTACCTACAATTTGTAGCTAGGACGAGGATAAATCCTGAATCCGTCTTGTGCATGTAATGCTTGCCCTTTAACTGAGGCGTTCGGTTTTTCATGGTTCATGTTCGCATCGCTTTCCCTCCATTTGATCTTTGCATCTTTAGAGCCACGCAAGTTGTGTGGTATTTTGATATGCGTCCTTGAATCGTGGCTTGACCGTATAGTCGAGTGGTCTTGCCAGTATCGTCATCGACATGCATGAACATCCGCCAACGTCCTTCACAGCTGAGACTTTCAGCTTGTGCTTGTCTTGGTTGCGCTCACCTTCCACTCCTATGTTTTCATACACTAGTACATGTAACTAACTTAGAACCTTCCAAGTTAGTTGGAAGGCTGTTGCCTACTGTTGCCAGTTGCAGTGTTGGAGTGCGCATCCAAGACGTGCTAGAGCTGATAGCCAGTTACATGTAGTAAGTTGTAGAACGTCACTCGTCAGTACTGTCGGTCAGTGTTGTGCAATGTTATCGCATGAGCTGATTGTCAAGTAACTGGTGGTGTTAGTGGACATAAAAGCAGTTCCTTGGCTCTCCATCCGAGTCTCTCCATCCGAGTCCAATTATTATATACCTCGATCACATTTACATGCACATGATCAGGGGCTGTTTACTTGGCCGAGGAGCAGGTGGGGACCCTTGGACGACAGCCAATTCTGCCTGAATGACCTGGCTTCATGATCATCTGCCATTCACTGAGTGACTGATGTACCTCACTTGAAGGTAAAGCGCGGGTTTCGGCAGTTGCGACAATCTACCACCTGGGGTTTAAATGGCTGGTGCCGGAAAGTGTTGACTCTCAGGCACACAGTTTCTTCGATGAATGGGGAAATTCTTCAGATACCAATCAGCCTTTAGAATCCAACATGACGATCTTTTCAATTCCCCTCAATTATTTTGATGAATGAATTGATGAATGAATGCTACACAATCTATCATGATATATTCAGAAGTGTGAGTAAGTTGAAACGGGAAAAGCCGGAAGAAAAATTGACTGACACGACTGTTTCTCTATAATGACGGTTTGAATTGGGGAAGGGCTTTTGTAAGATCGGCCTTTAATACACCGGCTATGTACGGAAGATGTCCAAGACCAGATTGGAAGAGGGAGGTATCTATCAGGGATGTCTACATGTTGTATCAAGAGTATTATACTCTTGGTGGTATGTGTAGTGCTCCCTGGTATCCTTGTCACTGTTCTGAGGGTAGTAAAATATGCCGCATTTTTTTAATCATTCTACGCCATGCACTTGTTGTGGAATTGATTGCATTTGTACCTGTACTAGTATTGCTTTGAGAGTGTGCATCACGGCAATCAAGTCTGCACGTCGATTATGTAAATACTAAATACAGCAACTAGTCGCTGTACTGTACGGAGTGGCGGAATTCCCAGTGCAGAGTAGGATTGCACGGGGCCAAGGGCAAGAGTCTGGAATTCGGAAGTGGGCAGAGGTCTTAGCATACCGCCGGCTCATCGCAGCAAGCATGCAGCACCTCAAGGCTGCACTCTCCTGCATACCGGAGAACACATGGTTTTTGTCTTTTGTTTTGTTTTTGTTTTTAGAACTTTGAGTTAACATTTCAGTGTGGAACACTTGGGAAAAATATTCATTCAAATGTGTTTACTTTACCCGTAAAAGAGGCTGTGAAACATGAAACCAGAGAACACATTCCATTCCGTACTTCCTCAAGTTTCTGCGCTGTGCCGAGAACTACTTCACGCAGCAAGAGGTGAATTTCTTGAAGGTCTTACAACTGTAGTACAGTCATGTACATGTAATTGCTACATAATAATTATAATAACGTTCCTTCTTATTCAATTCGGGATTGAATCTACAACTTGATGGTAACTGAACCCATACCCGGGATACCCCTATGTGGCTTGATGAATACCACTAGAGTAAAGTTTGTGTTCGACCCTATCGTGGCCATCTTCCTTTCCTTGGGCTGAGATAGCCACATCAGTATAATGTGTTCAACTTCGGATAGCACCTCCCTCCGTACTACCATCCCGCCAGCATGGCTGTCTGAGGAAAGTGGCTGACACAGAATCACGCGAGCGCTGGACACTCAGTCCTTGAGAGAGTTAGCATGTTATTAGTATTACGTGTATGTCAACCTCGGGTACATCCTTTCATATTGGCAACGCAGTGCGATGTAGCCTACCCTCTTGGGATGATTTGTTTGTAGTACATGATTGTGCTAAGACGTTCCACCTCTGAGCCTCTCTTATTACCAGGAGTGGGCTGTTTATCTTCGCTTCAGTGCCATTCATACCTTTTCATGAATTCGGCTCATCCCAATCATAGGGTTAGGATGGTGCTAATTGTTCATTTTTCTACTCGACATGTGGCTCAACTCCCACCTCCAGACGATTCCCCACGCCTAGCGCTCACGGCTGCGTCCCAACTGACGTCATGCTGATTGTCGTCCACTGTGTCTCAAGGTGTGGAGTTTAGTGCTAAAGTCTAGTAAAGAGTAAAGGAAAACAGCACATCATCCAGTACTCGTACTGTACAAAGATATACGGCCATAGTCCCATGCACTCTAAAACGGTACAATGTTTGTCGTTTTCAGGTCATGCAAATAACGTGTAAATACGATGCACAAAAACGCACATGATACCTTAGTTTTAATACTAATAGAGCAAGCCACTTCTAACCGGTACATGTACAAGTAAGTTAATGGATGGTGTGAAAACATGGCCCATGCTCATGGAACCTCTTGCGAAACTGTGGAGGGGGCGTGTGCTCTGAAAGTGTGTACCAGTACTCCTGTTTGTTTTGCTTGTGAATAGCCTAGCCCTCTAGCCCTCTTGACTTGAGTCTTGTCTTGACGGTATCATCAGAGAGGCTCAAAGGGCCTTAGAACGTAAAGACTCGGCGTGGGCAATGGACAACTGTCACGTTCACCTCAGGTTGTGTGTGGTGTTAGCTAGGTGCGGAGACGAGCATGTTGTGTTACTGTTAGATCCAAACATCGTCAGTTAGGATATCGAAATAATCACGTTGATAGCCCACTCGAGCTAACCGTTTAACCATGCACTACTGAACAAACATTGTACTGTACTATGCCCTGAAGAGCCTGCAGGCAAGTGATAATAGTAGAATATCGCTATTATGCAGACGAAATACACACTCGGTGGGAGAAAGCGGAAACTCTGTAGTGCCTAAGTTAATATGTTGGCGTGGTGTGTCATGCACCTCTTAATAGACTGACCAGCTATTCAGTACTATGATTACAATTTTAGAATGTTGACATGGAAGCACTCAGAGGATTTGTGCCAAACACAACAATCACTGACGTACAATGTATATCACGTGTGGATGAGCACATTATTTTCACAAAAGGATGCACCCGGGGTACCCAGTGTGCTGTTGACGTGTTGTGCAGTACGGTTACTACATGTATAATTGTACTGTGCACTAGTTGCATTGTCTACTGCAGATCGAGAACACCCCACAAAGAATAGATGCCCGATGCCATCTACACATGAAGGTGCTTATGCTAGAAAACGTCGAAGGCAAAATGGATGTCTCGGGCCATGTTTAACCTTGTTTTCAGAGCATGCATGTACCCCCCCCCCCCCCCCCCCCCCCCAAGGGCCTTGTGTTGTAACTTGTGGTCCGAGCATCCAATACTAGTACTCAACATTCAACCATAATACATGTAATGTACTCGAAGATCGTACAGTTAAGTTCTTGCCAGATGTTGTGTATGGGCATGATGGTTAGTTTCCCGCGGCCCGTGGTGATCATGCTGCCGCATGTACTGGAGTCTCTATCCTGCGGGGCACGTGCAACGCTGCATGTACTAGTAGACTACATTCGCAATCGCATAATATTAGTCCACCATGCGATCGGATAGCGCCGAAATATTCAAGCCCTACAAAGTCAATTAGTCGACAACGTGAAGGCTGTGTAGGAACAAATGACCAAACATATTTGCATGT